TAAATGAAAATGACGTTGCCGGCGGCATCCAGGATGATGAAAATGTAGATGCCCCATAGGCAGAGCTCGGCGTTGGACACAGGGGGGATCTCGAGGTATTCCTTGCCGGTGCGAATGCTTTGGCCACATGCCTCAACGACTGCTGGGTGCACGTTCGACATCAACCAGTGGAGAAGGACTTCCGGATCCAGACGTTGCCACACCGACAACATGCCCTTGGTGAAATGGCAGCCCTCCAGAGGTTTGGACCAGTCGAATTGCATAGCCTGACCTTTGCGGACGGAGATGCTGTGTCGGAAACGACCCTTGAACGTGGCATGTCTGTCAGAATCTGGACTGAGCCTTGATGAACGCAAGGCTGTACTGCCGACGTATGTCCAAGTTACATGCTGCCATTGGTATAGCATGGCTTCTGCAACGGTTTCCGGACCATGCTTGTTCTTCGACTTCTTGCTCGTTGAGGCTTTGCCCTTGGAGGCGTTGGTCTTGGTTGTCGATCGTGTTGTACGTCGGACAGGCTCGGAGTCTTCGTCGGAGGAGGGATCGTCAATAGACCCTTCGAAGGCTTCCAGCTCCTCTTCTTCAATGGTCTGGACGACGTCTGAATCGTCATAATCTTGCTCCCAGTCATCGTTGACGACATCGAGGTTGTCGATAGAGTCGTCATTGCCGACACCAGAATCATCGACGAAGTCACCGTCGCCAGCATCGGAATCGTTGATGAAGTCGTGTTCGACGGCATCGGAGGTGTTGACGAGGTCACCGTTGACGGCGTCTGACCCGGCGAGCAAGACATCGATGTCGACGTACTCGTCGCCGTCGTCGACAACGACACCAGAGTCGTTGAGGATGTCTTCGATGTCGATGAAGTCGTCATCGTCGTTGGCCTTGATCAGAGAGGCTGGTCTGGTCTGGAGATGTCGATTAGCAGGATTCATGATGATCAAAAGGACGTATCGATACCTTTGAAGCCTTTGCGGCCTTCTCGGTCTGAACCTGACCAACGGCTGGTCTCTTGCTCATGGCCTTAGCCGATGGTTGAATCGATGAGCTGGCTGCAGCATTGTTGTTGACCGAAGCTCTGGTCGAGGCTCTGGTAGTGGCAGGCATGATGCTGTCTCAACAATCAGTATTGGCTTCTTGAGTGCTCGCTGGTGGATGGTTGATCGTTCTTACATTGAAGGAAGGAACGGGTGATGGAGACAGAAGGGCTTGCTGGTGATGCTATCGCTCGAGATGATCTTGCTAACGTTGGAGATTGTAAGTACTCGATGAAAGGCTTCGTCGTGTTCTTTGGTATGTTGTTTCGTTGATGTGTCCTGACAGCAGCTCAGGAAGCGGAGGTGGGAAGCTCGACGGGATTCCATCAAGTGCCAACTTCCGTGGTTGCTCCTTCCCTCTCTGATGTTGAAGGGAAACATCTCCACCATGGCTTCCCTCGCCTTTCGACTTTCTCCATGCACATGTCGTGGACTGGGAAACCAATACAGCTTATGTGGTACGAACAGACTAAAGTTGGATCATACTAATCGCACAGAGAGTGCACCGACGCATCGAAGTTGAAGCATGAAATGGATGTTGATCTATAGAGATGGATGCTTCATGATGTAGCAGCTTGGCGGCTTCTGATTGGCTGACTTGAACGCCCTTTTGGCTGGACCCTTTCGGCTGGACCCTCATAATGCTGCAGCGATGAATTGCATAAACAAGTCAAGATTGAGCGGCCGAGACCAAGGAAACGAAGCCAGGTAGCGCTCTGTCATTGAGTGATTTGCTGTATTGATGAGTTTTAAAATCGATTCCCGAGAATCAATCATGAATGCCAAGTTAAGAAGTAAATCTTTCATCACGCTCTTCAGGTGAGTTCGGTCCAGACTACGGCCTCTTCTCCTGAATGTCGAGCTTGATGCGCGGTACATTCGGTGACTTCAGGAAGAAAGTGCGTAGGACGACGGAGGGATGTGATGGTTAAGATTGACTGACTGCAGTCAAAAGGGCCCTGGACGACCCGGATAGGAATGATCAGAATAACTCGATTGTCAGTGGGTATCTCGTTGTTCGCTTGTTACACTCTTCGCAACATACAGACTGCAGGATCTCTACCATAGGCGCGCCGATCCCGTCCATCAAGTCAAACTTTTGCCAACTTTATCGACAGCAATACCCTTTTCTGTTCGAGCCCGAGACCACAACCCATTCAAGAATCTCAACGAGAAGTCTCAGCGCACTCGCTTCTATGAGAACAATGTGCTACTCGGTAGACCAGGCCACACGACCGCCAATTGTGGATGTTCTCAGATAAGACAGATAATGCAGACCGCCGTGAGTCCTGCGCAAGGTCCGAACTTGCTGGATGCGGCAAAACATTTGAGGAAGCTAACATACATGGATGAGCTGGCTGCCGTATAAGATAGAGGTGCGTCCACGTGGATGCACAAAAGAAAAATGCTTGCCTAACCGTGAACAGAGTTCGGCAACTTGCCTATCACCTTTCAAGATGTTCTCCTCCCATGGCCCTCACGCACAAGGATCTGACAAAACATAGGTGATAAGTAAAGGCTCCGAGGTTATCACGACGCAACAGAGCACAATGGGTAGAAACACAATGCTCCGCATCAAGCCTTGGTGATGAGCTGAAGAGTGGCTACTCTCAGATCCATGGGTTGTCCGGAGAAGACTGCTGTGAATCAACAAAAGAAGGAAGAGAATTTGGATCCAGAAGAAGACAATAGGGAGTGAAAGAAAAAACGCCCGCGATAAAAGAATGGCTAAGGAAGAAGACGGACCGGTTTGCGCCTCGAGACACTTATCACCAACGGGTATGTTTATCTACGGCCGCCATACAGCAGAGTCAAGTGTACATGCTTCCTCCGCCATCATTTATCTCTCTCAATTACCATCATCTGCTTAGGTAGATGCAAGAACAGACGACACAAAATATCTGCTTGAAATAAGAAGCCCGCAGCGCGTCGCTTGTCAAATCAGCACAAATCTTGTGGTCTACCTGTGTACAGGTCTGATGTCCAGTTCACTTGACCCTTACTTAGGTATCACGCCCCATCAAATTCAGTTAAACGTCTTCCTCTCTTGATTCACCAACTCAGGCGTGGCTGCCTCCACCCTCACCGATCTTCCTTACTCACCATCACCAAATAATTTCTTTGACAAAGTATTCATCTCGACACGCGTATCCTAATAAGTCTGCATCCAGGGCAAACGCTACCCACGTCTGACTGGCTATGGCACGACGATCCAGGATGCTCTGGGGTACCTTCTTTCTCAGCTCTACAGAGGTCATCAAATCGCCATCAAGCGCAACAACTCAAAGTTCAAGGAAAAGGAACCAGCCGAAGACAAGCAACACTCTCCACTGGAACTTGTCATGAAGTCCCCTGCCGCATTTCCAACTCCGCCATCTTCCAGTCTCCTCGCTCCCTCTCTACTAGTCTCCTCGCTCCTCGCTCCTCCTCCACTAGTCTGCTCGCTCCCCCTCCGCCAGTTACCGCTGGCGGACTTCAACTCCACCAGAGTCTTCGAGAAACAGGACGACTCTATAAAAAAGACTGCATCGCCACAAGTCATAGTGGCTCGTTCACATCAAGAATTGGAGCCAAGTCCGACACTCTCTTCCATAATCTCTCAGCTTTGAAATTTTGGGGACAACAAAGTCGACTCCGAGTCAACTGACAGTTCAACTAATCCTGGATCCGCTTTTGGTTTCGAGCTGCGGCTTGCAAAAAGAAATACGACTCGTCCGTACAAAGGCTGGAAATCATTTACTTCTAAGCGTAACAGATTCGTCTCCAAGCTCACGGTAAAATCAGAGATAAGCTTGTCCCTATTCTAAGGGGGTTCCATCGTTTACAATAAAAGAAACAGTGGTCACATTTCGCAAAAACATCAGAGACTTTTTCGACAAGAAACATCGTCGTCACTCGCACATCGAGCAAGCACACACACTGTGGTATGCCTATATTCAGAGCAAGAGGTACCGACGTATGTTTGATCTTAACGACGATATCGCAAGGATTCTAGTTTCCCAGCGCTTCCGAGGACAAAGTCAATGGGTGGTATTATTAAGCGTCAAGCTAGATTCATCTTAGAGTCCAGAGGAAAGCCCCAGGTCACAGAAACGCATCACCATCCAAGAAATGTTGCCACAAGGTCCCCTGTCGCAATCCTTGCTTCATATAGTCCACCACCTTTGATTTTTGCCGCCCTTCCTCCAGCCTCTCCTGCCATGCCCCATGGGTCACGGACTTCTGCTTGGATAGCTGCCCATTGACTTTCTTGCTGCTACAGCTCGCGGGTAAGACACCCAAGCGTATAGTTGCTTGCTCTCTTAGAACCTCAATTTGTGCCTGTCGGCGTTCGATTCGATTCGGTTTCTTTCTCGACTCTTTCCTGTCGACTGCAGTCACCAGCTATTTTTTCCCCTACGCAGTTGCATACTTTTCTGCTTTATTGTTTCTGAACGGCTCGTCATAGCTTGCATTGACCGAAGAACAAACTGATACAGAGCGCGCATACGGCGCCACAAGACCGTTTGCCCTCGACATAGTCGTTCGACTCTTCTTTCTGTTTGCGCTCCCGTTCCAGCTTCAAGGCTTCAATTTCAGCAGTCTGGATAGCACTCCTAAGGATACGTTCATGTTCCGTAGCCGCTTGCGCAAGAGCCTGTTAGTGGAGTCGTTCTAGTTCGGTGTCCCTTTCGTCCTATTGCCGTCTCTAGGCGCGTTCTTCATTGATGTGTAGCATGCCGAATTCGCCGGCCGCTATGTTCGAGCAAAGAGGGCTTTGACGGGAAGGTGAATTATGACTCCTTTTGGGGTGGAAGAAGTGGCTTCTTGGTCTATGCGGCGCTGGGCTTGCTGTGCCAGCTCGCTCCTTGTGAGGAGTTACTATTGACGTAGAAATGTGCAAAGCTTGCGGAAGCTCCAAACTGCAGCACAAGTCAAGAAGGGATCGCTATATCGTAGTGAATGGCATGCTCAGATCGGGGCAGGAATAAAGGTCCATCGGGTGTGTCGCAGTGTTTAAGGAGGTTGCTGCAGACTGCGCCATAAGGTAATGAATCCCATCGCATGACAGGTGGTGAGTTGTGGCTCAAGTGCCTCTCGTAACAACGTGCGGCGCGCCGACTCTGTATGTCCCTGGAGCAGTGCGGCAGTGCCTAAACATCGTACACGGCGAGACCACATCCTTCCTGAGCAGTGATAGCCACTGAACTCTCATCGGCAGCTGAGCGCCGCCATAGTTGTACGACTGATGGGGGCGAGCCTGTAGCCTGGCCTGAACTCCAGTAATAGTCGCGCCATCATCCGTCATTCCCGGCCGGTACACCTTGCGACCCGGGATACCTCTAGGAGCACCGACACGTGCCGACGGCTCACCTGTTTAGTAGTCGAACCTAAGCGGGCCTGTGTAGTAGATTCTATCCCCAATGTCCCATACTATCCTCGCAGCGTTGCTCCGGATACACAAGCCTATCAAGACGATCCCACGTGGACACGCCTGCTGCCGCGCGGTGGCCATGACTCGGAACGTGGCGGAAACCAGATGCAGGTCTGATACCGCCTACTGGCCAGGCACCAGGCATGTTGGACTGAGAACGCTGCTCCTTTTCTGGCTCTGGACCGTGCGAGACTTGTGGGACTGTAGGGAGAGCTGCGGGGTGATGTCCCTGATCTTGTTGGCGCTGCTGTCGACTTCTTGGTACGGCCTGGCTGCTGTTGCTGGAGTTGCCGTTAGAGTATAGGGATGTGGAAAGGCTATGAAGCTTGTGTTTCAAGATCAAGGGACGACAATCAAGGAAAGGGACCTCAGGCTTTAGCAAAAGGCAAGGAAGAGTGACTATGTCGTAGTGAATGGCATGCTCAAGATGATAGAAATCAGCGAAGGGTAGAGGCGCGAACTGCTATCGAAGCATCAAAAGTTTACGGAAGCCTCCGGATGGTCAGGCTGCATAATCGGATGTCCGAGTGACTCGGTGAACAAGGATGCCTTTTCTTCGTTCATCATTGCCGCCAAACCCTTCTTCTATGTCAACTACATTCGAGCTAAAATCGCTCATACCTTCTCTGCTTGATTTCGAGACCGACATCTACATGTTTCTCTTTGAACCGAGCGGTATTTGAAGTATCTCTGATCTTGTGGGGAGAAAGCTCGCAGACCATCTAAGCGAGAAGACGATCACGTTGGAGGACATCAGCACTTTGCTCCCGTCTAGACTTTCCTTCCTTTACCCCTTTCCACAAGCAATAAAACCAGCGACTGGAACTGGAACTGTTACGCTAGACGGGAAAAAATGACTTGGAGATGTTTGGTTGTATCATGTGGCTCGGACTATACACGAGGACTGGTTGGGTTTATCGAAGTCAATGGACCTCGAAAGGGCGGATCCTTCATACATCCAGTCCCACTACTATCAGTCCGCACACTCGAAAATTTCGATCATTCATTTCCGCACCGCGACGTGTGTATGCCTTCAGCGAACTCGAGTACACCTATCTCCATGTTGTCTAAACCTTTTGAGGAGCAGACTAGCTATGTGCATAACTTTGACACACGAGCGGTGCCACCGCCCATGGCAGTCGATCTTAAGATATACCCAGTACATAGAAAGAATCCATCGAGATTGACTAGAGCCTCGCGAACATACGTCGAGGTCAAGCGAGATGTCGTCCTTGTGGATGTAGCCATAAAAACTTCTCCAGCTCCCAGTTAAAAACCAAGAACACTGATGAAATTTTTTTTTGTTTTTTTTTGTTTTTCTTTCTAGGCTTGCGCCTAGGTCCATGGAAGGACAACAGGATTGTTGACTAGGGATTCACCCCGGTTGTTTTATCGAAGCGGGTCTGCTCGGCCATTGAGAAGGCGAAGCCCATGAGAAGGCTGAGAGGAAAAGTGAAAGCCCATGAAGAGGCAACGAAAGAAGCAAATGTCCATGAGGGGACTGCAAAAACAAAGGAAAGGCCCATGAGGAGGCAATGAAAGAAGCAAATGTCCATGAGGGGACCGCATTACAAAAGAAATGCTTATGAGAGGGACATCGAACAAGAGGAAAATCCACAAAAATTTCATGACAGGTCGATGAGCAATGTGTGATCAGGCTTGAATGAGACCAGGTCAGACCGAAGTGCCGGAGCCGCCACGACCACCACGACCGCCACGACCGCCACGACCGCCACCGCGGCTGTTCTTGGGTCCTTTGTGATGACCCGAGTTGTTGTTGTTGTTGTTGTTGTTGTTGTTGTTGCCGCCCTTACGCGAGTTCTTGTTCTTGTTGATGCCACCACCCTGGTTGGCGGACGAGGATCCTTGTTGCTGCTGCTGTCTGCGTTGTTGAATGAGACGCTGTTCATCCGGAGTCATCACCAAGGCTTGCTGCGGCTGTTGTTGTTGTTGTTGCTGCTGCATTTGCATCTGCATCTGCATCTGCATTTGCTGTTGCTGCAACTGCATCTGGTTGCCGTCCTGAGCGACGGAAGCGATGGCTGCCATTGTCCCGAGAGTCTCGAACGTCTGTGCAGTCGGTTGGACGCGAGTCGCGAATTGGTTGGCCAGCCCCTGAAGAAAGCCGGCAGTAGAGGTGGCCGGGGGAGCTGGGGGGGCGTAGTTGCCCTGCTGGGGGTACATGGCGGGGTTGGGGGGGTACATGCCCATGCCACCCGGTTGGTACATCCCTGGGAAGGGGGGACCCCATTGGTTGACCATTGGCATGAATGGTGGTTGCTGGTAGGTCACCATTGGCATTGGTGCCGGCTGCTGGTAGGTCACCACCTGGCGTGATGCTCTGTTGGCCGACCGGTTGTTGGCGCGAGGAAGAGCGGGTGCCGGGGTGTCTTCTCTGTGTCTTGACGCGCCCAAGCCGCCACGGTTGCAGTCCACCTCTCTGTGTTGGACATTCTCACGACTTGCCTTATGGGGGAGGCTGCAAGGAACGAAGCCAGGCTCACCAAACTTGGCGTCTGCGTTGGGGACGAACCCATCTTCACCCCACTTGGGCACCTGTGTCGAGGTGTTGGAGACGCCGGAGGTGGGAGCTTGGCGGGAGGAGGTGGGGTTGATGACGTCGACAGGGGCGACGACGGGCTCGCTCGAGGTGGTGGCGAGGGTGGTGGAGGTGCTGGGGGCGACGACCAGGGCGTCCGAAGTACCATGGGTAGGGACCATGGCGGTCGAGGTCATGGCGGTCGAGGTGACCGGGGCGGCAGCATCGGGCATGTAGCGGTTGCCGTTGTTGTCGAAGACGTACTCGGCATCCAGAGCATCGGCGGCAGCAGGGCTTGTGGGGCCATTCTCAATGGCGAGGTTGGATTCGCCGGATGAACTGGCGATAGCAGGAGCGGGAGCAGCAGCGGTTGGGTTGCCATCCTGGTTGATGACGAGTGCCACAGCGTTTCCTGTGGCGGCAGGTGTGGCGGCAGGTGCGGCTCCATGAATGGCAGCAGGCAGGCGAGGAGGAGGCACACCGGGTTGATGAGATGGTCTTTGTTGACCAGAGGGAACCGCAGGGCTGCGAGATGCAACGACAGGGCCTGCAGGGGCACTGAAGTCAAAGGCAGGAGCAGAACCTTCAGCACCAAAGACGAACATCGGAGCGGGCGAAGCAGGCAGAGGAGCTGGATTAGCTGCCAGCACAATGGGAGCAGGCAGAGCAGTTGGAGTAGCTGCCGGCACAGAGGGAGCAGGCAGAGCAAGGGGAAGGCGAGACAAACGATCGACTTCTGCGGCCATGACGGACGACACGGCAGGAACGTGCCCGTGGGCCTGAGCCCAGCGACGTCTGACTTGGTTCCAGGCTTCCATGGCGACAGAGTGCTCTTGCATAGCCGTCACGACCATGTCAGTGTAGCCTTGGACGCTCTCCTGGACGAAGGCGGCGTGCTCCTGATCTTGCTGTTGGGCAGGAAGAGCTTGAATGCGCTCCTGCTCGGCGTGGGCGTTGAGGACGTACCAAGTACCGGGGAGAACCCATGGCGCACTCCAACGGACTGGCATAATAGGTCTGGGGAGAAGGCGGCGAGCGTAAGCATCGCGCCTTAAGGATTCAAGGCCAGCGGGAGTGGCAAAGTCGCGGAGAACGTGTCTCCAGTCTCCTTCAGGCTGACGAACTTGGATTGCTTGGTTGGCCATTTTGTGTGTGTGTGTGTGTGTGTGTGTGTGTGTGTGTGATTGATTGATTGATTGATTGATTGATTGCAATGAAGTTTGATGAGAAGCGTGATGGTTTCTTTGATGAACTTGATGGAATCAATTGTAGAAGAAGAGATGGAACAAGTGCGCGCAGATTTTTGAGCTTGAGAAGTTCTGTGTGTGGCACTTTCCTCCAGGCAAGATGGCACCTTCCCTTCCCAATGAGGAACTCACCGTCTTGGTTTTCTTTTTACTTGCCCTCCTACTTTACATAGGGATGTTTATTTCTCTTTCGCATGCTAGATTCTACAGAACCTACTTGAGTGTGTGTACTAGCTGGGCAGGTATCCTTTGGACTCTTGGTAAGACATGAGCCTATATACCATAGATACTTATCATGCATGACTTGTAAGTCGTGGCTTCCCTGGCTATACGTCCGCAACGGAAGCGCGCTTGTGAGGCTTCAGTCCGTCTGGAATTCGAATGGGGCAAAGCCGTACTGACCCTTGTAGCGAACACGCGATATCAATGTTACTGCTTACGAAGTCAAGCAGATGTTGTCAAGATGGCAAATCTTCCTTCTGTGAAGACCACGTGATCATGTAATCAGCCATTACGTCATTTTCCAGATCTGCCTTCACACTTGCTTACAACTTGGACATGCTGCTGTTTGCTAAGTGGAAGTACATCCGAAAGACTTTGCGTTATACCACCTAAAGAAACATACAACTCAGATATCTCATTAACGCCAGTTACAATAAACCAATCAATCAGTAGTTCCAAATCCAATTCTCAAACTCGTCCGGGTCTAGTCCGTTCTCGTAGGCGTAGTTCATGCTCTTGGTTCTGGTATCGAGGAAGTGCTCACGTGCACTTGAGCCCTTGTTACCCAGTACATGCTTCAAGTTATCTATCGCTAGCATGGCAAGGCTGTAGCGATCAGTTCCGTTGCGGATAGCAAGTTCTAGGGGTGTGTCAATGTTGCCCTTCTCGTTGTACCCACGAACGTGCATGTTATTGTTGTTTCTCTTATAGATCATCCTATAAACCAGAGCGGGGTAGGAGTGGAAAGCCATAACCACTGGCTTGTTGTCAGTGAAGATGGCTGCATATTCATCATCTTTGAGGCCGTGGGGGTGATATCCGTGGGGTTGGAGCTTGAAAAGGTCGACGACGTTGACGAAGCGCACCTTGATCTCGGGGAGATACTCACGAAGCAGAGCAGTAGCTGCAAGAGCTTCTTGTGTGCTAACGTCTCCGCAACTTGCCATAACAATATCTGGCTCCTGGTTTGCATCGTTAGATGCCCACTGCCAGATGCCAAGACCCTTGGAGCAGTGATTGACGGCGTCTTCCATGTTCAGGTACTGCAAATGGTTCTGTTTGTCTGCAACAATGACGTTGACATAGTTGGATGACTTCAAACAATGGTTCATGGTGCTGAGAAGGCAGTTGGCGTCAGGAGGAAGGTAAATGCGAACAACCTCCGGCGACTTGTTAGCAACGACATCAAGGAAACCAGGGTCTTGGTGAGTGAAGCCGTTGTGGTCCTGGCGCCAAACAGTGGATGTAAGCAAAATGTTGAGCGAAGCAACTTCTTGTCTCCAAGCAACCTCTGCACACTTCTCCAACCACTTGGCGTGCTGGTTGACCATAGAGTCGATGATGTGAATGAAAGGCTCATAGCTGTTGAGAAGACCGTGGCGGCCGCTCAAAAGGTAGCCTTCAAGCCATCCCTCAACAGTGTGTTCACTGAGAATTTCCATGACTCTTCCGGCAGGAGCGAGGTTGCCACCGTCTTTGTCCTCTTCAAAGTATTCGGCCATCCAGACTTTCTGAGTGACATCGTAGACAGCGCCGAGCTTGTTGGATTCTGTCTCATCAGGACCGAACAGACGGAAGTTGTTTGGATTGTGCTTGACGATCTGAGTCAGGAATTCGGCAAACAAGTTCATGCTGGGTGCTTGTTCAGCAGCGGGCTTCTTGACGGTCTGGGCAAACTTCTTGAAGTCGGGAATCTTGAGATTGGCACGCAGAAGGCCACCGTTAGTAACGGGATTGGCACTCATACGACGATTGCCGCTCGGGGCGAGGTCGCGAAGCTCTTCGATGAATTTGCCGTCCTTGAACAGCTTTTCTGGCTGGTAGCTACGCATCCATTTCTCAAGCATGAGAAGCTGATCGTTGTCCTTGCGGACATTGGTAAGGGGAATCTGATGAGCTCTCCAGAAACCTTCGAGATAATGGCCATCAACCTTGCGAGGTGCAGTCCAGCCCTTGGGTGTTCTGAGGACAATCATGGGCCAACGAGGGCGTTCGGCCTTGCCAGAGTCTCTGGCCTTCTTCTGGATGGCCTTGATTTCCGTAACGGCTCTCTCCATGGTGGCGGCCATTGCTTGATGCATGGAATCGAAGTCAGAGCCTTCAACGAAGTAGGGCTCCCAGCCATAGCCAATGAAGAGATTCTTCAACTCGTCGTGGCTGATTCTTGATAGAACAGTGGGGTTGTTGATCTTGTAACCGTTCAAGTGGAGCACAGGCAAGACAGCACCATCACAGATGGGGTTCAAGAACTTCGTGCTGTGCCAGCTGGTAGCCAGAGGACCAGTCTCGGCCTCTCCATCTCCTACCATAGTAAGGGCGATGAGGTTGGGGTTGTCAAAGACAGCGCCGAAGGCGTGTGAGATGGAATAGCCCAGCTCACCACCCTCGTGGAGACTGCCAGGAGTTTCGGGGGTTGCGTGACTGCCAATGCCGCCAGGGAAGGAGAACTGCTTGAAGAAGCGCTGTAATCCCTCAGCATCCTCCGACTTCTGGGGGTAGACCTCAGAGTAGACACCCTCGAGATAGGAGTTGGAGATGATTCCAGGAGCACCATGGCCAGGACCAGAGACAAAGAAGGCGTCGAGGTCGTACTTCTTGATCAGGCGGTTCATGTGAATGTATGTGAAGGATTGGCCAGCATCAGAGCCCCAATGTCCGAGGAGACGAGGCTTGATGTGCTCGACCTTGAGTGGTTCTTCCAGCAGAGGGTTCTCGCGCAGGTAGAGCATACCCAAGCACAGGTACATACTGGCTTGGAAGTAGCGGTTCATCTTGTCAACCTCTTCCTTGCTGAGAGGCTGGCCGCTGACGGTTGCTCTGGCAGTGCCATAAGGCGAGAGGCTCTCCGTGTCAGCCATTGTGGTGGTGTGGAGAATGAAGGAGGAGTTGGGAGGAGTGACGAGAAAGAGAGACGGAGCAAGCTGACAGCAAGCTTCTTGTGTTTTGAAGCTCTCAACAACTCCACTTGTTTCGCGGAACTCGGCGGCTTGAATGCTGAACACGTTTGGAAGCTCTCAACTTCCAGATATTTTATTTACGTCACTGTCCGTCACCCCACGCGGGAAGGCGGGATCGCCGTGCTAAAGTGATCGCCTCGGAACCATTGTCCGTGCCCTGCCGAGTGCTCCGAACTATCAACTCTCGCAGCACAAGCCTTTGTGACAATTCAATTCATACTCGGCTCTTATACCTTGAAATCACATAGAGAAGATGGTGTCCAAATATTAAAGAGAATTTACTATTTCTCAAGGATCCTGTATCATAGACAGCGACTCCGTAGGCGAAGAATGTTGCCCTACCCGGAGGTGGCATGATCTATGCCTGCGCAAGGAACAGGGAAGACAACGCCTAGCGAGGAGTGCAACGAGACATGGCATTCAACCGTGAAAGCGCACGTACTATGCAGTGCTTTCAGACGGCAGTAGAAGCCGAGTGTGATGGACCACAACTAGGGCAATGCCATGATGTGCCAGCAGACTTCATGCAAAACACAAAATGATCGCTGCCATCAAATGAAAGGATGCCCGTGGCAGAGCTGTTCCTGACTTCCCCGGTAACCGACCTGACTATCGCTATGCAGATTACTTGCCGATCAAGGACCCCTGAACTGTACCATTATAGGAATGACTATCACCAGCACCCTGTAAGGACAAATAGGTGTATAGGGCCCTCTTCACACGCCTAAAAACAGGCCAATATGGCGCTCAAGGCAGTCCCATCGTCTCACCGTCCAACTAGATGCATAGAGCCAGATCACTCAAGATTGGTTGGGAGCTCACATCCGTCGTACAGAAGAACTTCATGACAGCACCTGTATGGCTGAACGGCACTAGGAGCACTCGCAATGTACTCCTTCCCTTGTGTTCGGGAAATAGGGTACCATCTAATTACCCGGCAGTCACACCACATTTTCACGATCGGCGATGCCATGTCTGCGACGCAAACAGATGCGATCCTGCGGGTCGAATACGTAGTCGTAATTTCAAGAATGAATAGACCCTCAATCAAGATAGATATCGTCCTTGATGCGGCGAAGGTTGTTCATGAAGCCATAGCCACTACCCTGGTTGCTTGTGCGTGTAGCATCAGGGGCGCCATTGTATCGGTAGTCGACTGCGGCAGGAGAAGCTGTGCGTTTCTTGGCCTCTGCCTTGCGAGCGAGAGCCTTTTGTTCGTCCTCGACCATCTTCTCGAGACCGTCAATCTGGCGTGTGCGAGCCTTCTCCTCGGCTGTACCCTTCCAGATGAAGCAAAGATCTCTCAGTTCGTCGATTCTCTTGATCGCAGCGGTGATGCCTTCATCTGCTGACGTAGCAGTTTGTAATAGCTGCGTGATGTCGTCCCGTAGCTTTTGTGCATGTTCTTTTGCCTTCTCTTCCCGATTGCGCATTTCTTCTGGACCCCCAGCAGAGGGGGCGGATACTGAGATGAACGAAGACGAGACGAGGTCGGAAGGAGCGATAGGCCAGGACATGGCCTCGCCAAAGACTTTGATGACAGAGTCGAGACGTTGGCGTACCATGACCAGCGTGCGGAGCTTGTTGATGTATTCAGGCTCGGCGGGCTGAGTGGCAGCAGAGGTGGCAGTTTCATCGAGAGCGACATTGGCATTGTTGGATTGTGTAGGCTCCTGTGACAGCTGAGGAGTAAACAGGGCAATGTCTGATTGAAGGGTCGTGTTCAGAGCATCAGTCAGGCCAGCAGTCTCACCGCGGAGCATCTCGACCTGGTAGGCGAGTCTGCTGCCACTACGGAGTATGTCATCGGTCAGTTGGTTGAGGGTATTCGTAAGGCGGGAAGTTTGCGCGTTGAGTTGCGAGATGAGAGTCTGGGTTTGCGAAGATAGCTCGGTGAGGGAGACACGGTCTTTGGAGGGATTTGAGAAGGCCAACGAGGGCAAGGTGGCATTCAGGTAGTCGGCCGGGTCGAATTGCGCTCGTAGAAAAGGCTGAAGTGCTTCATCCTGGACGTATTGCGACTTTGGGTTGCTTCGTACTGAACTCTCAGATTGTACTGCCATTGTTCGACTCGCACCTTAGAAAATCAGGTCGTTGCATGGTACTCGTATCTGAGTGCGGCGTTCATGTGAAACAGCGACATGTTATCAAACGCAAGAGCTTCGTACACAGCGTCCATGGAGGAACAGCAGATCTGGCGCCTTCATTGCTCGCCTGAAGCCAACAAAGCTGTTGAAACATACAAACTCATTGAGGAACAGCAGACCATCCACTGAGGGCTTGAATGGTGCAACCTTAGTGACTGATCAACTTTGGTATCGCGATAAACTACTCGCAGCATCGATTCTCTGTGCTTGGCATACGTTCTATAGAGACATACGTTCAGTAGATTGTAGATAAATAGACGCCTTGCTTCACGCGTGCCTGTCTCATCAACTTGTGCCTCTCTGCAGGCAGCCATCCAACAAACGCTGCCAAAGAAGGCATCCATTAGAACCTGACCGACGGTAGCCAAGACCCCTTTCCCTTTCTCCTTTGACTGTGACTGTTCGAAGCTGCTCACTTCGATTCGAAACCAACTCCAATCCACTCACTTCCAAATCCCCTTGTCTCTCACACCGCAACCCGCTGCGTGTTGTCGCGCCTACCGTGAAAAATCAAGCCCATCTCTTGTGAATCATCATTTCTTCAACCGCTCCATCTTCAAGACGTCAACCTTCTTGATCATCATCCATCCTCTTCCTCCACTTCCACCACTTCCACCACTTCCACCTCAGAATCACACACCACACCACACACGCACGCTGTGCCCCCATGCCGGTGACCGCATCTTCCACTCACCATGCCTCGTAAACAATTCAAGGCCGATCTGAACGATGCCATTCAAGGCGAGTATGGTGTCGACTCTATCTCCGACTGTCGCCTCGGTGAAGACGATGGCCAGTTCACCTTCGTCTTTACTCATCCTACACTCAACCTGCCAGCCACCATCACCGCCAGTGTCGGAGAGCAGTCCGATTACCCTCATGCCCATGAATACTCCCTGTTCTGCGACGACGACGCTTCTGAAGATGCTGCAGTGTGCATAGACAGCCTCGGCAAGCCCAAGGGCATGCCAATCAAGGCATTTCTCAACCTCGTCTCGGGTGCCCTTTCTGGCTCTTCGACCCCGTCGCTATCCGAACCCCTCCCCAACTCAGTCGAGCCCGAGTCTGACTTTGAATCTCCGCAAGAACATGACACAGATGACGACGACGAAGACGCCTTCGACGGAGCCTTTGGCGACCCAGTCCCTTTGACATCTGCCGCCTTTACAACCTTTGCCACAATCCGCGCTGGATCATCAACTGTCTTCCAGTCGCGCATTCGCAGAGATATCAAATTCGCCAAGGATGCTGGCTTCAGAGTTGCCAGCTTTGGAGGTCTTCTCGACAACTACAAGTGTGTCGTTTCGATGTCCATTCGGGCTCGAAGGCTCGGTATCTCCGAAGCGGCCATGCATGCCTGGCGCATCGAGCCCTCTGACTTCATCATCCTATTGATCCAGTACAAGGAAGCCTACAAGACCAAGGAGGAGCTTGATTCACTCCAACACGGTGGTGCGCTAGCAACGAACTTGGAGATACGCGTCGGTGCTTCAAAGAAATACAAGCCGACCGAACAGCAAGTCACCAATGCTTTCAGCACTATTGTCAAAGCCACGAGTCAGGATGAGACAGCAGATCCGGCTCTCTTCCGCGACATCTTCGTCTCTAAGCCACTGAACAACCTCATGAATACAAAGCTTGTCAGTCTCATCCGTCTGAGAGACTCCAGTATGTCGTGGCAAGGCGCCGAGGACTTCTCCTACAAATTCAGTCGGGGCATGCCCTTTGACAACGCATACACCAAGGCCGAGCAATTCGAGCCGGAACCAGCCTCTGGCTATCCTGCTGTGGTGGATGCGGATCATTTGGCTGATTTGTCAATCAAGTCTCACTCCTTCCCTCTAATTGCTATGCAATTCATGCTACGTCACTTTGTGCGTTGCACTGAATTTTGTCTCGTCTGCCACAAGAAGCTGGACAATCTGGTCGAAGCCATCAAGCCTTATGTCTGCGACACTCCTCTGTGTCTATACCAATACATATCTCTTGGCTTTGGTCCATCGATTGAGCACGAAATCATGATGCAAGACAAGGTAGTAGATTTGCTAATCAGCTTCTGCTATACCAGCGCCAATCTGGGACGGCTCAAGGACTTCCCTACCGGTCTTGAATTCTGCGTACCACGTTCGATTATCTTGGGGGTTGCAGCTCAGGCTGGCCGGAGTCTGCAAGGACTTGTACAGCCCCTCGGTGCTCGGCCTCCAATTCATGGTCGCCTTGAAGCTCGCTTCAACATGACGAAATCGGAAATTCTGTTCGATAACGTGAAGCCAGGCACTGTGTGCCCTCTCAAGAAGGGCGATTGGATCGCTCTCGAGCTTCCAGACGAAGCGGGTAGTCCTTTGTACCATTGCAGAGTGGCAAACCCTGACCTCTTCCCATCCATCGAGATTGGCCCTCTAATTGGGCAGCCCGTTTCGAAGGAGCTCAGTACTACACCAAAGTGGTCTACCGCATTTATCGACCAGTACTCCGTCGAATTTGACGAGCTGTCGGAGGCCGAGAAGCGCGGTGCGGTGTATCGTCTTCTTGCTCTTCTTCCATCTGTCAAGGAGATGAACGCCTACCTTGCGAAGCAAAACACTCCGGACTTGGCTCGCTGGGTCGACAGAATCTCTCCGGCTGCGTTTGCCGTCCTGCGATGGACTCTCGCATCCAACCGCTCTTGTATCATGGCAGTTGACGAACCTGAGAAGGCTGTTCACGGTATGCCTGCATACATGCAGTTCCGCTTCGCCATGGGGGCGCCCGACAAAGAGCACCGCTTCAAGACCGCTGTCAAGAAAACCGCAAATCGTCTGGATTCCAAGTACCCGACTCTCTATGCCTGGCACGGTAGCTCAATTCAGAATTGGCACAGTATCATACGTGAAGGCCTCCACTTTAGCGATGTCGTCAACGGCCGTGCCTTTGGTAATGGCGTCTACCACGCACCGAATGCCGCTACCTCGATGGGCTACTCTGGGATGGGCCCTTACGGTTATGGAAATAACTCAGTTTCTTTCATATGGCCGAACTCAGACCTACAGATCTCTTCAGCCATCGCACTCAATGAGATCGTCAATGCACCCGCCGAGTATGTCTCATCGACCCCTCACTATGTGGTCGCTCAATTGGATTGGATACAAACACGTTATCTGTTCGTCAAGTGTAAGCCTGCAGATGCCGGTGCAGAGCAGCCAATTCCTGCGTTTGACAAGCCGCCTACCAGCAAGCTCGAGCAGGATCCTGCTCGTGTTCCAATTGGCGCTGCCAACACTCCAATCATAATTCCAAACCTGAGCCCCAAGCCAGAGAAAGGCAAACGCAAGCTGGCCAATACCGTGTCTCCAGGCCCAAAGAAGACCAAGAGGGCTAAAAAGCAGAACTGGTTCATGGGCAAGATCGCACCAACACGGAAGGTTGTAGACTTGACAGGCGATGACGACAATGGGGACGTGGATGAGACCCGTTTTGAGGACAGCGATCTGAGCGACGCCTCGAGCACAGTCACAGACGACGAAGACCGCGAGATCTTCATGGAGCCTCAGTCTCAGCAGCTGGCTGTTAGAACGGGCCCGTCACCGATCGAATTCGTGCCGGGCTCGCTGGACCACGACAAACTCTCCAAGCTACCAAAGCCTTCCTACGCGAACCCCATGGCAACCAGAAGGCTGCTTCAAGATCTAAATGTTCTGCTCGCCGTTCAAGAGCACACCCCTCTTCGCGAGCTGGGTTGGTACATCGACCCTGAAAAGATCGGCAACATGTATCAGTGGATTGTAGAACTCCACTCCTTCGATATGTTCAATGAAGGAGATGAGGAGCTACCTTTGGTTACCGACATGAAGAAGCACAATGTCAAGAGCATCGTCCTTGAGCTGCGCTTCCCCGGTTCTTACCCCATCAACCCACCTTTCATCAGAGTCATCCGCCCCCGCTTCCTTCCCTTCGCAAACGGCGGCGGAGGCCATGTCACTGCCGGAGGCGCCATCTGCCATGCGCTCCTGACTTCGGATGGCTGGCTGCCCACCAACACAATCGAGTCTGTACTACTGCAGATCCGTATGGCTATGGCCTCGATCGACCCTGCGCCAGCTCGTCTGCAGCTCAGAGGCACCTACGCCGAGGGTGACCAAAACTCATACGGCTCCGGAGAGGCCGTAGATGCGTACAGACGTGCTTGCAAAATGCACGGCTGGACTATTCCTGTCGACTTCGACCAAACTGTTGCTGAACAGTGATGCATTCCTGCAAAATTCACGGGCATGCAGCATTACAGGCGTTATCGGGGTTACTTCATAGCATTTTTCAGGTACAAGCATACATAGCTAGGCGTTTTACAAGAGGATGGGAAACAGACTTAACGTATATACCATAGAATGACTGCAATGACACAATAATACCCACTACCTATACCTGCCTCCCGCATCGTGACAAAACTTGTAAATAGCCTGTATAAATGCACGAACTTTTCTAAAGCACAGACGATGTCCACAGACGAGATCCTCAGAGAGCTGCTTTCCTTCGGGCTCTCAGTGGAAGCAGCGTCGATTTGAATAACTTCTTGCATTTCTACAGGATATCTTCCCAACGTGAAGGGGTGTCGGAGATGGTTGCGTTACTGACGGACTGGTAGCCTTTTACGCTTTTACGCTCGATACGACCGTGGACTTCTACAGGTATTCTATCGTGAGTGAAAGAGTGGCACGAACTGATCTGGGTGACCGCATGCCACTGACGATGCATGAATTGATATCAATATCGTTTTTCCAGGACAAACGGTTCACAGAGATCGAAGTTGCGTTGGCCCTGTGCTACTGAATGGCTGAATGGCTGACTGGCTGCCCATCAATGCTATCGAGTATGTGCTACTGCGGATTCGTATGGCCATTGCAGCGATTACGTGCTTGCATATCAGAAACACCCTACGTTGAAGAGTAGATGGACATGTTTGAAGAAAAGATACATCTATTGACACCGACTCCATATCTACCTTACTTTTATGCCACAAAAACGACCCATGAAACTCCTAACACTATGCATATGGAAAGCACAAGCAACTGCAACTGAAGAAAAAGAAGATAGAAAAGAGGTGGCGACATCGACTACCAACCTCTTCTCTTACCCCTAGCCTCGGCACTCTTCTCCTTCCTCTTCATCTTGGTGATATCGTGCTTCCTCCTCTTGTCAGCCGCGTACTTGACAGGTGCACTGACGGCTTCGATTCTTCTCTTGCGTCTTCTCTCTTCTCTCTTGCCTCTGACCTTTTCTTGCACTCCTCTCATGGCAACTACGTATTCTGTGCTGCCCAACTTCTTCTGAAGCAGAGAGGCGACTTCTGTGGCAAGGGCCTTGAGGTCTTGGTATGCTTTTTGGAGGGACTCGGTTGCGAGGCGAGGGGCGGCGATGGAGGCGTCGGTGAGGAGGTAGATGGGTGTGAGGATGGCGGAGAGGGAGGGAGTGATGTTTTCAGAGGGGAGGATGTTGCAGAGAGAGGCAATGGCTTGGAGGGCGCCGGTTTTGGCGGAGAGCACGGAGGCTGTGGGAGCGCCATCGTCGCGACGGATGAGAGCTGACATGCGCGATAGCAGGTGGTGTAGTGCTGTTGTGGGAGTTGCGTTGTCGGTTTGCTCTTCATCATCATCGGCATCAGCGGTCTCGTCTTCTTCCTCTTCCTCGTCCTCTTCTTCGGCGTTTACTGAGACGGCGACGCCGTTTCTGGTGAAGGGAGTGGGGTGTTCCCAGTCGACGTTATCCGCGCTATAGCAGCGACCAAGGAAGATCAGGTTACGCACAGTCTGACCGACCAATTGCTCGCTGACGTTGCTGAAGCGCAGAGTTCTGAGACCAGCAGCGCAGAGCTCGTGAAGCTCCTTGGTAGTAATCTCCATCTTGCTGTTGGTGTACAAAGGCAGAGCACCAAGTCCCTCTTCAGTCTTGGAAGCACAGTTGCCCATGTCGGCGAAAAGCAGGCCGATGAGGCGATCGGAAGAAAGCTTGACCCATGCGTGAGGGAAGACAAGACACTTGAAGATGTTGGTCCAAGAAGCCTTGGCGGCAGGTGCCAGAGAAGTGGAAGGTGCCATCTCGGCCATCTTTGCGAAAGCCTGGAGAGCGTAGTACAGCAACTCCCAGTCTTCAGATTCAACATCGTCAGGGTTCAGAAGCTTAGATACCTGCTTGAACAGGAAGGAAGTCTCCTTGGCAGTTGCCTTGCCGTGACCAATGTAGATGGTCCAGCACTGCAGAGCAATGCGGCGAAGCAGCAATTGTTCGTCCTGCTCCAACCATGTGCGCATCAGAGTGACGAAGTTCTTTGTGCGTTCTTCATCAGCGCGTTCAAGAAGTTTGCTGATCAATGCGCCGGCCATCTCGCGACATTCGGGTGAGTCGTCGTTGACCATCATCATGACCAGTGGTACGAACAACATGCTTGACAGCTCTTGGACAAGATCACCTTGTGTCTTGGCCAGAAGCAAATGCAGCAACTCAAGGACAGATTGTCTTCCTTCGACATACTTGTACTCAAGGTTCTGCACCAAGAAGGCAATCTGCTTGTTCAAACGGGCGCCTGCTTGAGGGTATTCCATCATGAAAGCGAAGTACACACCACGAGAAAGATCTCTAGCAGAGCGGGTCTGGTTGGTGACCATAATAGCAGCAACCGAATCCATCACCTCGTACACCTCAGTGATGATGATCTTGCGTGCCACAACAGCCTTCAAGAAGTTAAATATGACGCCTTGACGATCGGGCTCTTCGAGATCGGGCTTAATTCTCTTGAGCACAAAGGCCATGTCATTCTCCTTGATTTTGATGTCAGGTCTATCACGAAGAATGGCTGAAATCAGCTTCAAAGAAGACTGAGCCAATTCGGTGATCATCGAGGGCGCAGCCCTGAGGATCTTGACTGCTTCTCCAGCGTAGACTGGTCCGTTGGCCACGATCTGCGGAGCAGGCACTCTGATGATGGATGTGAGCAGACGGACAGATGCCATTTGAACTTCCTCTTGACCACCAATCAGAGCATCACCAAGAATAGGCAAAAAGCCAGCAAGGTTTGCCGGAGTCTTGAGCTCATCATGCTTCTGCAAGACTGCGCGAACAAGATCAAGAGCGAATCTGGTAAGCTTGAAGATGTACGAGCTGGTTGCTCCCTTCTTGCCGGACTTGTTGGCACTCTGCATCTGGATGAGATACTTTCTGATCTTGTAATCCTCCATGACAGGGCGAGTCTTGGCAGCAGCAGTGGCGGCATACACCTTCTGGATGATCTCATAGCCAAAGACGAGAATGTCTCTGTCCTTGACTGACAAGTTCTGACTAGTCCCCAGACCAATGCGGCGGAGAAGTTCATCAATTTTCTTGACGGTCTTCAGATCCAGCTTCTCGAGCAAGAGAGACTGGACGGGTCTAATCAGCTCACCAAGATGAGATGTGGTTGTGATCTTGGCGATGAGCTCAGCAGAGTCGTAACTCTTGCTGCTCTTCACTTCCTTCATCTTGCTGATGTATTCTTCAGCATCCTTCTCTTGACCTGCAACACCGAAGATATCATCCATGACGACGGCGATCATGTCGTTGATACAATGATCAAGGTCACCAGCCTCCAGGGACTCGATGTTGTCGACCAAGATAGAATGCATGGTGAAAGACATGACATGAAGCTGGTAACCACGCTGCAGAGCGCTGCGCAGCTCCTTGATAACAAACTGGAAGTAGGATGGCCCAAGGATACCAGTGATCTCGGAAAGAGTCTTTCTGGTCATATCTCTGGCCTCGGCTGCTTTACTTCTAAGGACGTGGCACAAGTCCATGAGTACAGTGGGGAGTCTCAAGGCATGCTCAGCGACAGGAAGGACGCGAATGAGCTTGACCACAGCGACACCTACGGGTACACGCAGACTGACGGTTGACTCGTCCTTGAGATGCAAGAACGAGGTCAGCGGCGGCAAGAGCTGCTTGTTGATCTCGTTGGACAATTTGTCTTCAGAAGGCAGAGTTGCAGCAAGCGGGCTTAGCGCCGGAGCACCATTGATTGATTCGCTCTCGCCATCAATCTCCATACCGGTGTCCTTCTTACGGATGGACTCAGAAGCTCGGTCCAGGGCATCAATCACACGACTGACAATTCTAAGCACGATCTTTTGCAGCTCTTGTTTGCTCTGAATATAACTGACGAATCTCCTCAAAGTCGACCTGTACAGCTGCCAGTCCAGACACCCAGAGAGAGCTCCGACAGTGTTGATGGTCTCGGCAGACAAGTTGTGAGAACTGTCGTCACCAGCAGGATCGAAGATGAAATGCTCGAGCAGAGGAATGAAGAACAAGCTGACGTTGTTGCTTGAGATAACACCAGCGTGTGCTTCCTCGGACAATCTTCTCAGAGCACGAAGTCTGCGATGCTGCTGAATGTGCAAGATATTGTTGAAGAAAGAGGCTTCCTCGTCGCCCTCGACAAGCAGAGTAGCCATGTCATTGACGGCGTCCCAGGCTGAGAAATATTTGATCATATGAGCCAAGATCTGAAGGTACTCAGATCTAACCAACTCTGAGGGATCGCGCATACCACCCTGCAGACCGTTGAAGAGGCCAGAGATGGTGAGTTGCTTGAAGTCATCGTTCTTGAAGTTGCCATTGACGCTTGCTACTTCGATGAATCTTCTCAGACTGTAAGAAGCACTGGTTCTGATGGCAAGTTCGTCGTTGTCTCTAACGAAATACAACATGCTGTAAACGAGGGGCTGCCATTGCATAGCAGTGAAGGTAGAGTACTTCTCCTCATTAATGGTGCTGAACGCGATGGCACGGCGCTCAAAGTCTGGCTCATCGAGTCTTGATGTCGAGAATGAGTTCAGGTCTTCGCACAAAGAAGCGACGTATGAGAGCTCCTTTTTCTCATCAGCCAACTGTTTCACAACAGCAGCAAGAAGTTCGCGACTTTCTCGGTCCTTGAAATATCCAAACAGCGGGCAGAGTGTGGTATAGACTTGGTTGAAGCGCTTCTCATCCTTGTTGAGATCGGCTCCAGGAATGAGATGGAACAGAGTTTGCAGAAGATCGCGCTTAGTAGTAAAGTGGACGATCTTCGAGGGCTGCCCAAGCAGGAAGATTGAGACATCGACAACATCACGAATATTCTCGACACCAGTTACAAGCGGCGCAAGACGCGATACGCACAAAACACTCGAGTCAAGAATGTCCTTGGGAGGGCTCTGTCTCAAGACAGCACCAAGTCTGACAACAAACAAACTGGCTCTCGGGCCCAGAATGGATGCACGTGCTTGGTCCTGCTCTTCGGTCATGTCAATGTTCATGTCGACATCCTTCAATCGGCGTGGCTGGATAGTGTCTAACAGACGTCCGATGATATGCTCAATGATGAACGACTTGACCTCGTTCTTTGCGCTGGGCACGACAAGACAGTCTGCCACTGCATTGAGCGTTTGCGGATAGAAGTCAGTCAAGAAGTTGCAGGTGGACAATGAGCTTGCCCAGGTCGAGAAGAGACGCAGGAAGGCAGAGACGGATTGTGCGGTCTCGATGGGGAGTTTCTCCAAGCGGGGACCAACGAGTTCACTCATGACAACCTTGGCGTAGTTGTACCATGCCACCTCAGTACATGTTGAGAATACTTGAATCAAACAGTGAAAACCAGCCTGGCGAATAGAGCGGTCGAGGGAAGTCTGAGATTCAGCCTCGACAGGCGTCTCCTCGTCGACATCGATAGAATCGGTATGCGACTTTGAAGCTTTCAGCAGGCAGAGTAGAACTGCATCAGCAATCTTTGTAGCATAACGGTCCAGTCTATTGCCGAGAGTGTGCACCATATCATCGAGCATATTGAGGAGACCAACTTGCTTTCTTGGAGCGACATTGAATTTTTCCACGGCTGATTGGTTCAGATTTCCATCCTGGATGGGTTCCATGGTCGCCAGAGAGCCAAGTGAAATACTCAAGAACTGTCCGATAATCTCTGCAGGGAAGCGAGCTAGAGCAACAAAGATGGCCTTGCGACGAGTTTGCTGTCCACGCTTACCACTTGCCGAACCAGCTCTCGTCACTGCTTTACCATAAAGTATGCGCAACAGAACTGGCATCAAGTCTTGGCAATCGGCACTGCGGATGGCATCCCCCTCTTCCTCAAGACGAAGGAAGACAGAAACCTCTTCTCTAAATCTTGCGTCATCCAGGAAATTGAGCAAGTGCTCCTGGTATCTGATGACACTGGGAGTTTTCCAAGCAAGGATGGCTTTGAGGGTCGACTTTTGAATTTCGTTGTCACCGTTCGTGAGGAGGTTGAGCAGAGCTTGGTAGACCTCAGTTGCCTTGAACAGAACTCTAGGATTTTGGAACTGTGCAAAGACGCCGAGCATAGCTTTCTGATCTTTGCGTCCCCAATGGCGAGTGCTCCCGGTCTCTTCTTCTTCCTGCGCTTCGCTCTCGTCACCTACCCATTCGAGTAAGACAGGTACCAATAGACGCGATCGCTTCTCTGCCAACTGTGGCATTGAGTTCAGTGCGCGCAGTGCTTGTGATCGTTCAGAAAGAGAAGCTGCTGCTCTTTGAACGTGGTCTCGTTTGAACTGGTTTTCGATGCCTTGATGCAGATCCGCGAACAGAGACTCTGAGATCTCAATATCTCTCTCGATCTGATTCATGTTGGAACACTCGAAGTCGGAGCTGACGTGGCTAATGCTCCTGTCCGGTGCTGTTTCTGCTGGCGAAGCGCCGCCTTCCATATCAGCCTGGCCCTGGAGCCATTGTGTGATGGTGGTCGTGATGATTTCCTCCGCATTTCCATGTTCGGTCATCTCTTTGAGTGCTGCGATAGAATCTTCCCATGCCTGTGCGAGGTGAATGTGTAGAAGACCAAAACAGTATGTGGGAATAGCCTTCGCCAAAACCGGGTCCGAGAGAACATCGGGATATCCGAGAGCTAGTCGACGAATCTGTGAGGAGATGAAACGGGCTGTTTGCACACTTGGAGGTGTGTCTTCGATTGAAAGAGCATATGTCAGTAGATCAGGGACCTCTTGCTGCCTCTTCTCATAAATTGTCTGCAATATCCGCAGTCCAGAAAGTCTAAGATCATGACTGGGCGTCTTCAAGCAGTCTATCAGATTGGCGATAAGAGAGTCCATCTGCTCTCCGGTGAAGGCAATATCGGCTTTCTGCAGGACGGAGTTCAAAGCAGTCCAGTAGGGCACCAACTTCTTGCACCGTGTAGAAGCAGAGCACAAAGCTTCGGCAAGTTGCTTGTCCTGTAGACTTTCGCTGAATTCGTCCGAGATGTATTGGAATCCTTGACCTAAAGCGAACAAATCCCAACCTCCAATTTCGGTGGACGTCGATTTCGCGGCAGACTTGAGCAGTTGCAAAATACTGGCTGCAATCAATTTGCGAGTTTCTGAGTCTCCCTGAGATATCCTCAACACCGCCAAATGGCCATTACTCATGTGGAGGGTCTCATCATCTTTCAGCGCCGATTTCCCTTGAGCTTTCTTCAGACGCTGTAGCATGACCTTTTGCCATTCTAGGGGACATTGTAGAGGTGTCTTGGCAAATGTGTTCTTGCGGGATAGAGAAGGGAGCATTGCGCAAAGAGCCATCTCGTTCTCCTTCCAGTGGTTGACAATGAACTTTTGGAAGATGGGCAAGACGAAACTCTGGAAGCGCTCTTGGTTGAGTTCGGCGAAGATATTACAGAAAGGAAGGAAGTGGCCAATCCATTTACCACGGCCAATGGTATCAAGGATTGCAAGCTCCTGAAGGACTGCGTCAAAGGGTCCATAATTAAGTACCACGGCCAGCGTGTTAAGAAGTGCAGTCAAAGTGTCTGAGTCGATTTCCTTAGATGCCTTGTCGGCTTTCTTGATCATGGTCGTAACGCGCTTGACATAAGTTGGCCAATCCGAAATTCTGCTTCCTTTACGGACGGATGCGGCTGTGAAAAGTAGAGTGTTTGCTGCATCCAGGTTCTCTGCTGCGCCCTCGTCATTTGGGTCAGTAAACTCGAAGATGGCGTCCTGGACGGATTCGAAAGTTTCCGGGGTGGTATGATGTACAACACTGATCAGCGAACCCCTCAGGATTTGGAGCGACCTGCTCTTGAGAAACTCTGAATGGTTAGCATTAAAGCAGAATCTGGTCAGACATTGCAGAACAGTGTTTCCTCCTGAATGCAGCGTCCCCTGTACACCTTTGATGGACTCGGTGAACAGAGTCATCAAACCCTGAGAGTACAAGTCGTCTGACGCAGTCTCATTTGAAGCAAAGTCGTTCAACATGTGCTCGACAATTGTGTCCAAGGGTTCTTTGCTCTTATGATATGTGGTTCCAGCTTTTCTGACCAAGAAACTCATTGCTTCGGCAGCGAATCGAATAACGTATGGCTTCTGCTTCTGCTTTCCCAGGTATGGCGATAGGAGATCGTAGAGCGGTCTGAGATCGGGTACTAATAGGCGCGAGAGGTACTTGAAGAGCCACGCGAGGCAGGTGAAGGCCCATTCGACGACCTCAGGCTCAGCATGAGTGGCAGCGACTTGTGCGACGGTTGCGACAGCTCTCTGAAAGTGCTTCTCGAAGCGGACGTCGAGGTCGTGTGCGTAGTGTGAGAGTAGTGCGAGCAGCGGTTCGAGGGACATGACATCTCCCTTCTCGATATATGTGATAAGGTTGTCCATGATAGCCTCCTCGTGGAAGAGGACCATAGGCAGAGTGTCGGAGATGTTGTAGACATGTTTGGCGAAGGTCGAGAAGTTCTCGGACAGGTTGAGGTCCTTCCATTCGTCCAGTGCAGTACGGAAGTACGACGACTCTCCTTCCAGCTCGTGGCTGCCTTCAGCTCCTACTCCGCGACGAGTGCGACGGATAGGATCAATCTTCATCTTGGAGATCCTCTGGGCGAAACCTTCGAAATGGTGCCGCCGACTTGAGGGTGTCGACTTCTTCTTTCTTTGTGTTTTGACGACCTGAGTGGCCGCCTTGGCCGACTTGGGCCCATTTGAAGCGGTTCCCCTCGACATTCCCGCCATGTCGTAGTTGTGCTTTGCTATGGCAAAAAAGTTGCTGCGACTTTGAACTTTCTTGAAGAATGCGACCAATTTACGCCAAGACTCTGGGGAAGTGGCTTGACCCTGACGCATCAGCCACTTGTGCCACAGTCGCTCTTTCTCCCATCAAATCACGTCGAAGCTTTTGCATGCCTCGATCATTCCGATCCTTCGGTTTCTTCTTTCTATAATCGATCAAAGATGGCATCCAAGATGTAAGCATATCGAGCTTACTAAAATCCCAGCATCTCGACTGACAATTCTCTAGTGCTGTTGTTGGCGCAGTCAATGGCCAAATCTCTGCTGTCTTGGGCAAGTTATGTGCCTTGCACGCCAAAAATGCCTTCGCTTTTGCTATCATCACTGGAGATTTATTCGCGGACCCTCTGACACCTAGTCCGGAGGAAGCCGGCCAACTCAAAGATTTACTTGATGGAAAAATCGAAATCACTCTACCAGTCTATTTTGCTCTTGGAAAGCGCGAGTTGCCTCATGAAGTCCAGGAAAGGTTGAGCGCCAATGCGGGCGAGCTATGCTCAAATCTGTACTTCCTCGGCCGGCGGACGACCGTCAAGACATCTGAAGGTGTCAAGATCGTTGCACTTGGTGGAACACATATGGACGCTGTCTCTGATAAGAGCCTGATCACAGAATTCAGCCCCAGTCACACACAGGAGGATATCAAGGTGTTGAGGGGCGCTAACACAGCGGACATCCTAGTGACGAGCGAATGGCCCGCTGAGATTCGCACTGGCTCCAATGCGGCCTACATTGGAGAAGAGGCTACCCCCCAGCAGGGCGTTGCAGACCTCTGTACTGTGCTAAAGCCTCGCTATCACTTTTCCTTCTCGGATGGCTTCTTAGAACGCGAGCCTTTCTTCCATGCTCAAGGCGAAGACGACGCTGGATATCAGGTCACCCGTTTCATCAGTCTTGCACCCTTCGGGAATGCACACAAGCAGAAGTGGATTTACGCCTTCACACTGGATACGTCAGTAGCGCCCACTGCGACCGTACCGTCAGGGGTCACAGCTTCTCCGTTGCAGTTCGCTGGGAAGAAGCGCAAGGCTGTAGAATCACAGGCTCAGTCGTTCTCACGCTTTTCGGGTGGCGATGGTGGCCGACCAAGAGGTCGTAACAAGCGCGCTCGTCCAACCCCAAACCCGTCAGAATGCTTCTTTTGTCTGTCAAACCCTAACATTGCATCACATCTCATCTCTTCTATTGGCAACAGCGCGTATTTGACAACAGCAAAGGGACCTCTCCCAACACCCAAGACTTTCCCTGCTCTGGGCTTCCCAGGACACATGCTCATTATCCCGCTCGAACATTCGCCTACACTTGCGTCAATACAAGACCAAGACTCCAAGAAGGACACAATCGCGGAGATGCATCGCTATCGACTTGCTTTGCAGAGCATGCTGACCAAGAGATCGGAAGATGCTGCTGAAGCCGCCAAACTTGGTGCGGTCACATGGGAGATCAGCCGTTTGGGCGGTATTCACATTCACTGGCAATTCATGCCTGTACCTCAAGACATTATTCGCAAGGGATTGGTTGAGGCAGGCTTCAAAGTTGAAGCCGAGAATCAGAACTATCCGGCATTCGAGTCATCAAGTGTCTCGACCGATGTCGCAGCCGAGGGTGACTGCTTCAAGGCTACTATCTGGGACGGAGCCGAGGAGAAGACTATGGTTCTTCCTCTAGACTCGTCATTCAGATTCGATCTACAGTTCGGACGCAGAGTGCTAGCCAAGCTGCTTGGTCTAGAAGGGCGGTCGCATTGGCAGGACTGCGATCAGAGCGAGGCAGAAGAGAACACTGATGTTGAGACCTTCAAAGCGGCATTTGCTTCTTTCGACTTCTCGCTGGAGGAGTAGACGCAGGTGATATACTATTATGCAAGCCTCTCCCAATGCAGCTCAAGCCGTTCTTCTTCCAGGTTTGATAATTGACTGTGACCCACAAATGAACATAATGTTATTGACGGTCATTACTTTTATGCATCGGCACTATCATCGGTACAGATCATGTCTGTATTGCGTGCCTAGATGACAGGCGCAGGGTCCCAGACGGCTTGCCGAACAGGCGTTGATGTGCCCTCAAAGTGTGATTGATTAATCAAGAAAGTTACTGCAGTACGGTACTTGTACATGCAGGGCCAATCGATAAACAAGGATTGACTCAACAACGTAGAAACAACGTTGAGGGAAGAACTCATCGTCAATTGAGGCACGAAGATACGAGATAACAACAGACAGACGTTTGCAGCCTTGTAGCAAGGTTACGATGACAGGTTCAGCACGCGCACCGATAATATGCGGGACGATCGCCAAAATGCGAACAAGATGCACAGCACGTGTGTGGAGCCGAGAAGCGACAACCAGCAGGCGGCAGCTTTTTGTGCGCAAGGGCGGTGTGATAGTGGTTTGCTAGAGCGCGGCCGCCGCATGACCCAGGGCGGCGTTTGCATGTTACACCGCATTGATCGCGGCTGTTGTGGATAATAATGGTCTCTTTGGATGATGATGTTGTTGTTGTTGTTTATGGACGCGATGTGAGGAGAGCCGGCGCAAAGAATCGCTCAGTCCAAGGCCACGATGGAGAGTTCTGTAAGCTACAGCTGGCTGTGGGTTTCGGTAGTCTACGAGTCAACATGTTGTGGAGAGATCGATGTGCAAAAGCAAAAGTGGAATCGTCAAAGCACGGGCTGCAGCCAATCAGCAAATCAAGGTCCTGGTGCACGGCCCCGGGAAGCAGTTGAAGTGGGCGTTCGCGCCTTCCGTCCCTTCGCTCACCTCTGTTTCGCTCCTTCCTTCCTCCGTCACTCGCTCGCAAAGCGCAATTGTCGATCAACCCTTCGCCCAATACTTCACTTCTCCCTCGCACTGTTCTGTTCGCGCCTTGTTGTCTTCACTGCATTCCGACCCTCGATGGCCGCTTAAATCCACAACCGCATCGCGTCCGCTCCCGCTTTGTTGTGATTCGCACGCGCATCCGGCCCACAATCGCGACCGCTATTGCCGCAACTAACCTGCATCTCGAACGTTGCGAGCCTCAGACGTCAAACAACCACAACACTTGCTGCCCCTGACACTCGCTTTCAACCCCTCTTTGCTATCGCGCATCCTTTCCGACTGCTTGGTTTGTTGTTCGCCGCGCGCGCACTTAGACGCCATGGCTTCGCACAAGCCCAGCGTGTCTATCACGCTTCCACGCGACTTCAAATTCAGTTACGACAACAACGACGAGCCACAGACACCTGCTCGTCCCTCCACTGCCGTGGACTCCTTCGACCTCGAACCGCCCGCGGTTCCAAAACAGACTTTCAAGCTGCGTCGCCGCCCACGCGACCAGCACACTGGCGCAATGGACGAGGCCCCAATCCTTCCCAGCGTAGAGATCAACGAAAGCACCGAGCCGGCTCACTACTCTTTCGATCACCACATGTCCACCGCTGGATACCTCGCACCTCGTCCCGGCCACCTTCGTCTCAATTCTCCGCCCAAGACACCTGCGTCGCAGGTGACATCCTACAACATCGAGACCACGGACGCCACCGAATGGTCCATGTTCCACCCCATACACCTATCAGATATCATCCAGCGACCTTCCTCGGCCTCGTCGACCTTCTCTGACTCTTCTGCAACTTCAGATGGCAGCAGCTTCGACTCCAAATCCTCTTTCGACGCAGGCAGCTGCACGAGCCCTGAAAGCGAATTCGGTGATCCTTTCGCTTTCTTCGAACGCAAGTCTGGAGCACCAGGCGCCATGACACCATCAAGCGGACTTCCCAACGCCAAACGTGTCAAGACAATGCGCCATGCTCACTTCACCCCGGAGATGGACAACCATCTTTGGTTCACGTACATGACCTATGTCCAGGATCCGAGGGTCACTCCGTTCAAGATGCTTCCTGGCACCTCACCACCATTAGGAGTCTGTCATCGCGTTGCCCGCGAGGCAAAGGCAACCTGGCGAGGAAATCGCCTCACGCACGCACCTTACGGTATCCCGCGTATCTCAATCCAGCGTGCAGACTCTCCCGATACTGTCTGCCAACCTGACGCTATGGACCAGTCAACTCCAACTGCACCGTACTCACACAACCCTGTCGCACTTAAGTGGCCGCGCTCGGAAGGTGCTGCACGCCGCCGTCTTCGCGAGTTGTGCAAGCGGAAGCCCTCTCTCTCTGCCCACTACATGAGACTGTTGCGCACTCGCAGTCCTTCTCCATTCGAGTCTTCGAGCAGCGTCAGCGCTAGTAGTAGTCCTAACCAGCCAGCCGTCCCTGTTGCTCAGCCCCCTACTCCTCAGCCCTCGTCGTTCTCGAGCCGTGATCTGAATGTTTCGCTGGCCGAGGCAACTGCACCATCGATGCAGCCAGATGGTCCTCTCGCTCAACTTCACAAGCGCACTCCTCAACCACCCATGGCCCCTCAGCAGCGTCGTGGCTCGGATTGGTATGCCCGTATTGGCCGCTCTGGAGCACGTGCAGCTCATCAGAAGAGCCAATCTTTGCAACTTGGTCTTGGCCTGGGTTCCTCATCTGGCATGCAATCGAACCATTTTGAGCGTGGCAGCATTCTTGCTTCACCCTTTGATGATAGCGAGCCTGCTCGTCAGAACTTCTTGGACTCTATGAACAAGACACAATCTCTTGGACGCGCTTTCTTGAATAACAACGGAAGCCGCCTCACAGATGCAGGCCCATCGTTGCGTTCTCCCTTCCCGCTCGACGGTCCTATGCCGAGCGCCAGATCCCTGAAGCGCAGATTCGGTGTTGATGAGCAATCGGCCTCTCAGCAACCATCCCTAGAAGACGTCTTCACAGCACCTCCAGCATCGTCTCATCATCCCATGCGCAATCGTGGTTTCAGTCTGAGTGCTGTGCCGATGGGTGGCATGACACAAAACGCGAACACCGACTTCCCCTTCGCGCCTGGTCCGTCGACTGCAGATCACAAGATGGGCGACGCCTCGGACAGACTCAATCTACCCAAGGTCGCACAGCCTCCAAGACTTGGTTCGCCTTTCTCTGGCGGTGTCTCCAACTCGCGCTTCAACACCTTCCCCCGTCGCTTCACGCCGCGCGAAGCTGGTTTGACAGAACAACCATTTGAGGAGCACAACCGTCAAATGTCCACAGGCTCCCCGCCTGGTTCATGACGAGATTGATTCACTTGTTTTGTTGGGAAAAGACTGTCTCACTATCTCATGCGGGCACGATAGACAAGACTGTCTGTATGGATCAACCAGCAAATCATCTGACCATGACTACGACGAACGAATCTGATGAAGGACATCATTGAACTCTCACCTATATGATTTCTTCTAATCTGTTTCTCATTCACTTTCCTTGAGGGCCAATCTCAACGCCAGTGTACTCAACTCCCTGGCACTGGGTCTCTTCTCTTTTCTCTCATTCTACAACACTACTCTTTACTGCATCTTTCTTGTTTCTTCTTCCTGTTTTCTTTTCATCCAGTACTGTCTTCTTTCCTTTATGTTGTCCCTTTGACGAAGCAACGAGACCAGGGATCTGAGCAACGCAGCAATTACACAAATGCATAGGGCGGTGGTGCACAGAAGGGGTGTAACGGCGAAAAGCTGCTTTCAGGAGGTTGTGTTTTCCCATTCCTTTTTCTTTTTCAAAAACCGATGTTTGGTGGAATCACTTTGATGTTTGTACATTGGAGGTTGATTTTCTTATCCAACTTGAACAAGTAACAAAAAAAAGGAGGCGCAATTTCAGGAGTGTTTTTTTTTTCTGGTGCTCTGGATGGCATGGTGTGTGGGTTGAGGACGCATAGGCCGGTTTGGGGGTGTTTTCTTTTTCTTTTCATTGCATTCTCTCTGGTGTTTTTCTTTTCCATGTTCTTCTTCATACAAGGTCTGGAGTTTAACTTTGATCTTCTTTTGATGCAATTACAACTTTTTCTTTCTGAAAATCGATTTGATGATTCCCTCGCTGTGCTCGATATGTATGCGCATTCTCTTGTACAACAAAGTCTCCGTGACGTCTGACACCTTGACGGTATTGCCCTGTGTCCTGATCTTTGACCCAAGCACCGACTTCTCGTTGTGTCTTTTGAAAGGAGAGTTATGTCCTTGGAAAGAGACTCATATCTACGTTTCGATCGCTCCTTCACTCCTTTACTCTTCTGATTTCATCGCTCCATAGAAATGCAAATATCCTCAAGCTTTCGTCGCTTGTGTTCAGATAAAATCTTCCTCGGCACATTGCTACCCATGTCGCTTCAGAGAAACCACTGACCATGACGACACTCTCTGGGCTCTAAATTCGACCAAATCTTCATCTTCTTTTTGTCCTCATCATGAGAAGACTCGCGATTTCTCTCTTTGTCCCAAGCAGAACTTGTTGATATTTGGTTTTGCTTGCTCTTTTGCTGGTCCTCGTGGTTTTTGTGGCTCTTGTGGTTTATGGGGTTCATGCTGGATGTGGGAAGCATGCTTATCTCTTGTATTGTTGAGATTGTGGGACTTTTGGGGTCCTTGGGAAGGGGTGGCGGATACAGTGTTGATGGGAGGGTGCCGAAGAATGTGGCTGCAGATTTGAGGCTTGAGGGTTTGCTTGAGGAAGTTAAGGTGGTGTCGGTGGAGTGTTGAGGTTTTGATGCAGTGGCAAGAGTGTTTGATGACATGGCTGCTGATGTTGAACTCGTGAAGGTTGTGTTCTGGGAGGTGGAAGAAGTCATGCTGATTGCTGGCGATCTTGTTTATCTGTGATGTTGATTGTGTTGCTAGAAGCCTTGTTCTTATCGTGAGAGAAAGTTGTGTGAGATGTGAGGAAGAGGTAGTGGCTTGTAGTCGGATATATGTATATGTGAAATTCTCCAAAATGAGTCTATATGTGACTCAGGATGGCTGACTATCTGAAGCGGTATATTGAGCAACTTTGAGGTTTTGCTAAGTGGAAGAGCTGTCTGCGTCGAACACGCCCGATGTAACAGCAGTTTTGTCCATCTACAACATTACAGACCTCTCTTGCAATACTGCCGAAAGCCCATCCAGGTGACTGCCATACAGGAAGCAGTTCCATTGTTCCCAAACTCGTCTACCGACAAACGCATACCGGAATGTTCGCCTCCGTCTTCTTTTTCCCCTCAAATATCTTCGCTGACAGTGCTGCCGCTCGATGACCCGCTAGTTTGTTCCTGATCACACCATCAGTCTCGTGTTGAACACTCGTCCATTTTCTGTTAGATACTCTGTCCATACATGCTCTCCAGGCTCACCCTGGGGTGTTGACGCTTCCTTCTCGGGCTTGTCGTCTTCGATGAAGGGGCCGAAGATACTTTCACCCCGTCTCAATTTTACAACTTTGAGTTCGGTTTCTGGGTTGCATCTGCTGGATATCTTGCGTTTGGTTGATGTTTTGGGTTTGGGTTCGGGTTCGGTTATTGCTCCTGTAGCTGTGGCAGATGACCAGGCGATTTCACTCTGGGTGTTGGAAGAAGTCATGTCGACGATGTGATAGGCCTGAGATGATTATGCTGATTGTGATGGTTTGTTGTTGAAGCGCAAAGAGTTCGAAGCTCAGTAGTGGAAGTAGAAGAGGCAGACAGATATATTCGGGCATAGGTGTGACTCAGTATATATGACTATCTGTGAGGCTTGAGCAAATTCAAGACATGGATCCGACTGTCAGTTGCGATGCTTCATGTGAGCTTCTGAGTACTTTGGAGGTGCAGCAGATGCTGACTACTCGTTCTTCGTACTCTGTACCACAGGTTCAACTCCGCAGCAACTGTTTTCCTTGCTCGTCTTGGACTTGAGCCACGAAAATGGATTCGACCAGCCCTTTCTAGGTGCCGTCAGATCAATGAGATGTGGTGAAGATCCATACGGGAAGACATGAATCTCGTCGAATTGCTGCAGATGGAGCTATCATTTGTTAGATGGTTGGATGCAGACAGCAAGGGATCAGGAACAAAATTACCGAGTTTGCAGTGTCGGTCTCGAAGATATCGACATACTGGCCCGAGTTTTTTCGAGAACCGCGAGTCTTGAAGCTCACATCAGGGTGTGTTCGACGATAATGGGACAGAGCCTCGCTCATGGGTGTGTCTCTGTACATCTTCAAGAGGGTTTTTTCTTGGTTGCATGAGCTCTTGCCAATGTATATGAATGACAAGATGACCGAAGCTCTTTCGACTGGACCATCGGGCCTAACAGTCTCGGCATCGCTCGTGAACGAAGGCAGAGTCTGGAGCCAACTTGGTCAGCGAGGCTCTCTGATATTGATGTTTGGAGCATACAGTGTCGGGCGTCATGATACCGTCGACAGAGGTGGTCCCAGGCCTCAGAGACGACACCTGAAGCACTTCGAATCTCTCAAGAAGGTCTTGGTAGTCCACTTCCAGCTTTTGGTAGTTGGCTTGCTCCTTCTGTAGCAATCTTATAAGCTCCTGGTTCTCTTTCGCGCCGCCAAACCACTTCATGTAGTCTCCACGGTCACTTTGGTGGTCATCGACCCACTGTCTACTTCTTCGCCCGTTCTGGAGAGGCGAGCTGCGTGAAGACATCTCCAGCTTCGAAATATATTGAGCGTAGAAAGTTGTCAAACTGTCACGAAGGGAAGGAATGTCTATATGGCAGGGTCATTGGAGCTCTCATGTGATCTTGGCCGGGGGAAGCGCGACAAATGCACTCAAACAAACCCAAATCGGCGAGCTTCATGACGACAGAGTTTATGCACGAGTTAGACTTCAGGAGAGTTTCGCAGGCTCTCTGGTGATTGCGTTAGGAAGTAACTACCCAGAACGCTCCTCGGCACCAGTATCAATTCTGTGTTCTGGAGTGCAAGACTTCATTGAAACAGAAACGGTCGAGATACCGGTTACTTCGTCCCTCCTCTATTCCTCTTTTGCTGGGCTTCTAAGCCTTTGATTGTCACTCTCGATGCCTCCATCATAGCTTGCGGTGAAGCTGCGCACGCCTGATACACGGTGATCTCGTCATAATCCTTCAAACCTAGCTGTTGTTACACGAGATGATAAGTTGATGAGTTGTAGTCAAATTCTATGTTAAAAACTTACAGATTCTGGAGTGTCGTCGTCGAAGATCAATGGTACCTCGAATTTGATTGTGTCCCCATGTGAGTAGGACCCGGTCTTCGAGAAGGTGTTTGGATGCATCTCTCGGAAGTTCACCAAGGGCATGCTCATTGGAGTATCCTTGTAGATCTTGACAAGCTGTCTGCCTGTGCTGTCGATGTACCAGAGTGTGATCATCTCTCGTTCAATCTTTGCAACACTTTTTGAACCTTTCTTCCTGCCATCTGTACGCGTCGGCAAAGTCTGAGAGCATCGTCAGCAACATCCGCTCACGGTACATTCAACACTCGTAATATTGGGAGTGCTCACATTCTTGATGCTCCGAAGCTCGATTTCTTCGGACAGTGTCTTGTTCAGCAGTTTTGCCTTTGTCTCTCGACACTTCTTGCGTGAAGTTTCTAGAGCTCCGAAGAGCTCTTCATTCCTCTTTTCCTCCTCCCTTAGTAATCTGTACAGCTTCTCGCTCTTTTTTTGCTCTTGTAATAGAGCCCACTCCAGTCGAAACTCGTGTTGGCTCTTGGCCCTCTCTTTTGCTTCGTGTCTCGCAATCTTCTCGGGCAAGACTCTGGTACTGTCACACATTGTGTCTTATTCGGTAGAAACGAGTGTTGGTCAGAGAGAAGAGAGGTCTGAGGATACGTTTGGCAGGTCAACTGATACCCCTCGAGGTTACGTGTTCCAATGCTTGGAGGGAAACAGAGCCATGTGGGTGTGAGTTTCTTTAAGCACGTCCGACGCTTACACAAAGTCACATAGACACATCATCGTGCTGCACTTCCTTCTTTCACAATACAGACTAGACGCGCAAAGATGGCCGGACTGTTTTCGCTCCCAAACGAGACTCTTATCAAAGTTTCGAGTCGAGCCCGAATTTCCAGACGGCAGTATGCCTTTCGAGCGTCAACAAACTACTACGTGATACTCAGATGAATGATCGAATCGCACAGAGGCTCATCAGAGCAATCTCGACGCTACCAGCAGTCGAGGAAGCCATAGATTTGGCCATTATCGAATCAAGAATGCACATCAGAGCGCAAAATGCTGGTGCGATGGCGATGGCGGTGACGAGGGAGAGTAATCTTGGCACCATGACAACAACGATAAAGATGGTGCAAAAGCATGGATAGTGGCCAAGAAGGAACTCTGTCTTTGTTGCATAGCCCGCGTGGGCACCATGGATGAAATGCGTGAACTGCTAGCTGAGATCGGAACACCATGGCCAGAAGTACAGCCCTTTCCTCGAGGGAGTCAGTATATCATGCTGTCGATCTGCAGAAGACTATGATGTGACGGTTACGTAGACCTGCTAGAAGCGAACTAAATATCAAAAATTAGATCATGTTCAATTTATCCCCAAAATCTTCGTTCTAACAAGCAACAGCACTCTGAATTTCCATGTAAGACTCAAACTTACCCTATCCCTTGCAGAGAGAGCGTCTCTATGGCCTATGAGATGCTCGCCCAGGCCCGCAAAGTATAGCTAGCAGGGTCTTGAGGAAATGACCAGAGTCTTTCGGGACTCTTTTTCGCACAACATATTAGCAGTAACATAGAGTAGGGGCATAGGATTCACGCTGGGACCGAGCTCTCAGCCTGACGAGACACCTTACAAAACGGCCTTGGGAAGGCACAATGTTTTTGGTCTTAATGTGGTTGTCCAAAGAAATCAATAAGAAGCGCCGGCCTCAAAGGAGGTGTACCTGATCATCAAAAGCATTCTGCCCTTTCACAGGCAGTTTAGAGGCCTTACGGGAAGAGAGAGGATCTCTGCGCCGGGACAAACCTTCTGCGGCTACGTCCATGTTACGAGGTACATGACGTGTTGGCTATTGCCCAGAAACTTTTGGCCAACACGCTCTCCTGAATCTAGATCAAAGAAGAGGGTGAAAGGGCAGAGAGAAAATTCTCCAACACTCTTGAGAAACATGTTGGATATACAGCTGCCTTTGTCGATCTTCAGTGTGTCGTCTTTATGCTGATCCATAACCAAAGAGGGCAAATAGCAAACCACATGTGATAACCAGGTTGGTGAAAGAATGATCCGCCAGCTTCTGTTTGGAGCTTTAGTTTCCGCGTCGAACCGGAAGGACGACAAACACTCGGCGAGCAGCAGATATAAACTCAGCTCAGTCAGTTCAGAGAGATCTCATCTCGACAATCTCAATCCCAATCGGTCAACAAGCACCACAAGCACACAACCATCGACCACAAGACACGACACCCAGGTCCCAACACACTCAAACATGTCTTTACGTCCATCTCAATGGAAGGACAGGGTCAAGGAGCCTAACGAGGCCGACCGTCACGAATTTGGCGGCACCGAGCTGAACCGCGACTACACGCTTGTCGAGACTGACCAGACCGACGAGCAGGGTTACGACGTGATCCCCAACGTCGAGACCTCCATCGTAGAGATCAACCCCCCTAGACCCCCTCACGCTCTGGACTACTATGCCGAGGACCGCAGCTACCTCCTCCAGCTGGCTGAGCGTATGGGTTTCTGGTTGTCCGACCCGGTTGCTCGCCTGGGCGGCGGCAAACAACGCGGGCCCGACAAACGTGACGACAAGGAGAAGGCTGCTCAGCAGGAGGTCGACGACAAGGCATGGGTCGACAACATCAAGAACGACATCCAGTGCCTGTGGAACAACATGGGCATCGGTCAGGACCTCCTTGGTGATGAGCTGCAGGTCTTCCGCGAGGCCTTCTTCTCCGAGAGCAGAGCAAAACTCGAGAAGGTCGAAAAGGAGGACAAGGGAGTCAGCTTGGATCAGTTCCAGCAGTCTGTGCGCACCCTCTTGGTGCTGATGGACCTGAAGCTTTCAGAGGAGGGTCTCAAGATCTTGAAGGAGATGGCCACCGACAAGCAAGTTCTCAAGAACGAGCACAGCTTCAGCTTCGAAGAACAGAGAGCCGTCGGTCAGCTTGCCCGCAAGATGATGAGCTCTACTTCCGAAGAACGTCGTGAGGCCATTCGCCAGGAGAAGCTTTCCGACATGTCGAAGATCCAGAGAGAGATGTTCGAGCGCAAGAAGTTGGATCCTGTCAAGCGTCACTTCAACAACTTGGCTGTCAAGAAATTTGCACAAGACAAGAAGGAGGCAATGGAGGCAAAGCTGAAGAAGAGCAAGATGTACTGAGAGTCGGCCTCTGGTCTGCCAGAAAATCGCAGATGTCAAGGCTGGCTTCCAAGAGGAGCAAGGAGAGATTGGCGGCAATAGCACGAGACACAGTGCTTTTCTTTTTCGGGTCGCAGCTTCCTCATGGGGTTTGGGCTGTCCAAGGTTGCATTGTCGAGGAGGAGTTACTCGTTCATGGTCTTTGAGGACCTGCACCCATAGACAATGGGTTGAAGCTTCTTTGCTTGTTATTCTCTCATATCAGGGAGTTTTTTGAGCATCGTCGCAGTCGGGAAGAAATACCACACTCTCTTACAGATTCTCAGATTCATCATAACCTTTCTTTCTGCCCGTGCTTTACATCATGTTGTGCTGAGGGTGCTTCATTGTGTCAGCATTATCTGTCGGCATTTGATCGCAGGTCGTGACTGGATTGTTAATGGCAAAAGGCTGTCAAGCTCGACATGTTAGGCAAACGACGTTGAGCAGCGTTCGGAAAAGAGCTTTTCCGGAGGCACATTCTACTTCTTCGCGACGCGCACCTGCTTGCCCTATGCCCTCGTTACGAGGCACGGATTTCTTACCGCGAAAGCCTGCCGTCCAACCATACGATCATATTTGACTTTCATGACTCCGCAGTCTTGAACACAACAGATTGGGCCAAAAAGAGTGTCTACTGTGACGGGTAGCTTTACGGCAATGTGCGTGAATTGAGATAGAAGTCAGGAATTATGGTCGCCGGTGCAGCGTCGGCGGACATGAGGAGGTGGTGAGACTGTCCGCATCCGCGTCACACAACCATGAAACGATGAAATCGAGAGTGGTCACAAAATCCAGAGCAAATGCCGTCAAGATCATGTAGAAGAGTCACAATGGTCCGACTGGGTGATGAATATGGTCGTTGCCAAGGGAGTTCGGCTGAAGCACGCCGGATGCTTGTCTTTGGCCGAAGGCGATCTCGCGGGATCAAGTTTCCTTATATTCTCGTTCTTGTCCCGTCTTGCTGCAATCCGCTTTCTTTCGAATAATATTACGCCCAATCATTCTATAACAACCTTCAGCAGGAAACCCATGCGTCTCAAGCGGCAATTGGTCTATCATCATCCGCCTTTCTTTGAGCAGTAAACTTTCGCAATGGACACAGATCTGGAGAAGCAAGAAGGGCTTCACGAGCAACAACACCGTCTTGAAGAAGCTGAATCACCCCACTTCAGCAAGGAATCCTTTGAACAGGATATTGAGTCTTCGGGATCAGACGACAATGGCATTACTCTCAAACGCACCACATCGCGAAAGCCACCACATCCAGCGTGTCCTCGCTGTAAACAAGGTCTCACAGACGAGGAGGGAGAACCATGCCATGACCATGACGGCTTCGAAACAGATCCCAACATTGTGCTTTGGGACAGTGATGATGATCCAGCAAGACCGATGAACTGGCCTATGTGGCGTAAAGTATGCTTCTCCATCACAGCCAGTTGCTTCGTCATCGCGACCTCAATGTCTGCTAGTATTTTCGGTCCGGCTACTAGAATCACTGCACAGCAGTATGGTGTCTCACATGAGGTGATGAATCTGGGTATCACGTTACATATCCTTGGATTCGCCGCCGGTCCTCTTATCTTCGGCCCCATGAGTGAAGTCTGGGGTCGTACCATTCCTCTGTGGACAGGTCTCTTCGGTCTAGGTCTTTGGCAGATTCCTGAAGCAGTGGCATCAAACGTCCAAACTATCCTTGTATGCCGCTTCCTTCAGGGACTGTTCGGCAGTGCCATCTTCGCCGTGGTATCAGGAATGTTTGTGGACATCTGGCCGCCAATCACCAGAGGCGTTGGGTTGGGATTATCATCCACCTGTATCAATCTAGGATCGACATTCGCCCCCATCATCGGCGCCTACGCAACAAATCATCTAAACTGGAGATGGACAGCCTGGCTTACGCTCATCTTTGTTGGTCTGGTTGGCTTCTTCGGCCTCCTGATTATACGCGAGACCTTTGAGCCTGTCCTTCTCAAGCGCAAAGCTAAACGACTTCGCCGCCAGACTGGAAACTCAGATCTTCATGCCAAATTCGAGGAAATTCCCATCGACATAAAGATTCTGGTGCAGAAGTATGCTACCAAGCCAGTTCGCATGTTCGTTCAGGAGCCCATCCTTATCTTTTGCACGATCTATCTCACTATCGTGTATGGAACACTCTTCCTGTCATACCAGGCCATCCCGTTCTCTTTTCGCAACCGTGGATGGAGCCCTTCAGTCTCTTACCTCCCCTTCGCCGCCGTAACCCTCGGCATCATCACCGCCGGAATACTCTTCTCCATCTTCACCTTGACATGGTACAAGAAACGCTGGCTAGCGAACCAAGGCGCCGAACCCGAAGACCGTCTTCCACCCATGATCCTAGGCGCCATCATCCTACCTCCCTCCCTCTTCTGGCTAGGATGGTCACAAGACACACACTGGGCATCCCAAGTCATCGCCGCCTTCTTCGTAGGTCTCGGCCTCCTACTCATCTTCATCGCCGGCATCGTATACATCGTCGACACCTACCTCATCCACAGCAACTCCGCCATGTCCATCCACATTGTTGTACGAAGTATTGTATCTTCTTCCTTTCCTTTATTCGCAGGTCCGATGTTTGAAGGTCTGGGGACGGGATGGGCTTGCTCGGTATTGGCCTTTGTGTGTTTGGTCATGGTCCCAGTGCCGATTGTGTTTTTCAAGTACGGCAAGACGATTAGAAGTTGGAGTAGATTTTCTTTTGTCAACAATTAGATGAGATACCCAGAATCCAGTATAGAAATAATGTTGAACCTTGTCAATATAGAGTGAAACATTATCGTGTTCAATGGACAAAACGTCTATCGTCAATCGCAGTCTGGCACAACGAAAAGCTCCTCAATTGGATCCGCACAAGATAGCGAGACCGTCTACCTAGCGCTTTGGGACTGCAGAAAGAGAGACGTTGGTAGCTCTCGACCGATACTCAAAGCCTCTCCTGCAGAGGCCGAACGACGATCTTCAGAAAGCTGCCACATGCACAAATTGATCGAAGAAAAAGCAAACGTAAATTTTGACGGCACGTCAATGGCTAGCAAATCAAAGCGTGCAATTCTTTATCAACTAGGCAGAAGAGAGACTAGACGAACACCTTGCAAACTTCGGCAACGAACCAGATGATTGCAGATTCTGCCCACGTCTACTGAGGTGTCGCAGGACTTACAGCCAGCGTTGGAGAGAGCAAACATATGGTCCACACGCCCGTCCTCAAACCACATAACAGAACCTACGATGAATATGGAATTACCTTCGGGAAAATGTAACGCGCAAGAAGTCGATGTATCGAGTTGGACCAAAGTCGGTCGCGAAGGGGGGTTCGGGAAGGGTGAGTAGACGAGAGACGGAAAACGACGGCGGGGCTAGAATGCATGGTGTGGATCGTGGACGATATACGGAAGGGGGAAGGGATCGATTCGAATTCGCATTTCGTTTGATCTCGTGGATCAATCGCTTCGTGGGAGGATGTCGGATGGTTGATATTTTGATTGGATACGATATCGATTGTGCGTGTCGCTCGTGTATTCGCTCGCCTCGTACGAACAGGTCGAACCGCTGCTGCTAATTTTTATCAATCTCGAGTGAAAACGCCCGCCGTAGAAGCATCCCCAACAGCAAAAAAACATAACGTTGAAAAAGGGCATCAATAGCATGAAACCTCGCGCATTTTACCCATTAATTGGAACGCTGCAGGAGGCGATGAGGTTTCAGCTCTGTGGGGGGGGGAAGGTGAATCATGCCGGCCAGGTGTGACTGATTGCGACTCCGAATCTGTCACTATCCCAGTTGGAATAGCTCACGCTATCGGTGATGGGGTTAGTGGAGTAAGAATGACTTGAGCGCAGGGCTACTACTCTGCCGTGTCGAGGTCATCGTGGGCTGCGGCGGCAGGAGGAGACTCCACGGCGGGTTCTACAATGCAGTATGTCAGCATTGTTTTCATGTGTATTCCGCAAAACAGTTGTCCTTACCCTTGGCCTCCTCGCCGTTAGGCTCGCGTTCTTCTCTCTCGCGGTCCTCGCGGTCCTCACGAGGGCGTTCCTCAGGCTCACGATCGTCTTCACGCTTGGTGTCGCGTTCGCGGTCATCATCACGCTCTCTCACATCGCGCTCTCTCTCGCGCTCACGGTCCTCGGGGCTACGGGTACGGTCGCGGCGGTCGTAGTCGCGCTCACGGCGGTCTTCCTTGCGAGGAGAGTTATCACCACGGCGGGAACGAGGTGCAGGGCTGATGGAGCGGCGACGGGGAGAACGGTCGCGGCGATCACCACGGTCGCCACGGTCTGCACGATCGCCACGGTCACCACGATCACCGCGCTCACCACGAGGGGGACGGCCAGCATCGAAGCGCCAGGAGGCGGAAGGAGGAGTTCTGGCCCACTGTCAAGAATGTCAGTCTTTCGTTGTCGGTTGAAGGCGTGGCGGGTGTGAGCGAACCTCAATCTTCAATTCTTCGCTGCGGCTGATGCGGCGGTTGTGCATCTCATGGTAAGCGTCATCGGCGTCGCGACGGCTCTCGTACTCGACAAAGGCGAAACTGATGCAGAGGTTAGCGGTGTGCTGGGGAGGTTGACGTGCCAGAGAAGCACTCACAGTCTGCTGGAAGAGGTACGGGGAGCGGGAATGTCACAACGGACAAGACGGCCGTAGCTATTGCAAGTCAGCGTCAGGCCATTGGAAGTCGAAGCTTGCCATCTGCGCATCACAGGCGCAATGCGCAAATGGCAAGATGCAGTTGGTTGCATACCGTTCGAACTCATAGGCGAGGTCACGGGCGCGGGTTGCGGGACCAAAGCCGGAAACGTAGAGGGTGGTAGCGGAGCGCGACATATTGGAACCGATGCGGCGGTCAATCTTGGGGGTAAACTGAACAATGGATCTGTTAATATCGAACAGATGCGATGGTATTGAGAGAAAGTCGATAAACTTGTGTCAAATGACGCTGCAGAGGGTGTGGCTGGGCGAGCCTTCCTGTCTTGAGAGCTTTCACCCATCTTTTGTGCTTGGCACGGCACATGCCGTCGGGACTTCCTTCTTACTAACCTCAAGATGCATACCAAACTCTTGGAGATCCTCCTGCTCCTTCTTCTGTCTCCATCTGTAGAGTCGTGTAGAATGGTCCGAAGATGACATGGTGGTTGCACTTCTGCTGCAATTGAAATTGAGAAGTTACGTGGACGAACAGACGAGACTTCACCAGATTGAACACCTCCGTTTGCGGACGAGTTAGATGCATTCAGTCACTCGTCCTTCACTTTTTGTTTGCACATGTGAAACTGTGCGACTCAGAACACATCTCTTTGAAGAATTACCAGACTGCTGGAACGCCCTGGACACTGACCTTCCGAGGCAACATTGACACTTAACAAGACATGCATCAAACATCCTTTTGTTTGGCAATACCCTGTCCAACAGAACAACTCCGGTCTCAGTAGTCTTCAAGAGGAGGAAAGCGTGAACTCGCTGTTGCGTATTGAGCCGGCCACCTCTGTGCCGCTCGTTGATTCAATGCTCTAGTCTTCAGTCAGTCATCATTGTTGACATCTGTAGCAACATTGACACTTGCCCAACTCTCCCTTGTGTCCATTCAAGATTTCGCTGGACATCTTTGGCAGCTTGAATGCCATCGGCAAAGTTTCGTCTGGCAGACTTGAGTCGAGATTGTGCCAACGCTTGAAGAGCCTGCAGTTCTCGAGTTTTGGCATTAAGCTCTCCAGATCTAGTCACGATGTCAGAGGCACACACTTCAAGCATAAGAGTGTGTCCTACCTTTGAGCTTGTACTGCCAGGCTGCGATCCAGGGGAGTAGGATCCATCGCCCTGTTAAGCCGTTCGCCCATGTAACCAAGTGCATCGACAGGACTGTTGCTCTCACTACCCGAGTAAGAGCTTACTGACTGGGCTCTGCTTGGAATTGAGTATGAGCCTCCCCCTGTGGTGATGCTTTCAGATCGCGATGGTGGTGGCTGGTAGAGCTGGCCATAGACCGGTGATGGTTGGTAAGGTTGAGATGCAGCTGTGTACGCTGATGTCTTCGTCGAGACCGCCCACGGAGCAGTAGGTTGGACAGCGTAGGTGTATGTTGCGGAAGGCATTGTTCTGGTATGAAGGATCTTTGACTTTGAGATGGGAGAGATGGAAAGATAGAGATTGAGAATAAGAAGACGATTGAGACGAGCGTAGCGCTGCACTTACTTATCTATCCTCATTGTCCCCATCCTCTCCCTCCTACAACCCTCATCACGAAACTCGTTCGCTACATCTACCATCCCACCTCACCACCTCAAGACCTCGAACCATCCTTCCCGCGTCACTCAACAGTCAGCTGAGTGCCAATGGATGCGGGATAGGCGAGGCTTCCGTCTCTTCTATATCACCCCTTGCCTTTGTACTCACTTCGGCTAAGTTGGACGTATCCTCCTCCAATAACTCAAGGCATACGGGCAGGCGCATGAATGGATCCTTGAAAGTCGTGGTTGCCATGCAGTGCCTCGTGGAGCCTATAGTCTCGCAACCCGAAGCTGCCGCAGCAGAACAATTTAATTCCTTTGGGCATCCGTGGCATCAGGCAACGAAAACTGTCCAGTAGATTCCGAGACGTTGTACATGTCGTGCGAAGCTAACAGTACACCATTGACAGCTGTCATGGCATGGTGTTCGACTCGTCCGGACGTGTCGTACCCAACAGCTCGAGGAACGCAGCCCGTCCGACGTCCGAGACGATGATGCTGATTCGTCAATGTAGCGTCGGGCAGCCAAGTAGGGTCCAGTACCACGGCTCGACATTTGGCGTGCATGCATGCATCTACTGCCTTGATGCCTAAGAGTATCTTTTTTTCTTTATTTGACTTTTGACTAAAGTCCGAGTTCAAGGTCCCTGGGTAGACCGCTCTTTGGTCTTGGGCACCACCAACTCACTCAAAAATCAGGCAGCAAGTCTTTATCAGCAAGTACATCGGGTACTAAGCGAATGTTCAATGGATTATGGGTGTATCTATCTCACCATCAAGTACGCTAGCAAGGGCTTTGGACAATCAGTACGTTGAAGGCATCATGCTGAGGCGTCCTCCGTCAATCACTTGTACATTGCCATTGTGATAGGCTCCGGACTTGCCAACGAGGAACAATATCATACTTGCCATGTCCTCGTATGATCCAGACCTACTTGCAGGGATCTGAGTGACTGGGAATGAACCGGTATCGCCGGCAGTCATGTCGGAGGGGAACCCTGAAGTCATGTTAGTCCACCATACGGCAACCATGTCAGCATGTATACACTCACGTCCTGGAGCAATAATGTTGCTTCTGATGTTGAAGGGTGCGAGCAAAGTAGCCAACGCCTTTCCTAGCATGGCAGCACCGGCTTTGGTCGCCGAGTATGCCAGACCGGCAGTCACGAAGCGGTTGAAGGAGGCAATGCTGGCGACAGTGATGATCTGACTTGATCTTGGGTCACTGGAATCGCTGCCTTCAACTCTCTCTTGGACCTCTCTTCTTCCTGTAGCCCAGCCTCTCTTCTTGTTGCCCGCGTCGAGCAGATGCAGGAAAGCAGCGCTGACACTGACAATGGCCGAAGTGTTTGTTTGGAACGAAGTGTCCCAGCCTGACCAATCTCTTTTCATGATCTCTTGTAGCTCCTGAATGCTCTGAGTATCACTGATGCCCTTGTGGTCGGGGCCCAGAACACCAGCGTTGTTTATCAAGACGTCGATATGAGATGACTGCTTTTCGATTTGCTTGACGGCGGCATCGATGGACGATTGGTCGGTAACGTCGCATTGGATTGGTACAATAATATCAGGGTTGATCGATTTGGCAGCGTCTTCAAGGTTCTTGACTCTGCGTCCTAGCAAGTACACCTTCTCGGCTCCAGATCCTGCGAGACTGGTAGCAAAGGCGAGGCCGATACCTGTACGATGTCAGCAAGGTCCTCATGTTTGGTAGTCAAGATATGGAACTGACCGCTACCACCTCCTGTAATGACGACCGTCAAACCCTTGGCTGAGAACAGGTCACTGGGGTTGATGGGCTTTGACGTATCCATGATTGCTACGATAAATATGTGGGAGGAAGGATGAGTAGATGTGTGGTAACTGAATATCTGCTTTACTCAGATAGGCGATTGGGTTGTTCCTGTTAGTACGTAAAGGTGGAAAGAGCATAGCATGGAAGAGGAAGCTCGGTATATCGGCATATCGAATGTTGATTGCTACAGTACACGTCATACCAGGTAAACATTGCCAAAGTTGAAGAGGCCAACGTGTATCGGGATGTTGAGCAAGATTTCCGACAAAATACCATTGAAACCCAGAGCACTGTCTAAGTGAAAATGAGCTTGAAATTGTGCATTGGTTCAAGGTGGGAAGTCCAGGAGCCGGATCTCTGAGAGCGCTCTCAGGCCTCACTTCACCGTTCACCTCCGGTCTCACAACCACGACCACCCCTCCTCTCAAGATTGATTACGTAATCCTGCTTACTAAGCTGCTTAGTAATCCGCTTAGTAATCAGTGCGCCAGTCTGCCCTCTACAATTCTCTATAAAAGCCTCCTCCCCTCCTGCACCAGGGACACCCCTTCTTTCTTTCTTTCTTTCTGATATACTTACCTTGGAGGGAAGTTCGCGATCAAGAAGGCGATACTTCTGAGAAGACTTGATGCATTGCACAGCGCGTACAAGACTTCTCATGGATGTCCTTCGGGGCCTCCACTTCTGCAATTTCTTATATCACACTTTGTGTTCATCACATCGTACCCACTTTTCATTGATACACTGGCTTATGCTGGTTGTTGAAGAAGAGACTATTCTATACTCGGGCTCCTCTGTGATGGGAGTATGACATAATATCGAAGTGAATTGTTGTTGTCGAATGCTACGCGTCCTCATGTTGACGCCAACCCTCATGTCAAAACAACCCGACGCCGTACGTACTTCTTAAATCATCGCACTTGTCTCGAGAATATGCCACCGGCATCTATCAAAGTAAAGAGTCCCGCAGGAGAATAGAAAGGAAATGACATGGAATGAGATGAGATGAAATGACAAGAGGGCTTGGGAGATTTCTCGTCTTTACGAACGTCTCGGTAATTCGTCCCTCTCAGACTCAAGAGAACTACGCAGTACGGTCATGTCAAAGGCAATTGGGCAGAACCAGTACATGGCGTAGAGTTTGGACAGCTGCTTGATGTAATCGATCATGACCACGGTCGCGTGGATGGCCTCTCCAATCGACCACGTTGAATGTTGTCTGAATACAAAGATGTCGTCTGCCACAAGGATTGCATCGTTTGAGTAGATGTGCTCACTACCACGGTCTGACGGTCTACTCGTTGAGATGTCCTATGCTCCCAGATAAAGTCTCGTATGTCTTGTGCTCGTGGAGACTTGAGCCTAGTCCGATTCAATCGAGAGAAGAGGTCGATGTGTTGCACGTCAAGGTGGCTGCTTTCGGCTTGGATTTGAGGTTGTAAAACGACATGGACTCGAGATTTCTTTAGTTTGCGCCGGGCATTATCAACAGTATCACTGATAATGAACCGAACATCAAAGTCTTTTACACACAGCAGCCAGGTCATATTATGTGCCGTTGGAGTTGTATGTCATGGAAATGGTGTGATAATTGTGGTGGTGAAGATAGAGACAGGGTCACGCTCGGAGCTTGGGAAACTCCGCCGGCTCGGAAGACGTGACGTGGGTGAGCTCTCCCAAACAGCTGCTGCATCCGCCCATCAATCATCACCTTCACCAAGCACTTTGCGCGCCGCCATCTGAATCGAACTACCTGTCATCCGAATCGCCGTTCCAACTTCTCAGATTAATCACCGCCCGACACACATACACAAGCGCAAGACAAGATGGACAGCTTGGTGGCGCAGTACAGCAGACCGGCCTTCAAGGATGAGGGCTATCAAGAGCAGGACCAGCTGGAGCTAGTTGATGCTATGCCCACTGCCATCGATCTCAAGTTCGCTCTCCCTCCTGTCGCACAAGTGAGTCTCACATGTCCATACATTATCTGGGAACCGCAGCTAATCATGCCACAGGCGCAATCATGGCTCCGCGCAATGACCGACGACCACTCGAACCCCAGCTGCCCCATCAAGCTCGCTCACGGTACAACGACCCTCGCCTTCAGATTCAAGGGCGGTATCATTGTGGCAACCGACTCCAGAGCCACTGCAGGAAACTGGATCGCCAGTCAGACCGTCAAGAAGGTTATTGAGATCAATCCCCAACTGCTAGGTACCATGGCTGGTGGTGCTGCCGACTGTCAATACTGGCTTGCCTACCTTGGTATGCAATGCCGTCTTCACGAGCTCCGTCACAAGCGCCGTATCTCGGTTGCCGCCGCCTCCAAGATTCTGGCCAACCTGGTCTACCAATACAAGGGCATGGGCTTGAGCATGGTATGTTGCCTCTGCTTCCAGGACGTCGATCCAGAATGGCTAACATGATCTCACAGGGTACCATGTGCGCCGGTGTCACACCTCAAGAAGGACCCGCTCTCTACTACATCGACAGTGACGGCACCCGCCTCGCCGGCAACCTGTTCTGTGTTGGCTCCGGTCAGACATTCGCCTACGGTGTGCTCGATGCTGAATACAGCTACGACTTGTCAGACGAGGACGCTCTCGAACTCGGCCGCCGCAGTATCCTGGCCGCCACACACAGAGATGCATACTCTGGTGGTTACATCAACCTGTACCATGTCAAGGAGGAGGGCTGGGTCAAGCACGGCTTCAACGACACCAACCCCATCTTCTGGAAGACCAAGCTCGAGAAGGGCGAGTTCTCCAACGTCACAGCCGACCTGAACTAGATATCTGGATGCTGGACAGTGGATGCATAGCGGGATGGGCGTTTCATGGCGGCTGGTGCTTGATGACTTCTCAAACTTGTAATCATACAGACAATTCTGATGGTAGACGAACCCTTTTCTTACCTTTTCACAATATGGTCCCCACACAAACGTGATTTTCTGGCGATCCAGATATGTGAATTTGATGTACCGGCATCAATCTCCGACTGATCCTGTCTATTGCAAGGGGCCTTTCAAAAGGCACAATCCTTTGCAAAGCAAAACTGCAACCAGTGAGAAGGTAGGTATTAATGCTTCTCCAAGGAAACAAGTGCTACTAGATAAACAAATTGTGAAAGTGGTGGTTGCAAAAAGAGATGCAGTTCTCCGCAAAGCCTGCAACGTCACTGCCGAGTGAAGCTGCTCGGTCTTTTGGAAATGGCAAGAAGATCAAAGGCAATCGCCATTTCCCTACAACTGCAAACTCACGTCGAATACCAACCTACATACGGACGTCCCTCGAAACATCTACCACAACTAGTTAAAAGACCCCGAAACAATCAGTAGCAGCACGCATTCACGTCCACCCCGCGCTATCCACCGCGGCATGTTCTATTCAGGCGCATAATCCTATTTACGACCGTGGACCAACATGAAGATCTCAGATCAGGAAAAGAGCTTGGGTATATTTCTCAGGGATTTGCCCAGAGAGTTCAACAACCGCTACACAGAAGAGGCAGATTCAGTCCTCCGCTCTCGCCTCTTCCGCTCTCTCGTTGGAGATGATGAATCAAGGCTGCACCTTTTGTTTCCGAACGGAGTACCCGAGGGTGGCCAATGGGTGTTACGCGATGCACAGGGCGCTGTCGATGGTGCCGAATACACTGCTGCCGCAAAAGGTCACCCATGCGGTCACATCTTCAAGGTTGGCGAATCTACATACCACTGCAAGACGTGCGCCGCCGATGATACCTGCGTTCTCTGCGCAAGATGCTTTGCCGAGTCCGACCACGAAGGTCATATGGTTTACATCAGCGTCTCTCCGGGCAACAGTGGCTGCTGTGACTGCGCCGACGACGAAGCCTGGGTTCGTCCCGTGCATTGCACCATTCATAGCACCGACGATACACCAGGATTGAAGGCTGCTGGAAAGACGAGTCAGACACCGACCTTGCCTGACGAGCTGCTCGACGTCGTACGCATGACTGTCGCAAAGGCCTTCGACTACATGTGTGATGTTTTCTCCTGCTCGCCTGAGCAACTACGCCTCCCGAAAACAGAGGATACCGTTCGAAGGGACGAGCTTCTTTCGCGCCTTACCTCACATCTCTACGGCGGTGCCGAGGTCGACGAGTCTGATGAAGAGTATGCCTTGGTTCTATGGAATGATGAAAAGCACACCGTCACCGATGTACAGAACCAGGTGGCCAAGGCTTGCAGAAAGACAAAGAACTTTGGTCTGGAAAAGGCCATGGAGGTCAACGACGTCGGCCGAAGCATCATACACTACTCCACCGATCTCGCCGAACTCTTACGGATGGCTGCCATCATAGAACAACTCAAAGTCACCGTCACCGTTCGCTCCGCCAGAGACACCTTCCGCGAGCAGATGTGCAGCTCGATAGTCGACTGGATCTCGGATATCTCGGGGTGTTCCATTGCTTCTGACCCTCACGTGCTTCGCAACACCATCTGCGAGGAACTGCTCAGGCCCTGGCGCATGGGCAGCGAGGCCACCAATGCTGCGATAGGAGAGGGTGGTATTGACGATCATGAGCACGAAGAGAACGTGAGACAGCGAAGACAGGAGGCTCGATGGTTCCGTCCTCTTGCTGGTATCAACGTTGTGAGAATCAATGTTGAAAATGACGACGACGACGAAGACGACGAGGATGACGAGGATGGCGACGAAAACGATATGACCATTGAAGATTTCATGATGGCAGGACAGGATGAGATTGATGCAGAGGAAGCCATGGACCTGGATCTCGACAATGCCGATCCCCTCGCTATGGCTCTTGCCGACAACGATATGGACCTTGATCTTGTGGATGTCGACACGGAAGGCCCTGCTGAGAACTTTGAAGCAACTCTTGCCGGATATCCTGCACCACCTCCACCGCCTCCAACGACTCGCCGCCGGACAAGATCAGCGACCCTGAATGAATCTGATGACGGAGAACAACATCCTTCGTCAAGACCAGATCCTCCTTCTCAACCCTCAGCACCCTTTTCGAATCTTCCCAAAACACCGAAGGTGAGAGTCAAGTCGAATCGTCCTCCTCGACCTGCTCGTTACTGGCTCGAAACTCCAGAGGAGTATAGATCACAATCAGCGTCTAGCCCAGCGGAGGATCTATGGCAAAGAGTGCGTCTCGACTATCTCATATTGTACGATCTGAGAATGTGGAAAACACTTCGTGTTGATCTGCGCCATCTCTACATCAGCACTGTTGTCACTGTACCTCAATTCAAGCGTATCCTAGGGCTGAGATTTGCTGGTCTCTACACAATGCTGGCTCAGCTTTACCTGATTGCCGATCGCGAACCGGATCACTCTATCATCAATCTTTCGGTTCAGATGCTCACAACTCCATCTATTACTGCAGAAGTCGTCGAGAGAGGCAACTTTCTGACGAATCTTCTTGCTATCCTGTACACTTTCCTCACCACCCGTCAGGTAGGGTTCCCTAAAGACGTCAACCCAAGCGCGACACTTGCTTTTGATGCGGGCGCCGTCACCAACAGAAGAATGTTCCACTTCTTCCTCGACACACGTTACATGTTTCAGTCCGCTTTTGTGCAAGAAAAAGTGCGAAACGAGCCTCGTTACCTGATGCAGTTCTTGGACTTGGTCAAGCTTCATCAAGGTATCTGTCCCAATGTTCGTGCTGTTGGCGAACACGTCGAGTACGAAGCCGACGCGTGGATCAGCGCGACTTTGATCATCAAGGAGATCAACAGGCTGTGTCGTCAAGTCGCAGAAGCCTTCAGATGGAACGACGATGGTGACATGACTCCTGTGCAGAACGCGATCAGACATGCTGCACAAGCAACATTCATCAATGCTTTCGGTCTTGAGCGCAACAGATTCCTGAACGCCGAGACCAAGGAAGCCCAAACTTTCGTGAATCTTCTAAACAAAAAGAGACCTAAGTACGTCGAGGCAATTGGACGCGAGGCGACGTGCCGGGATGGATGCTACAGTGTGCCTCAATTCGACGTAGCGACTGGATCCATGAGTTTCCACCACCCCCTTCATTATCTCTTGTCATGGTTGCTTGAGGCTGGCGTACATGTCCCACGAGAGGACATGCTCAGAGTGCTGCAATTTGATCCAGCAGACTTCAAAGATCCTTGGCAGACAAGCTGGAAAACGGCCCCACAAGTTGGAACATATGATTCAGCTGAGATAATGTCCATGCTCTTTGAACACCCTCTACGAGTCTGTGCCTGGCTGGCTCAGATGCGTGCCGGCATGTGGGTACGCAATGGTGTGACCCTTCGTCACCAGATGCATCAGTACCGCGGAACTACCCAGCGGGATGTTTCCTATCAGCGAGATATCTTCATGCTCCAGGCTGGCCTTGTGCTGTGCGGAGGCGCGGATGAGTCCATGGGCGAGAGGTTCTTGGCTCAAATTGTCGACAGGTTCAATTTGTCCGGATTCGTTAATGGCGCGTTCGATCTTTGTCCTGAATATGATGAGCACCAGAGACTTGACGTTACAGAGGAGTTCTTCCATCTGCTCATTATCCTGCTTAGTGAGAGACAGAATCTCCTGCCTGGCCAGGACAAACCAAGCCAGCACGTCAAGGTCTTGCAGCGCGATATCGCTCATGTTCTCTGTTTCAAGCCGTTGTCATTCTCGGACATTTCTAATCGTTTGACCGATAGAGTGGCAGACTCAGAGGAGTTCGACACAATCCTTGAGAATATGACGAACTTCCGTGCTCCCGAAGGCTTGAACGACTCCGGCACGTTTGAGTTGCATCCTCGCTTCATCGAGACCATTGACCCATATTATGCTTACTACAATCGCAATCAGCGCGAGGAAGCTGAGACTGTCTATAAGGAGTATATGGCCAAGAAGACGAATCAGACAGCAGCGGATATTGTCTTCGAGCCTCAACTTCATCCGATCGATTCTGGACTTTTCAAGCACCTGGGTGCATTCACTCAGACCACTTTCTTCAGCGGGATCGTATACTGGGGCCTGGAGTTCTGTTTGCGCCATGACGAGGCAGTTGATAACGCACAAATCACCCGCATTGAGACAATGCTTCATGTTATTCTCCACCTCACCCTCTTAGCTGTGATGGAGGACGCTACTCCAAAGGGCCCAAAGCCGATGATTGCAGAAGACAGCTTTGTCAGATTAGCTATCTCAGTTTCGCAGACTGAGGAAAGCCCAGACAAGACCATCATGGACGCTCTCTTCCGTTTGTCGAAGATCAAGGCATTCGCATCTTGTGCCCCCAAGGCCAAGCGTATACTTGATCGAATGTCTGAGAAGTGGCCAGAGGAGTTTGCCAACGCCAAGTTGAGGTTGTTGCCTGCTGATGGACAAGCTGCTGCTGAGGCTGCTCCTGAGCCGTCTGAGGACAAGGAGGCTAAGAAGAAAGCTGCGCTTGAGCGCCAGGCCCGAGTGATGGCACAGTTCAAAGCCCAACAAACATCCTTCATGGAAAATCAAGGCTTGGACTGGAACGAAGAAGACTACAGTGACATGGACCAAGACGATGATTTAACGGAGAGGGCCGTTGAGACCAAAGTGTGCCCCTTTCCCAAAGAACCGTGTATTCTTTGTCAAGAAGACACCGACGATAGCAGAGTCTATGGTACTTTTGCCTTCATCGCACCGAGCAAAATCCTCAGGCAGACCCCTCTCGACGACAAGGACTACGTCAAAGAGGTTCTGGATACACCCGAGAATCTCGACCAATCTGCAGACGCGATCCGACCTTTTGGCATTGCTAAACTTGCAACAGAGATGGTCGAAAAGGTGAATACAGATGGTTCAAAGAGTAGCCAAGAAAGAAGAGGTCTTGGGAAAGGCTTCCCTCACAACAGTGCATTCCAAGGACCAGTGCTCAACAGCTGCGGCCACATCATGCACTTCAGTTGCTTTGAGGCTTATCTCGTAGCCACCAAGAGAAGACATACACAGCACATCTCACGCAACCACCCTGAAAGACCTGATACAGTGGAGTTTATTTGCCCTCTCTGCAAAGCTCTAGGAAACACGTTCCTTCCCATCATCTGGAAGGATAAGCATTACCGCCCGTCGTCTATTCTCGATCAGCAGCAAACCACCTTCGATCAATGGATCCTCGACCAAGAGGCACTTAGCGTTGCTGATGGGGTCGGTAGACTGCCGTCAAGCCTCTCCGTGCGCGACGCACATATGGATTATATGCAGAAGGCCTTGGTCCAAACTTTGGCATCTTCATACCCACAGGCATCCTCTTCTACGCAATCTGCAGATGCTCGCTCATCAGACCCTGAGTCAGATGCACCGAGTTCCGAGGAAGAGTCAAGGTCAATTCTTCCGGACATAGTCCGCAGAGCGGCAGCCGAGTTCAACAACAACGCCACTGGTCTACCCGGCCTGGAAGCACTGGTCAATCTAACACCTCGGTTGGAGACCTTGACCAACCTTGCTAGCAGATTCGACAACCGTAACCGACCTGCTGCGCCATCCTCGGAGCTCAGCAGAGCATACATCCGCATTGAGGAGAGCTTGAGTCCCATCGGTGCCCTGAAGCCCAACACCATTGGACTGGAGCCTGGCACACAATCTTCGACTATTCGCTTGGCCGAGACACTCTGTAATACCTTGGCTTTCACTATCTCAAGTGTTGAAATCTCCTATAGAGGCGTTGCGAATCCCATCGACAGCGAATCTGGAACCTTCCTCGACTCAATTTCCGAGCAGAGTATGAAGACCTTGCGCATTCTGTCCGAAACCGTTCGCACCGCAACTGCAACAGCTGCTGTCAAGAGTGGCATACCCGAGTATCTCAGAGAAGCCCGAGTGCATAACTCGTGGGCTGGTCAGTTGAAAAAGGTCCTTGGCGACAAGTCCGGTGAAAACCCAGCACTAGCCGATGCTTCGTTGTTTGGTCACGATGTGTTTAACTTCTTCACGAGCTGTGCAATCAATGAGGTGCCCATGGGCCAAAGTATGCACCACATTCTCCGACTGTGTTATTCTGCAGAGCTGGTTAAGGTCATATTTTCGTTTTTGTGTCGTTCCTCTCTAAGAGAAGCCTCAGAGAACCACCAACCAAGCAGCTGGGATCTTTCGGGAATCAAGAAATTTCAGGAATGGTTCAAGAACCATGAAGATATGGAGTTCAGCCCTCACACTTCTGGATCTAGCCTTGCTCAAGCAAACTTCTCAGACCTAGAATGGAATGCACCGGCCCTGAGCAAAGTGATTGACACATACGCTTTGGCGTTCCTCAGAAAGGCTCTACTGTTGACTCATATTCACTTTGGAGTCGACTTTGCTAATGCTAACGTGGAACCGGAGTTGCCAGAGCTGCAACGTTTGGCCAGAACCCTCCGTCTACCGACACCTCAAGAAGTTGTGGCACAACTTGGACATGACGAAAAGTTCCAGAAGATCGCAGCGCACTGGGTGAATAGTGTAGTTGTTAGTACCGCCACGAAGGAAAGAATGCGCATCGATGCGCAATACCTCAGTCATCCAGCTATTTTTGAGCTTGTTGGGCTGCCCAAACATTACGACACTCTAACGGAAGAAGCTATCAAGCGACGCTGTCCCACAACTGGCAAAGAGGTTTCAGATCCTGCAATCTGTCTGTTCTGTGGCGAGATCTTCTGCAGTCAAGCTAGTTGCTGCATGACAGACCGCAACAAGGGCGGTTGCTTCCAGCATCGCGAGAAGTGAGTCTATATTCCATCACACAGTGTACTCTGCTAACAAGTATAAAGGTGTAGCGGTAACATCGGTATTTTCATCAACATCCGTAAGTGCATGGTTCTGTTCCTGCACCACAGCCATGGTAGCTGGTACCATGCGCCTTACCTCGACCGTCACGGTGAGGTCGACCCTACCCTGCGTCGCCACCACCAGCTATTCCTCAACCAGAAGAGATATGATAAGCTACTCAGGGAGGCATGGTTGAACCACGGCATTCCTAGTGTTATCTCCAGAAGACTCGAGGGCGACATGAACACTGGAGGATGGGAGACACTCTAGAGAGTTGACTCTCATTGCATTGCTAGCATCTGCATACGGAGGAGTTAGGGATACATAGAAGGTAGCATCGAACATGAAATCTCCATTCTTCCTCATCGATTCTCAGTACGTTCCTACGCTGATGTACTGTATGCTCATCGAAAGACACAATGATTTGATTTCAGTAGCATGGTCTACTATTCCACGCTCTCACTAGCTGCTGTCGCTCCAATTTACCAGACCGTCTGCCGTTTTCTGCGACACGCGGTCCTGATGAGGTGGATGCTATTTTCTGTCCACATCATCATCTCGAGTCATACCTCATCCATCATCAACAGAACTTCTTGGGGGTCATTAAGCCTCCGTGTCACAGGCGTGTCAGATGCTTGTCATGGTGACAGATCGGCAACCGATGTGTCTCAGCCCTAATGCGAAAGCCCCTTGCCCTGTTTTCAAATAGGCCTTCGGCTACCGGTATCGAACCCTCCCATCTCCTGCACTAGCCATTTCCATGCACACACTACCGGTTCATCGTGTCTTCAACCATTGACTGGTTGTTGCGAGAGCGAGTTAGATTAAGTGAGGGCTGGACTGTGCAGAATAGATGGCTAATGACGTGCGGGTACGAGTAGACTGGTGATGGGAGAAAAAGGCGGCGGAGAAGGGTGTTCGGTGCCGAGCAAGGTTAGCCTAGCTCATTGAACGGCCAAGATGGAGGCTTAAACATTCCTTCTAGACCCTGGGCCTTTTGAATCTGATCGCCGATCAAACACGCGCCGGGACTCTGACGGGAATTCTAGGTCCAGGTCAAAATCAACGAACCATCTTTTCTCCGGAGTTTCTCTCCAGGCGTGTTGCCCAGAACGACCTTCTGACAATCGCACAATCAAACCGATCACCGAAACAAGGAGAGATGATACGACACGCGGATCACTCTACTGCAGGCAGTGGGGGTAGCGCTTCTGCTGGGCATGCATCGCAGCTACAGGCCAACATCCAGCCTTCGAATCGACCTGTTGTGCCTATCATATCACAACCTATAAGCAAACCCATCGACCTACCGCCACAATACCGTCCAAGAAAGCCACGAAAACAGGTCAACGTTGCATGTCAGCCTTGTCGGAAGCGTAGGTCAAAGGTAAATATCTCCTTTCCCATCACGATCGAGCCGCGTCGTGCCATGGGTATCTGCGGCATTCGGCATCAGGTCACTGACTTGTCCATGTGTTTAGTGCACGGGCACAGCGCCATGCTCTCGCTGCGTGGCAGAAGGCAATGACTGTGTGTTCGACGGAAGAAAGGACGCACAAGAACGCAATCGCGAACTTCGAAATAGCGAAAAGGCTTTGTCGAAAGTGTTTCGCGTGCTGAAGAAATTGGAAGCCGGCGACTCGACATCAGCAGCAGCATTTTCTCAGATCAGACAATTGGCGCAGAACAATACCGAATTCTCGGCATTTGCTCGTGATCTCTTTAATCTGGACGAGAAGACGAGTGCCTTCGACTTTGCCGACTATGATGGTGGAAGTGGTGGAAGTGGATCTGACAATTTCGTTCTTAAACGTGAGGATGAATCTCGAGGATCAGTGAGTTGGTCAAATATATCGCCAGCGCAGACTGGAGGATCTGGTTCCACTGTACGCCAATCCATGTGTTTTCGCCCAAGAGATAGCTTGACTGACCGATTCCTAGCCACACTCATCAGTCGAGAGCAGACGTAGTCCGCCCGATGTCCGCATGAGTGACACTACGTTAACAAGGTCACGGCATAACTCTGCAAGCACACATCCTTACGAGCGGCGCTCCAATGTCGGCTTGAGGTCTGACTTTGGCAACCTGCCATTCTCCAGTGCCATCAAGGCAAACGGTTATCCTGAAAACATCCAACAGCAGCAACTCAAGAACCTCGACGCCACTGCCGAATATAGTATGCTACCACTCCACACCTTTGAATCTGAGGCACTCGGCAGAGCATATCTGAGTTTCAGAGATGCAACGTTACAAATGATCGCAGATGGCATGAACGCTCGTGATGTCTTGGGCACATCGGATCTTATCAATTTGGACCTGTACTTCCGCGACCGTATACCGGAAGATGGACACTCGGTCAGCACATTTGTCTGTGAGATGATGAAGAGTCTCGCCAATCCGGACGTCTTTGCCAAACTGGCAAGTATGGTCTTGTTGGCACCTCTGTTGAGAGTACGTGCTCCTAAATCCAGGTATCGTGGCCAAATGCTGACAGCATGTAGTGGATATTGTTTCCTACTTCCGAACACTACCGCAGAATACCTGCACTCATGCGACCCTTACCCAGCCAGAGATTCATACCACACAGTCCAGCTCTAGATCTAGCACCACAGTACGTCCCACACCACTATCTCAACTCAGCCATCATTCACTGATCACAGCCAAAAAGTCCAGCAATCCGCGGCGTGCTAATGACAGCCTTCAACGAAGACTGGCTAACACCCGAAAACCAAGTCACCGCAGCACCAATAATAAATTGGAACCACGGGCTGGACAGAGCAGTGTGTCACGATCCCGTAGCCGGATGCCTGCGCTTCACAAAAGAATTCGAAGATCACGTGTGCGATGCGAATAATTGGACTTTTTCGAAACGCGTGCTTGAGGTCTTTCCTGGTATCAGGGAGCATGGTGCTATTATCGCTCCCAGGCCTGGAGAAGACTGACAAAGCGCCAAAACAAACGACACTCAAACGGGAGGAGAAAATCGAGATAACTCCAGCAGAAGCGGAAAAGAACCAAGTAACGCGAGAATGGAAAGACATGATATCCCTATGGGAAAGGGCCAACAAGGCAAAAGCGTCGAAACGAAGTTAGCGACATTTGAACAGGGGGGAGGTCCTCACTTTTTCGGATCATGGAAGGGGGAATAACGAGGACTTTTTGCCAACTGGCAAACAAGAGCCTTGACGACTTCTCTATATAATGCACCTGAACTATTTTAGCTACTAGCCCATCACCTTTCACATCTTCAAGAAGATTGTAATACACAAACCAAACCTCGACTTTACAACCATTTGATAATAATTCTCCCCTTGAATAGACCTGACCTTGGAAAGATCGATACCGTAAACGAGAAGTAGCGGTCAACATACTGCGAATTGGCACCTTTCTAATATCAATCAAGATACATGTGCACCCGTACATATGCATCGCAATCCCTCCCCGAAAATCCTGCGGGAGCTTTTTTCCTCTTCCAGCGCATCCCTGCTCTACACATGTCGGCAAACAATATATGCAATAGCACTGCCGTGATATCGGTCATTTAATCCACTACTCCCTATCTAGAAGTTACAGTCCTTCGTTCTCGCAAACAGGATAAGTAATATCGAAAGATGTGATATAGATCACACTCTACCTCAACACCTTCGTATTCCATAACCAGCTCTACAATAATACCTTTGTCACAAGGATCCGTCATCTGACACTTGGCGGAAAATGATGTGGCTGGGCTATAACAAGTGACGAGATATCAACCAGAACATAAACAATGCAAGCGATGAAATTAAGGATGCTATAACTCAAGATGCATGCACATAATATAGCTAACTGCCCAGACTCACCATTTCAAGGATCAAAAGGGTGTGGGAAAGCGCCTACACTAGATAGGGTACGATACGCCACGATCCTCGGATGCCGTTGCCCCGTATATAGTGGAACAAATCCTAGCCAGTGACTGTAGTAAGGGCAAACGTGTTTTTGACATCCAGATGCGGGTGGCAGTGTAGGATGTCTTGTGCAGGTAGGCTGTTGTGTTGCGGACCTCTGAGTCTCTTGTGTGTTGATGGATCCGCTATAGCTTGTAAACGTGCAGGCGAAGTGAAAGAAGCATGTAAGCGAGTGCTGTAAATAGGTGTGTGATTTTTCTGTTGACTGTTGAGTGTTTTACAATACAGAAGTAGTGGGATTTGTATCAGATTGCAGATGCAGGGCTTGTGTTCACGATTGGTGGTAAGTAGCAGTTATGTCGATGTGCGAGTTGTGTCATGATATTCATGTGTGAATGCGAAAGAAAGCCTTGTTGGAGTATGAAGTACCGTCATCTTGAAATATCATCCACAGCGGTTAGAAAACCCCTTCTGGTCTTCAGATCCCAAAGCATTCCGTTTCCATAGCTTTGGTAAGCCGAATACGTATGCCGTGGAGTCTACTCCGGCTAAATTCTCAAAGCTTGTTGTGAAGAGGTTCACTGTTTCTCTACAGACCAAAGCTGTGCAACATGTAGACCGAGTCAAAACATCATCCAATCGCTTTGTATAATGTATAGACATAAGATGAGAGAAGAAACAACTCGAGAAAGACGTCCTGCAAGCAAATGCTGGTGTGACAAAAGGCGCGTCATGTTCTACGGAGTTTTCCCCGTCCAAAAATGTCATCTCGTCATTTCTGTCTTTTCCAACGCTGCCAAGGGAAGCAGAGCCTCAATCATACAAGGAGGCCCAATTGCTGACCGCACGTCTGTTCGGGGAGGGCTCGGGTTACTCTACGTGTGGCACAGTCGGTGTTGTGTGCTGTGAGGCATGCTCTTATCCAATTCTGTATCAGATGACTGCGAGAGCGCAAGTGACCAGGAGCACATCACCTTTCGCGTGTCGACTTGTCATGAGTCGCGACTCCTGAGGCTCCGCGTCCACATCGAGAAAGAGTGGCCACTCGATCTGGGGTTAGCGTAGCAAAAAAGCCTTTAGGGCATATCTTTGAGACGACCTCTTGTTTGCTCAGTCTCTTGTCATCACTTGATGATTTTCGTTGTGCTGGACACCGCTGTCTGCGGACAACAACGCTAGCACTCGGTCGGCAGGACGTCAAGGATCTGGAGCAGCAAGAGGACAGGACACATACGCGCGGGCTGCGGTAGATCATGCAGGGGAATATGACAAGGCGGAATCGTTTCTGACAAGCGCTCGGTCTGACGAAAGCATCGCACTGTGAGTGACTCACAGAGAGCAGCAAGGTACTCTCGGATGCAGGTACTGTCGTCGGTAGAGACGACGGTCTCGGAAGGAGTCTTACGCGGGTATGTTGCACGGAGAAAGGGGGGCTAACAGACGACGCCGGAGATCGACCGACAGGAGCAAGTCCCTTGAGATTCGAGTTTACCTGCTGACGTCTAAGTAATCTCAATAGGTGCTGACATGTGTCTTATATCCTATGTCCATCCATGCCAGACAGCATACCATCCGCGCGAGCCGTACGGTCACCAAGCGATAACGTGGCAGGTGCCGGTACCTGATCGAGGCGCCGCCACTGCTAGAGAGACGTGCCGGATGCATCATCCACCATGGAGGCATGTCTAGTCCATGATGGCTGCCGGTCAAGCCTGCAAACTTCGTGTTGGGCGTCCATACTACCGACTCTTAGCTTGCACCATCAAGACCTTCCACAACTATGTCGCATTCAAATTTTTCAAATCCGTAACACCTCCTACGGGAGAAAGGAAGGTTGAGCGGAAGCAAACTGCTCTGCTCATTCCCGACCGGTGTCGATATGTGCGTTGGTTGCTTCCAGGACAGACGGGTATCGAAGCTCTGGTAGCGTCGACTGTGCGAGTCGCGGATACTGCCATGATGCAAGAACTCGGCGGCGACAGGTCGAGTCGATAGTGTATGCTGACTACGTCGAATAGATGATGCGTCTCAATGATGCCTCGTCGAAAGTGAGATGGCACATAGGCAAAAACGCTGACCAGGTTCCTGTAAGGCACTGCGATGGTCAAGATCGACGGGGCGACAGTGATGTTTGGGAGCCGTCTCGTTGTTCGTCAAGTGTTGTTGACCAGATCGGAGATGGCCAGGCGCCTTTTTGGCGAGGTCGACGGTTCAGCGGTGCTCCCGGTGCTCTCATTGCTTTCAAGACTTCCGTCCCTCAGCTCATCTCGGCCGGTCATAAGATTGACCCTGTTGGTGATGTCGTGTACGGGATCGTGGTCGGAAGGAACGGCTTGGGCAGGAGGCTCATGAGAGTTCAAACCCCAGGTAAGTAAATCACCATCCTTGATGAAAGAGAGCGTCGACGAAGGATCTCGAGTTCTACGCATGTGGTCGAGGATGAAGATTGCTTCTTGGCGTGGACGATCCATCAACATCTGAGCCAGGTCATGGAGATCGCGGGACTCGGTTTCGAGGTTCTGATACTTTCGCTTTATCGCGATCATTGGCGTAGCATCTGGATCCGCCGACCAGGTACATTCCGAGTTCTTGACCACGCATACCGAGCAGACAGGTCGATTGCCGTTGCACTACAAGACAGGGTCAGTCAATCGATCCGGAAAGGAAGAGCTTTCCTCTGTGGTCCATGCTGTCGCAGCCGCAGCCTTCAATCCATACCTTGGTCTTTCTTCGACGGCAAGCATTGCAAGCAACAGCTATCTGGTGTCGCTTGGTCTTGTTCCTAGCTGGCGATTCTTCTCTAGCTGAACCCGAGCTTCTTCTCGAGCTCGAGTTCTTGCCTCGAGAGCCGTCATTCATTGCTCTCGGACACGCACAGGAGAGCCAACAGCAAGTCTGGGGCCAAGACCCGTGAACAACCAAGGAGCGGGCAGCGACGGGGGAGTGGAGCCTTTTAAAGAATTGCAGAAACGATGGGGCTTTTCAGATCAACGATAGACGTGTTCTGACTTCGAACTGGCCGGAGCTGAAAGCCGTCGCCGATGTGGGATTTCTTCACCCGGCACCTGCGATGGGCTGCAATTTGGCACAGAGAAGGAGCAGGACACGGCGGCTAGCACCTAAGTACTCTCTAGAGGTGGTTTTCGGATTAAAAGCAGGAATGAGATAAGAAACGCATCATCATGGCATTCTGAAATTTGGTGAGAGGATTGGCATCTTTGAAAGACCACGACATGTGCACTTCCCTGTCGTGAGGGAGGCCGCTCCGTTAAACCATTTCGCGCCACTGTATACAAAGCGTTGAGCCGCTTTGCCGCAGCAATCTGGCCTTGCAGCCGCTTCTGGACCCACACACAACCACGCCCCGGTCGCCAATCCGACGCCGCGGGTGCCTTAGTGATGGAGGCATCTCCGATCTGGAGATCGCCTTTTGCGCCTATGCCAATTTGTCACACCAAAGGAGAAATCATCTTCATTATTGCATCGTGATTGTGTTTGCTTTGTTCAGAAGAAGCTTTGCACCAAAGTCAATCCTCGTGATTTTTACTAGAAATCAACACCTTCCCCACTTTCCTCGCGCCCTCGCTTCTCAGCAGCTCGCTCATCCTTCATGATAGCGTTCACGTGGTCTCTAAATAGCTCGATGTAGGGCTTCAGACTCGTTTTCTGCCAATCTTGGATTTTGTCGTCATTGCCTTGCCACGAGTCGATTTCCGACAGGAGTTGTTGCACGGTCGGGACCTTCTCCGGCTCGAACTCCTCGAAACGGCGTATGTCGATCGGTACACAAACCCTACCCGTGCCCGGGTGAATAACGAACGGGCTTTTAAGTAAATGGTTGAGCTTCTTGGAAACCTCGGCATCGAGACGAGGGTAGGTGTATTCCAGGCGGATGTCCTGTTTGGCGTGTACGAGCGTTTCAGGTGTGAGGCTTGAAAGAGATCCCGAGACCGAAGCGACGGCATCAATATCAGCCCATTTCTGGATGCTGCTACGATGTGGCGTACTGTCCCACTTCCTTTGCAATGCAGCTGTCAAATTCTTGTCTGGCAGGAGTTGTAACAGGTGTGCAGCTTTGTCGGGTGACGCCCATGGGTCTTGCTCTAATAGCACATCTGTCTGGAAGTAACCATTCAGGATCTTGAGACTGCGGCTGAGTACTTTGTTAGCATACCGTCGGGTGCGAGGTAGTTGGACGCGACTCACTCGATGTGTGGATGCAAGGGTCGCTTTAGGTTGACCTTCTTGCCTGTCTTGTCACCTCCCTTGAGGAGCTCAAGATAGCCAGCGATTGACCTGCGCTTGTTGTCGTCCATCTCTCTTGCTCGCTTGTCGCTGATCCAGGCGTGAGCACCACGTCTACCAGAGTAGACCCACATGATGTGTTTGAAACCAAAGTCGTCTCTCAATGCCTTGTCTATGACCTTGATGGCCATGGTTATGAACTGCCAGCACTTCTGACAGATACTTGCACCAGAACAACATGTTCTGATCTCATCGTAATCGGTCATATCGATATCGAAAACAAGCTCTTTCGCGAGGGGTCTGAATGCGCTCGCATTCCGCAGTGTTTTTCTGTCGCGAGGATTTGCTGAGTATACGGGTCCGATTTCGAAACGGGTGGGTGTGAGCTGAATACACTGCTTGCGTAGATCTTCGGCGGTATTGAATGACTGGTATCGAATGTATGCATCGTTCGGCAAGACAAAAGCCAATTCGCGGTTGCTGAAATCGGTTGTTGTGGTTGGAGAATGGTTCAGCCATTGGAACAGGTACTTGAAGGGGAAGAGTCGTTGGTAGAAAGCGCGTAGAACCTCTGCATCTTTGCCGACATTGGAGTTTCCAGGTTTGCTAGACTGTGTCAGTTCGTGTCGGGTCGGTAGGAGGTCATGACCTACGGTTCTGGCTGCGAAGATGGTTGGGGCTTGACCTGAGCACTTGACGAGAACTCATCGTCATCATCCATATCATCATCGTCGAACATGTCTTCCAGCGATGCCTTCTCTACTTCATCCACTGCGGGTGCTGGTGATGACTGAGTTGTCTCATTTTGGGATTCTGCTTGTTCGTCGAGAGCGCCGGGAGCGGCCTCCGACATGACCGTGTCTTCGACAGGCGGCGAGGATGGTGGGTTCGGTGATTCGGCGTGAGGCATGTTTGTGTTTGGTATAACTGTGTGTTCTTGGTCAAGATGATGTCGACCTTTGAAACAATTGATTGTTGACGACGCGCTGGAGGAGCGCTTTCGAGCGTTGGACGTGACGCGCGACAGAGCGCGTTAGATTGGATTGCATAAATTGAATGCATAATCGTGCAACCAGTTGACAGTTCAGCGCCTCCATGTCGAACAAAACCCCTGCCGTGACTACACATGCACTAAGCACTGAGGGGATTGCACCGTGATCTTGGTATCTTCCTATCCGGATACTTGGTATCATGCCTGTCAAAAGGCAGGATACTTTTGAGCAACAGTAGCATGGCCGCAGAGAGAGTGCGCGAGATAGACGCTCTCGGTAAACGACTCTGTGGTCTCAAGCTCATGGTGCCTCATGATAGCTCTTTCCTCAGAATTCGCTGTGAATGATTTCGATCGAATGATTTCTTCCGCACCTGCCTGACACAGCTGCGTGGGCCTGTGTTCTTTGCTGGTCGATCCGGATTCTCTGCTCAATTACAAACCAGAACACGCCTGTCTGCTATCATGGAAGACCTTGAGCTTGTACCATTCGGAGGCTATATCAGCGATGACTCTGATTTCCATGGTAGGCATTGCGCATTGTTCTGCAGATGATGATAGCTGAAGGTCACAGGCACAGCCAAAACTCGCAAGAAACTCGAATCCCATAGCAAACGAAGCACTTCCAAACAACTCGTTCAGACTTGGAATGAGACTCAAGCATCTCACCCCGTCGCATCGCCTGTCGTAAGCGGCAAAATCGTGCCGGACGTCCTATACAACAGACTGGAAGGCGTCCAAGGTGCCAGACAATTGAATGAGACTGTAGATGAATTCCTCAAGCGCCTCCCACCAAAGACTACTACTACTGGCCCGTGGATTTGGATCACCTGTCCTGTGGTCAAAAACGAGGAATCTAAATCTCGACATGCGCCTGAATCAGAGGAATCTCCGGAAGAAATGACAGATCGGGCCAGCGCCCTGTTGAGCCAATTCAGCGGCGAGAAGGAGCGTATAATAAACGCCAATCCGACGTCCGCGCAATCTTCTATCACCAGAAAGCTTGGCCCTTTGAGAGAGCAGCTCAAGGAAGACATACTTGACCTTGCAGTATCATGCGGTGTCACCAGTGGAAAGGTATGCACTCTCCTCCCCCTGTCCTTCCATGGCCCTTCATGCATTCATTTAGAGGGCACGATATCTTCGTAGATCGAGGCAGAGTCCACTGAAATCCTCATTGACAACTACTGACTGCAAATAGTGGATGCTCTTTCCCAAACCAGACGACGTCAACAGGGTCTGGAGACTGGTCGCCGAAGCAGTTGTTGATGGCAGACTAGGTGACACTGCCAAAGTTGCACCAGCAGACCCGCCAAACCCCTTCACCGGCGAGCAGAAGCAGTCAAGCCACCTGATCTGCGTATACACGAAAGACTTCTCAGATCTCGATGATGTCCGGAGGGTGCTCGCAGAAATGGTTGAGCTCGGTCTCGCGCCTCGCAATGCTGCTGATGGTGCAATTTATTACAAGGCCGATGTCTACACCTATCTCAACATTGACTCTTCGAATCCGTACGGTCTCAAGGCCAGCCTCTACTCCAGCAAAGACTTGGCTGGTCTCTCAAAGACCACGCATACCAAGCCATCCGCTTTAGCAGGTTCGACCAAGCGAAAGCAGCAGACTTTGACGACCATGCTCGGAGATGGCAAGAAGAGAAGAAGGTGATTACCTATCGAGGTGGGAATGGTTGGTTGAGTCTTGCTATTGCTTCTGAACGAATACCCCTATCGTTGTTTTGTGTTGTGTTCTCTTCTCTATTGCTCCAGAAGCGCATACCTGCCAGTATATAGCTACGCCGAGAGGTCGAAAATAATCATTCATATCTGAAGAATGAAACTCAGACACGTGCCTTTGTGTCTACCTTGGCGCGCTCACCACCTAGACTTTGAAGAGGTCACAACATGGTAGTTGCGCATCTGCCACGAGGCTTAGAACTACAGCTGCTGCTGGCGCCGTGACAGCTTGAGCTGCATTCGAATGATCCTGTGTATACATTGGCACATGGACGACTCCTCAGCAGCTTGGCAGTACAGATGCTAATCTCGCAGTCACAGTTCTGGAGCTCGCATCCAACCGTCGCGATGTGTGTGCTTCTTCCATCGAGTAAAGCAATCGAATAAATATCGAGTAACACTTCCAGAGCCTAGGCGATTTCGGGATCAGCGACAAAGCTAAACAAATATTTGTTGAAAGCTTCTCCGGTCACCTCCGTTCGCAACTTAACAGCTGCCTCTATGCTCGTCCCTAGAGACCTTTGGACACAATCACGAGGACCTCTATGAAAGACGGCAGTGCGGTATCGATCATATATATCATCCATGCTACCTTATCGCCTTCCTATCACTCCGTACTTTCTTATCTTCGGTCGGAATGGCAAAGTCAATTAACCATTGGCGGTCGGCTCCGGCATTAACCCGAGGCTCGACTTTTCTTATCAGCGCGGCCTGCAACGCCCGCCCAACGCTGCGAGGCGCTCCTACACCGCAACCTTGGCCTGGAGTTTTCATCGAGTAATCCTGTCGGTTCAATGGAATGAATTGGACCGCGAAAGGCAAGTCAAATGGCCGCTTTTGTTGGGTTTCCGTTGCTTGCCTGGCCAAAGGCCCCTTTTACAAGCTGGCTTTCCAGAAGTCTCTGCACCAAGCATGCCGTTGAACGGAGGCATGTCATGGCTACTCGGGTGGGTACGACGGCTATCCTTGAAACACCTTTATGTACCCCATACAAAAAGAGGCGCCTTACCCCAGATCTATTTGCATTCTGACATCTTTCCTTCCCCCTTCCATCCCTCTTGCTACACTATACCTTACTATCTTCATCAACTACCCTTGTCCTTGCCAAACAGCTTCTCCACTCGACAAACGACCTCGTTCAAGTCATCTTCGTAGACTGTTACCTCGATATTCGGTTTGATAGTATAGGTTGCATCACCGAACAGAAGCGAACCCTCGACCATCATACGACATGGCACCTCACGCTCTCTCTCCCGCCGTCCGCTCCGAGGCTGGTTCGCCGACACCAAGACAAGGACAATCCGAGATCACCGTCCTAGCATCTTCTCGAGCAGTTGTCAAGGGCCGCATGACAGCCGCAACCATCGTTATCTCGACCGTGACAGGCAAGATACAGTCCATCTGGGAGTCAGTCCTGCCCGCCTCAGACTTCCCCGCAGGAACGCCTTATGTCGACCACTCGCCGCACATCTTGATGCCTGGATTGGTAGATGCACATGTGCATTTGAACGAGCCAGGAAGAACAGAATGGGAGGGCTTCTGGACAGGTACCAGAGCAGCCGCGTTTGGTGGTGTCACAACGGTCGTCGATATGCCTCTCAACGCCATCCCACCTACAACTACGGTTGCAGGGTTCGAAGAGAAGATTGCAGCTGCACAAGGGAAGTGCTGGGTTGATGTTGGCTTTTACGGTGGCATCGTGCCTGGAAATGTCGAAGAGTTGAAGCCCTTGGTGAAGATGGGTGTTAGAGGCTTCAAGGGGTTCCTCATTGACAGCGGTGTACGTGCAGAGCGAGTTCGGGCACAAGAATTCACGAGCTAACGAACATTCAGGTCGACGAGTTCCCAGCTGTTTCCTCCGAAGACATCTCGAAAGTCTTCCGCGAGCTTGCCGATGAGCCTACGACAGTCATGTTCCACGCCGAGATGATCCCCCCTGTTACAAAGTCTGTCGGTGACGACGTACAAATCTCAGAGCCGCCAATGGTCCCCAGCGGTCCTCTAGACGTATATCAGACTTTCCTCGACTCACGTCCATCGACCTTCGAAACATACGCTATTTTGGAAATCCTCAGCTTGGCACATCTGGCACCGCAATTGCCGCTACACATCGTCCACTTGTCAGCTGTGGAGGCCATTCCCATGTTACGCGAGGCTCGCGCGAAGGGTGTCAACATCACTGCAGAAACATGTCCCCACTACCTCTCGCTAGCAGCAGAAGCGATCAAGAAGGGCGACACAAGACACAAATGCTGCCCGCCCATCCGCAACCAAAACAACCAGGATGGACTATGGAGCGAGATGTGCAGACCCGACGACAGCGTCATCAAGACCGTCGTCTCCGACCACTCTCCATGCACACCAAACCTCAAGCTCCTACCAGCAAACGTCCCCGGCGCCATCGAAACAACCACCAAAGAGGGCGAAGGCGATTTCTTCTCCGCCTGGGGCGGCATTAGCAGTGTAGGCTTGGGCATCAGCGTCCTCTGGACCGAAGCCTCTACCCGCAAATTCACCATCGAAGACGTGGTCCGCTGGTGCTGTCTCAACACCGCCAAGCAAGTCGGTCTCGAACACCAAAAAGGTGACATCGCTGTCGGCCTCGATGGCGATATTGCTGTTTTCGACGAGGAGGCCGAATTCATCGTGCAGCCCAGCACTATGCTTTTCCGCAACAAGTGCAGTCCTTATCAAGGCAAGGCATTGAAGGGTGTGGTCCAGGAGACATGGCTGCGCGGTCGTAAAATCCACACTCGCGAACAGGGTTTCATTGAGAAGACTGGTCCTGCCGGTCAGCTTTTGTTGGAGCCGAGAGTCAAGGCTTAGAAATGTTGGAGGAATTTGCACCTGCTTTTTATACCATGGTTCTCGGTAATGAAGAAGGATACATTTGTCGCAATTAATCAGCGCCATAGCAGCAGCATTTAGAATAAATATCGTAGGCTATTCATCACGTCCATGTCCTTCAAACAACATCTGCAATGCAGTGTGCTATATTTGACCCACTCCATCTCACCTAGCAATTCTTTCATCGATTTCCCCTTCCCTAGCAGGTGCCTGGCAGATGTTCTACCGAAGATGTCCATAAGAGAGCGGCAATGGCCAAGAAGCTTTTTCGAATCACGTACATTCGTGCATGCTCCCAAAACGAGGAGGCCCAAGAAGATAGCACCTAGTTATCTACAAAGCTATCCATATTCCGAATCAACTCATAGTAGAACCTCAGTCCACTCAAATGAGCTTGCATATCAATCCTCTCATCCACGGTATGTACACCCTCAGACGTACCTTCCCACCTCGGCGAAAATCGGTAGATGTTCTTGGTCAACTGCCAATAATGCGCTGTGTCCGTATTGCCTGTCGAAATCGTGCCCACAGGTACCACCTTCTTCGCTGATAGTTTTTCTCCTGTGTTTTCGAATACTTGTCGAATGGTACCTGCGAAGATGTTCCATACGCCTACATCTGGTCCTGTGGGCGAAAGTGGAGATGGTTGGAGGATGTTGCTTGATGAGATGTTCAGGACGCCGAAACCTCTGTCGATTTGCGAGTAGCCTGGTCCTTGGACTGCGATGCTGTAGTTGTTTGCGAGTGGTGCTAGTACATCTGCGACGGTCTTCAGAACGTCGTCAATTTTGTCTGATGGTAAGAAGCGGTAGTTGATGATCGTTTCTGTCGTCTCGGGGAGCTGGTTGTCTTTGATACCGCCATTGACGACATCCACTGATTGAGACGTCTGGATTGACCAGCGGACCTTGTCTCCACGTGAATCGATAAGTCTGTCTGCGAAGTCTTCCTTCTTCTCTAGGGCTTCGCGCAGCCATGGCTCCGAGGCTTTGGGCGAATTCTCCACTTCGCATTTCAGATAGCCCCAGAAGGGATTGTGCTCGTCGATATGAGGACCAAAAGGATGCTCCTCGACGGCTGTAATGAAGCGGGACGTTATGCCAATGTTTGTGTTCTTGGGCGGTGCAGAGCTGTGGCCGCCTGGTGTGTTCAAGGTCAGGACGATGTCGAGGAACCCTTTCTCTGCAATTGCCGGTAGCGCGTATGCCACACCGTCAATTGTACGGATTCCAGATCCGCCTTCATCAATAATCATGCCCATACTGTTCTCACCATATTTCTCTTTCAGATGAGCAGCCATATATTTGGCACCTCTGAAGCCACCAGTTTCTTCGTCGAATCCGAACGACAGGATTATAGTACGCTTGCTCTTGAAGTCTTGTTCGAGAAGTCGTTCCATGGCACTGTATATACCAATGAGGTTGTTCTTGCAGTCAACAGAGCCTCTACCCCAGAGCCACTGCCCATCAAAATATGCTTCGAATGGAGGATGCTTCCATCTTGTTGGATCCGGGACTGGCACGACATCCAAATGGGCCATGATAACGAGGGGCTTGAGGTCTTGAGAGCTTCCTGGCATCGTGTGGAGCAGACCATAGCTATGCACTTTCTCGAGCACCATTTTTTCGTGACTTGCTATATGTTAGAACAACTCGAAGTGTGTTCATGGCATTGACATACACTCGGGGAAAGTGAGACTTGAGCGTCTCATGCAGGGTGACGAAAGCATGCCATCTCGGGTCTTTATCAACCTCATAGTTGTCATCGTAAGAAACTGAAGGCACATTGACTGCCGCGCTAAGACGCTCGACTTGCTGTTTCAATAGATCTTTGTTCTTCGCAAACTCTGTCGAGCTAGTCAAGCCGTCCTCGATGGCAGTCGGCTCGGCAATTGGACACCACGTGTTGACTTTGGTATCTCCTTCGGGCTTCTCGTTTCCAGGATGTCCATTCGCTGGAAGGTTGAAAGCTTCCTTCTTTCCTATGACGGACCTTACTGTCGTCAGAAGAAGAAACACGACGACCATGAAAACAATCAGGCGTGGCCAAGCCATCTTGTCCTTCCATCCCTCCATGATAGCCATGGCTAGACTTTAGCTGCGCAAAAAGAAAATGAAGGCGAAGATCAAGGTGGCATAAGTATGAGATGCTGGTGGTGCATGGTGTTGAGCGATAAGATCATGTTTAGAATCGCCTTACCGGAAGCACTCTCCGGACCCCGCCAAAAAGCTCGGGAGCACTTTCCCATCACCATCGTCACAACCACGCTTTGACACGACAGAAGATATGAATCATAATGTGAGGCGGAGATGGTTGAGGTAGGTTTTCAGTAGAGTCTGTTTGCCAGAGCATCAAAAAACTATGACCTTTATAACCAGAGAAGTCTAGATGGAGAAGGTTCATTGATATATTTACATGGACCACCGCATGAGGCTCGAGAAAGACAAACGTGAGAACATCTACTAGACAGCTCGATAGAGTCGGATATCGGATCGAGAGTTCAAAAGATTTCAATAATGGGATAAGTAAAAGATTTACTCGCTCTCGGTTGTAATCTTAGGTCGTAGTGTTTCGCCGGACGCCAATGGTCCACACCAACCATACAAATCGCAGCGGCATTGCTCATAGTTAGGACAGCTGCGAGACAAACGTTAGCGATGCTTCATGAAGTCAGATTCTGGGTACATACTTTATCGCATCCATGCCGAAAATCGTGTCCCAAAGTTTTTCAAACACCCAGCCTATGCCAAAATCGACCTCATGACTGTTCTCGACCCACCGCAGCATTCTCTCGTAATCACTCTTTGGTCGTCGTAAGATACGAGCCCTGGTGACAGCAAACTGTGCACAACAAACATTTCCTATATGGCGTGGGACTTGATCGCGTGTCACATCAAGCAGCTCCATGTATATCTCAGCGAAGAAAGCTCTTGTGTCTTTGCGCCGAATGTCTTCTTTGGTAGGATCGAGCGGGTTAACTCCAAGAGGACATCCAGGATTCAAGGCGCAGCGTAGGTTGACAAACCCAGTAGCGTTGATGTGCTCGAAGCGAAGAGCCTTTATTGTGTCTGCCGATTTTGTGCCAAGAATGTCGTTGTGCCATTGCTCGTCTTTCGAGTGGATGAATATGGAGTAGTCCGGTAGAGAGTCATAGTTGTCGATGATGTAAGATAGATATGGTGCGGTTTCTCTCCCTCTTCTTGAATGTGGCGTGAGACAACCAGGTTCAGCAGGAGATTTCATGGAATAAATGAAGGGTCGAAAGGGCATTTCGTGGTACAGTTCGATTAGCCAGTTGACGTTCTCAGGACCAGTTTTGGCCATGACAATTCCAATGTCATACTGAGATGGCCCGTCTTTCGTGGTTTGTATGTTGGTGTGGTTTCGTATTAGCTCGCGAAGTTCAGGCTTCAGCCCAATGGTTTTGGGACCAGAATTCAGTTGTAAGAATAGCAACAGGCAAAGTATGCACAGAAAAGTAGCCGTACCATATCGGATTCCCAAATTTCTTGGCCAGGTTCGGCTCCAGGTTACGTTCATTGCCTGTCGTTGCTAAATGACAAGGCTTGAAGAAAGTAGAGGAGAAGAAATCGATCCATGGAAAACTTACATTCCTACCATGCGTCTATGCAGTTTTACTTGATGTGAACTTCATCTAAACAGACTAATTGCAACGAAGGATCGGAAGGATGATTGGTTCCACCTCTCCACCATAAAATGTTGCCTTGAATTGAGAACACATGACTTTTACGCGCGTAATTAGTAGTGAATCTCTTCCCGTAGTATAGGACGCTTCCAAGAAGACATTATGCGTGTTGACAATGGTTGGAATTGGTCGGAATGTACGAGAAGTTGAAACCCTGCAGCCGTCGACAAGTGCGGCGCAGGCATAATCAAGGCGGACACGAATATTCCATCAATCTTTGTGCAACCGGTACAGTGCATGCTGTCCGAGCGTGCTATACGAATATCGTGCTTCCGTCTTACCCATATCGTCTTGGTATGTCACTGATCACCATTGTAGGGGAAACAGAGATGACGGCGCCTCTTTGCGGAACGAGGAACCTTCAAGTGAGCTGTAAAATTGGTGAGTATTTGTATAACAACAATAAGCAAGGGGTTTGTTCAACCCTAAATGTGTTTGAGAAAAGAACGGAAGATCGGTAGGGTGGAGTCGGCGGTCATGATCGCCGACCCCCGACATCTTCCGCTGTCAGCACATCCCAAAACGGAAGTGCTTGCGAATGACTTCAGTAGAAGCAACAGAGTTTCGCAGGGGAAGTCGATGCAATATCTTTGAAAATCCCAAACAACTGCATTCCCTATCATCTAGGCAGCAGCTGTGTGTAGACTTGCCAGAAACCCAGGTGTGATTCTCCATATTTTCTCGTCGCTTCGTGTATCGCCATCGCCCGCCTCTGATCAATAAGCATGGTGTACGGGGGGTAAGACAGAAAGACAGAAAAACGTCAAGTCAAAAAATATGGACTAACTTGACCAAGGAAACCAAGCCGAGGGTGTGGAACGTGTAAAAAGCGAAAGATCAAAGTAAGTAAGCAGATCTCTTCTGTTGATGCAAGCCACTCACCAGATACGGATCATAGTGCGATGAAGGTCGTCCAACATGCACGCAATGTCAGAAGAGTTCGCGGACTTGTCTAGGTTACAAAGATGAAGCAGACTACATTTTCCGAAACCAAACCGAAAAGGTGACGAGTAAAGTCACAAAAGCAAGAAAGCCGCGAGCATCCAGATCTCCTGATTCAACTAGGTAAATGCTGCTCGCAAGCCATGTACACTTTAGGACTAACACATTCCACTAAAGCAGCAAGGACACAGCATTATCTGGACAACATGCGTTCGTTATCGAAACCCCTACTGGATTAGCGACTGCTTCGAATGGGCCACAACCAGTGAACAGCCCAGGAAACCAGCTGGCAATTATGCAAAGGGCATATCTTACCGATTTTGATGCTATGACAACCATATGCCAGTCGCCTGCAATATCGATAGAGGAGGAGGTTGTCAATGTATACTTCAGAAACTTCGCTCGCCTGTATAGGACCCAGGATACTGTTCGTGGATTTCTTCCATTCCTGGCACCGATGTATGGCGCTTCCTCGAAAGACTCATTGCTCAGAACTGCCACGCATGCTGCAGCACTATGTGCTATATCTCAACTACCTGATCAGAAGCATCTACAGTATCGTGCAGCTGATACGTACGGAAAGGCTATGCGAATAGCTGCGCATGCTTTGCAGGATCCAATACAATCGCGCTCAGATGAGACTTTACAAGCTACATTACTGTTATGCTTGTATGAAGTAAGTACTCGGCAGCACGGTCGCATCACGAGGGTAACGACTAACTATCTTACCTTCACAGTCTATCAAAGCTACGGACAACTCAATCACCGCGTGGTCAAATCATGTAGAAGGTGCGAGTGCAATCGTACAAAGTAGAGGACTACAACAACTGGAGACCGAGCAGAGTCTGGCACTCTTCCGCGCTGCCAGAACTCACATGCTTATCAATTGCATACGACAAGGCAAGCCCACCAAACAGCTCGAAGCAGGAATGAACTGGTTATGCGACACAACCGAGGATGATCCACTGGCGTATCTCACTCATTGCACCATCGAGTTACCATCATTAATGGAGAAGACGCGACGAGTATGCGAGCGACAACGCGATGCCAAGAGCATGGCAGATATGGAGGCAATAATAGAACGAGCATGTCATCTGGAAGCCACTATGCAAAATTGGGCGGCATCATTGTCAGAAGAATGGCTGCCGCACACGATTGCATATATCCCGGAGAAGCCAGCAGATCCCCTCAACGCTGATGCCTGGGTTGGCCCCGTGCATTCATTCAGTGATGTGCACAAGGGCAGTGTACTGAACAAATTACATTCTTGCCATATGCTCTCGGCTGCGGTCATCCTTAACGGATTGGAATGGCTTCGACCATACGACTATCCAATGGATGATCGCTATATACACACGAGATGGATTGAACAACGCACTGTTGACGACATTTGCTCAAGTGTTCCATTCTATCTGGGTATTGGAAAACAAAGAGCCCGCACACCGGATCAGATGGAAACGATAGCCGATCTGATTGGGGGTTACTCGCTCATCTGGCCTCTTCATGCAGCCTCGAGCTGTCCTCGCATATCAAAGGACCAATGGCTCTACATCTATGGACGGCTTGCCAAGATAGCGAAAGAGTGTGGACTTGAACAAGCCCTCCTTATCTCGTCAGAGTACAAAGAGAAGGTCATACCTAGCTTCTGAGTAAGCGTTCGTCAGGATGTAAACAGAATCGACAGCACGAATGGTCTCACTAGGAGGGAGCGAGACGAAGGACTGCCATAAGGCACGATATCACGATATCTTCATCATCTGCCAAGCCATCTTGAAGGCGATGTTCCACCCAAGATCACTTCTCACGGCTTGACGCTCAGAATGTCCCACTCTCTCATAGCTCTACACTTCGACCCTGGACTGTGAGAGCCTTCGGTCTCGATGCAACTTGTTCCTTCACTTTGGCATTGCTCATACCTCTGGAAAAGTACCGGGGTGGATTTCTATCACCTGAAAGGACTACCATTTCAGGGGGTCTGTCAAGCCATCATAACGCTTTCATTCACATGGTCGGAGGAAGATTGTGACCGAGTAGTAGCTACAAGCAAGCTGACCATGAGATCCCCGTTGAGTACTATCAAAACGACTAGTCAATAAACGCTGGTGGCCAAGGTGCCATTAAAGTATTTAGACAGAACAGTGGTTCACTGACGAAAAGAGGAATAGGATGCCGAGCAGAGCTGAACTCCCAAGGCTGATGTACTTCAGCTCTTGTCAGAACGCCCATTCTCAACTGCTCGGGTTTGCGCGATACTGTTAGATAGTCGTTTGTTCGTATTCACAACATCCCCAGACTTATTCTTGTGGAGCTGAACGACCGGAGTGCGTTCAGGTAGCCTTCTAGAACTTGATTGTCATATTGTGGAAATGGCAAGAACGATGGGTGGTCAGAATAGAGCAAGAACGCATGGATAAAGAGTGTATATTATGCATATCTCCACAATCCCGCAAATCATGCACGGGCCTCGAGTTTCCCACATCTCTCACGATTCGTGAAGCGCCGGCGCGACTCGCGAGCTGCGTGCGTATTAACCCTAGTGGAATCAATCTCGGGATACGGACAAAGGTCAATCTTATTGCAACAGCAAACACTTGTCCGACGAGCGATCTTTTCGTCCGCACATTCCAACTTTTCGCATCGCGACTGCGACTTTGACTACCAGCTTTACGCCCGCTCTCAACGGTCCTACAGCTTTCACGCAACACCGCGCGACACCAACCAGCGACTTGCGACACATCTACGACCGCAATCATGGGCGCCATTGGAAACCTCGTTCCCCTGATCATCCTCTTCGTCTTTGTCGGCGCATTCGCTTTCGTCGGCTACCAGGTTCGTCACCACTCCTAAACAGCCTTATCTGCTCTCCACTTGCCGATCACAAGACTGACACACCGGCAACAGATGTACGTCTGGACCAACGACCTCGCCGACCAAGGAAAGAAAAAGATGGAGAAGAAGAATGTCAAGTTCTCAAAAGATGGCATGCAGGTTGGAGTCAAGGAGATTAGTGAGGAGGATTATGCGGATAAGACGCAGAGGTGTGTTCAATCTCTACACCACACACGCCCCATTCCATCTACTGCTAGAGGTTCATGCTGACTTGACGGTGTTCATAGCGTACTGGTCAACACATGGAACTCAAGCTCCTTCCCCGCCTACAAAAGTCGTTTCTGGAACAAGGAAGAACAGGCTAAGAACAAGGCTTCCTCGTCAGGAAGGTCCTAGGGTGTGGATACATGGATATCGCGCCTTATCACTTCTATAACGACCTATATCTGACTTTCCTTGGATTGAGCGCTCAGCTACTATATCGTTCCCACTGCACATTTCCCGAAGTCCGATGCATATGTGTTGCGATACTCAAGCTGCGATGGAGAATATCATATGCGAGCTGCAAGAGATGCTTCCGACGAAAATGGAGACTCGCATTGTTGCAGCTGCCCGTCCGCCAACATTCGTGACGCGAACGGCTGTAGAATGACACGATTGAATACAGAGCAGAGTCGAGATCCATTGAGATCACGTCAACGACAGGTTCATCTGGAGCCCAACGCACCACTCCAAACCCCATCATGCATTTCCGCAGCTTCACAAGAGCAATCCTTATCGCATGTAGAAAATCTACAAAAATTGAACACAGATAAATCGTAGATCAAAATATATCCATCCGTCGTGAAACGCGCGTTCAGGAGAAACCGACCTCGTATATGCCAGCAATTATCATTTAAGAATGTCCGATGCAAGTAGACTAGGCAAAAAAAGATACGAATAGACAAGACCGATATTTGATTCCTCCGCAGCCCGCGCGACGCGGCGTAACGTTTGACCAAAGAGTACAGAAAAGAAGCCCGATTGTTGTACCTCCTCAGGTCGCTGGAAGACCGGAGTTTTGTCATGATCAAGATAGTGTGGTTTACCAAACTAGAGGTGGGTTCATCAAGAAAGCATTGGGTAGTCGCCCTCATTGAATGACGGGCTTCTGGTCAAGTTTATTTGTGGTCAAGTGCATCACCGCGTGTTGCTACGACAAGATATTCGCAGACTTCCCAGCACATGGATTCAAGGAAAACAGGCTTGCGTGCAACGTGCAAAGCAAACTCACGAGGACTGCCAAAGTAGACTTCCACGCTGCACACGATACGACAGCAAAGCTTCGGAAGTGTACAAACAAGGATACTTTAATGAGAGCGATGGAGAAAAGATTCAAGACATGTAACGCGCATGCGGAATCAAAAGGTAAAGATTTATGCTTACAAAGAACGTTCTCGGCCGCTTGTTTGGTGCATCTGTAAAAGCAATAAAGGTTCCGAAGGAGTGACAAACACTCGGTACCGTATTTTGGCTCTCTGATGTATGTCCTCCAGCTGGTTCCAAAAACCAGGCCCCTTCTGCTTTTTGCTGCATACTCAATTCTCTGTACCTCCAGGCTCCAGCACATCAGGACATGCGGTACCGGACAAAAAGACCAATTGAAGTCCAGACAGGTCGCTCAGCGCATACAGTGCGGGCAATTTTCCGAAATGTCGCTGTACATGTCATATGGTACAAATCAAACGGGTGGGCACACTCGAGCACGTCAGTCAGCCATTTACCAAAGAACCGTCCGTCGTAGAAGTCGTAGCGACAGCACGTAAACGGAAAGCACAGCAAGTGATGACTGAGACTCCTGCAAACCGTATCGCCCAGCGAAGACAGGGGTGCATGGTAAGACTTGCCCGTTTTCTCCAAGTGCAATGGCTGGCTGGTGTAAGGCCAAGGAAGGTGGCGTCTAGGGCTTGGTGCTAGCCAAGCTTGATTTTCGCTCGCTTGGTCGCACTCAATACTTTGTTCGTTCGAGACACGTGGAGAGCCTCTAATCTTGACCTTATCCTTAATGGAACCTCCAGCCGCTGAAGAAGGTTCTGCATGAAACTCTCTTGGCCGGGCCATTGGAGTCGAGAGTGGTGACCAAACGGTCAATTCGAGCTCGTAATGCCTCTCGTGAATCCTTCCAATGTCCAACCGCTTTTCGCGCTTGCGTGAGGGAGTGGATTCGGGAGGAGCAGGGACTGGACATGGAGCCATTGAAATATGTATGCGCATGCCGAGCTGATAAGGATGCCGAGATCTATTGGATCTTGTCTGGGCTTGGGGGCGGGAAGTCTATTGGGTCAGATGAGTACATACCTCATTGGGGTTTTGTTTTGGCAGTCAAGCCAAACTTCACGGTACAGTACGGGGTCCAACAGATCGATTCTCTGGTATGGCTTGAAGGATTCTGGTGGAGAAGCTTACGCGGCCAAGACTTTTCCTCTCACGTTGCAACTCGAAAGGAGACGTCCTTGTCTACTCGTGACTTGCTGCGCCGAGATGACGAAGACGAGTTTTGAGTTGACGACGAGCCAACGCAGGAAAAGGCGAAAGCCTAGCGTGGTGCCACGAGCACACCCCCGAACTCTTAAACTCGAGCTCATGACGGGTACGCATGGCGGACGTTGATCGTCTTGGGATTTGGGCTTGAGATATCGCTGGGAAGTGTTTCGTCCCTGGTAGGGAACGGTCAAAACAGAGCCGGACAAGTGCTTGGCCAGTCTTGTGTTGTTCTTGTCTGCTTGCACAGCCATCCTTGGCTCCTTTCTTAGCTGTCTTTAATAGATCGGCGCCCAGAGCGCACTACGATCGAGACAGGTCGCCAAGCGCGAGGTCAAGAATGCTTGGCCTGGCATGGGGGTGGGATGGCTGCAGTGAGTGACATCGGGGAGCAGTGGGAGCAAGTTGAATTGTGGTGGGCGATGATGCAGTGTTAGGGCTCGAGGGGAGGCGGCGAATGTGTCTGTTGTGCAACAGTCAGAAAGGAACATCGGAAGCGCCATGGGCTTGAAAGTGGAAAGACTAGTCGAAGAATTAGCATTTAGAATTAAACGAAGCGCTAAAGATTTAGACTTATCCCGGGCAAGCCGCAGTAGACACCAGCCGATCAGGGAACCCAGAAAGTCAGAAAGTCAGAAGAGTCGACAGAGTCCAGGCGCGCGATGGAGGATGGAGAAGCTGATGTGAAGGAAGTCACAGTGTCAAGAATTCTCCGGGGAGCAACACGGCCAGAGACCGTCGACAGCGAGGGCTTGACTGGCAGGAGCGAAGAGCGGTTTCCAGCGCAAGAGAGTCCAAAACGTCAGGCTTGGGCGGTTTAAGGATTACGGGGTCGGGCGGGTCAAAGCGCGTTTCTGGCTTGTCGTAGTTTTAGCTTCTCTTGGAATCGAAGCTAATTTCTTGACCAGTAAGCGCATGCGTAGGACATTCCTTCCACCTGCTTGCCTTTTCGTTTTGTTCCTGCCTTTCCTTGCTGCTGTCGACTCTCGCTCTCTCTTGCAACCTCCTTCCACATCCACCATTCCACAATCCTCGTGGCCAAAGTGATCCCTCACACGTGTCTGTTCGCGACTCTTGCTGAATTGATCAGATACTGCCCCACACACTCTGCGATTATTGCCATCCATCACTCTGCTCCTTGGAAGGACTTGACCAGTGACATCGCCTCTGCCTCGATATAGGCAAGACTTATCAGAACCAAACACCCAAGACACTAAACACAAGCACCTCCAGCCATGGAAACTTACTATGGCCACGTGCGAACACCTGGAGATGCCATCCTCCTCTTCGAAGCATGCCGCATCGGCCTGCTGCCCAGAGTACAGCGCCGACTGTCCGAGAAGGAAAGACTGTCAATCAAGTCAGGCTCAGTCTTCGTCTGGGATGAGCGCGAGGCAGGTATGAGACGTTGGACGGACGGAAAATCATGGAGCGCAAGTCGCGTTTCCGGCAGCTTCTTGACATACCGTGAGATGGAGGGCAAGCGCGGCGGCAGCACCTTCAGCGCCGCTCCCAAGGTTCCCGCAGCCAAAGAGCACGATGCTTCCGACGACGGTCCTGACGGTTACCGCTACAAGCCTGATGGTCTGATCAAGCAGTCGTTCAGTATCACCACGTCCAACGGCCAGCATCTCCATCTCATTAGCTACTTCGCTCGCTCAACCGCCGTGTCGCAAAACCTTCAACAACCATCAAGCGACCCGCAACTGCGTCACATCCGACCTGAGAAGGGCATGTACCCCGAGTCGACTGTGCACGAACAGAACGCCATCCCTGCTGTCACTCGCGGCCCCATGACCAGCCCTGCCTTCGCCAATTCTCCTCACCAGTCTGCAAACATTGGCGCTCCTTACCCTCCGAGACCTCAATACACTCACGGCCCCATGTCATACGCCTCGCATGGATGGGCTCCTCCCAGCCCAATGCACACTCCTCCACCGCACTACTCGCCTTATGGCTACCACCACTCGCCCATGCAGCACCTCCACCCTTCGCAATATCCTCCTCAACCCGCTCAGCACTACCCTCCCCAGCTCACTGCCTTCGATCGCGTTCCGGCTCCGCTCTCCAACAATTCATTGCCTGCTCCACCGTCTCACCCTCACCACCACCACCCCCACCACCCGCAGCTCACTCCCATCCACAACCACCCTCCGCCGTCACTTCCGCAGATCAACCACAGCCACCGCCCATCCTTGCAAGAGCTCTCGTCACGCCCTCCAAGCCACGGTCACCCCTCGATCGACCCCGCTCTGGCCAACGACAGAAAGACTGCTCCTCCTCCGCTCCCGAGCCCGAGATCCATGGACACTGCCCCCGGCGCTCAAACAGAAGGCACCAAGCTTCCTCCTGCCACTCTGCCCCCTGTCAGCGGCGGTACCACTATTCCCAGTATCAGCTCTTTGATCCACGAGACAAGCAATCCCTCAGCCCTCAACGCAGGCCGTCCCGCAAGCCGCAGCCCTATTGGTGGTCGTCCTCAAGACATCCCCATGCACAAGATGGGCTACGATGCTCAACGCGATGTCCAGGCACTCAGACACTTGGATAAGGCCACCCTGAGATTCTGAGCAACCACTGCTGCTGCACCAAATTCTTTCCGATTCTGTGTTTACTAGCAAAGCGAATGGGGGCATGTCATGGCACTTTGCCTTTGGGATGGCGTTTTCTAATGAGGGCTTCCGCACGTCGCGACGAATTGCATGAAGGTATTTGGAGTTTTGTTGCTCTGGAGAGTACTGGAGTTTGGCGGTCGGGTGACTGCTTGCTTGCTTGTTTCGTATTCTGTTGATTCTCTGTACCAAATCAGTGTTCTCTTATGGCTGTCTACTACTGTAATAGCTCTGAATGAAGAAAGACTATCTTATATTATTCATCATTACCTCCCGAGTTGTGCCTTTTCTACCATGTCGATACATGACTCATTCGAAAACGGACTCTCTCAACAGGAGTGGCTGCTACCTGATGAACAATCTGTATCGCGGCAATTTATCATATACAGAACAACACTTCAGGCGGAGATCTTTAACATATCCAATTGCTCCTTCCCTGCCGAAAAAGTGCTCCTTCCTTTTTTGCTCTCTTTCTTCTCACTTGAGTTTTTTGCTCGCTCCTTCCTCGATTGGAGAGTCTTGCTCGCAAGGACGTCTTCGATATCACTCATGCTGGATCACTGCGAGCATTTGCTCGGGGCCATCGTGATGATTGGGCTATTTCTTAAGTAGAAATGTGTTCATTGAGATTCCTGGTGCATGATGTAAGTGCACTTTCTTCTGATGCTTTCGGTATCGACTCGGGAGAGATGATATGGTTGTGATCATGGCTTCATGATGAGGATTTGAAGGTGGGAAGGAGGTCAGTAGTGAATGCTTTACGATTGAGGTGATGATGTTGCATGGGCACGATTATGTCAAGTAAAGAGGAGAAAAAGATGTACAGAAAACTCAACAGGTTTTTTTCATTGTTTTGGGGATGGTTTTATATATTTTGTCTGTTTTTTTTGGTGCTTTGTGTTGTTTTTTGGGTCAGTCATTTTCGTTGCGAAGAGAAATCCTATAGTGGATCTTTCTGTACGCAGAATGCATGTTTGGTGATGTAAGTACTTCTGGTGTAGGAATGCTAGAGATTTTCTCCTGATCTTCTCTCATGTAGAGGTCAAGAAGGCTGGATGGAAATGCAAAAAAATGAAATGCGCAGACTGACTGCTGTTGGTGGTGGCTGTGAGTATGTCTTCGTGGTTATTCGTAGTCTGCTCTGACTTTGCCGTAGACGATGTCGTCAACTCTGAGATCGAAGTTCAAGCTGCCTGAGTCGACAACAACGCCCACTTCGATTTCCAGCTCGCGGAGTTTTCTTTCATTCTTGATGCAGAAGCCGAAGCAATCGCGAGGCACGTCTTTGAGGTTGGCGGGCAATTGACAGAGAACACGAGTCTCGGCTGACTTTACGTACTCTGAAGGTGCATCCACTGCATCGCTGACGATGATCTTTGGATTGACGGATGATGGGAAGCGCTTTTGGAATGTCCACACATAGCTGAAGGGTAACATTACCGGCTTGTCCACTGGCAGATCTTGACCTCTTTGAATGCACCAATCGATCTGATTGTCTGCTCTCCACTCACCCATGGTCTCACACCAGTATTTGTTATTGGGAGAATGCTTCGATCCGTCCCACGTGCGGTTCGTAATGACACCGTAGTGGCGTCTTGCTTTTCTGCTGACAATGACACCAGTCTCGAGTCCGGAAAGGACGGCGCCTCGGACAACGGCTGTCCAGGGGTTGGGAGGCTGAAGAATCTGGAATCTCGGACCCTCAGATCCAGGGGGGGTGCCGGCTGTAGCTTGGGAATAGGTTGGAAGAGGATCCTGATCAGCGAAGCGTTGCTTCAAGCATGCATAAAGATATTTGGACTGTCCAAACCCGCCAACCAATATCACACCTTTTGCAGTCAATCCGTTTGCTGCAAGTGTCATGCGCTGTCTTTCGACGAGATCGATAACTGAGTCGATGATTGGGCGAAAGATTTCTGCTACCTCTGCGCTGTGAATTGTGATGTATCCATCTTTGATTCCAGTCTCGGGGTCATTCGGAGCACCGGGGAAGTTGACGAAGTACTTTTTCTTGTCGTACTTGGTTTTCGACTTTGATGGGTCGAAGTTTCTTTTGACATTGTTCTCGAAATCTTTGACCGCAGCTTGCCATAACATGGGCAGGCTTTCACGGAGACGATCGAAAGCTGCTGCTCCAAGACGAGTTCTGATCAGATCCTCAAATCTGAGGTTGAGAAATGCTGCACCGCACAGAGCGCCGATACCTGGTGCAGCTTCTTGGAGACGCAAGGGGTCAAGTGAGACGATCTTGTCGAACTTCTTTGTGGGACAGACTATGTTCTGTGATTCTCATATCTCGTGTGACTTGCTAATTGTACATCAAAATGTCCTTTGCTTCCGTCAGCCCCCATAAATATCTCAAACTCCCATTGTTCGAATGTCCATCGACCCAGGCTTAAGCAGTAATTCCAGAGGGAACATAGTCGAAGGCAGCGCCGCCGTTTCCCTCAGGTCCCTCATCATCATCGTCAGGTCCCTTCTCGAGAACCTTGTCGATACCGACACAGTCGATATCCTCATCTTCATGCTCCTCGTCTTCAGCCTCATCGACCTTGGCTTTCTTGCCCTTCTTGGACTCCCTCTTAGCCTTGCCCTTCTTGCGAGGTTGAGCATCGACGTAGCGCTCCAAGATTTTGAGGGCACTTTTGCGGCCAGCCTCGATGACGTCCTTATCGTTCTTGAGTCTCATGGCTGGTTTGAAGGCGGCCTTGGCTGAGTCGATAACAGTGCAAGTACTCTTGTGACCCTTCTTGCTGATCACAGCCTGACCCTTCTTCTTTCCGTCCTTGTACACCTTCTTGAAGATTCCGCCGCCCTTGCGATTACCAGTATTGACGAAGTTGCGTTGCATATCGACTATGTCGATCAGTCTTTGGTTGTCGCCAATGACACCATCTGGTCCTCTGGAGCTGAAGGTCGACGTAGTTTTTCCGAGAGCAGCAAGTCTCCAGTTTCCGTGAATCTTCTTGTTGAGACCAGTAGCCTGGCGATTCTCGCGCCAGTTGTAGTCTGCAAGCTGTTGAGGGCGAGCTTCTGTGTCGGTCACAGCTCCCTCATCGACCTCCGAATCCTCGTTTCCATCTCCTTCGGCCTCTTCTTTGACTTCGGGACCGTCTTCCTCAGAGCCCTCATCGACCTGGGACTTGTCTGCATTGTCTGCACCTGACTCTTCCTTGATCTCGATCTCGGTGGTGTCATCGCCAGTATCGACCTGAGGGCTGTCCATCTCGAGAGACTCTTCGTTGCTGGGGGAGCCGGTATCGACGTTGCGAAGAAACTCGGGAGTGACAATTCTTCCACTGGTGTCCTCGAAGTTGGACTCCATGTACTGATCGAAGGTCATGTCATCGACCTGCGAGTGAGGGATCTCTTGAGGCTGCTCGGCCATGTACTCGGTGATTGCGCGATCGATATCGACCGGAGTGGGTGAAGGAGTGTAGATCGTTGAAGGAGTATTCATTGTGGATGATGAGTACTGTTGAAGATTAAGAGAGGTTGTTGTTGTAAGAGAGAGGGTTGGTAGAGAGGGAAGAGAGTCTTTTGAGGTCGAGGTGAGAGATCAATTGGAAGGCCAAATGAAACAGAGAAGTAAATGTGATGCAGCTGATCGTGTTCAGAAAGGTCCCTTCCCAATTGAGAAGGAACTGAGGATTCACTCTTGGTCAGAAGTGGTGAGTGACGTTTGAGAATCTTCACGTGAAAGGATGGTTCCTTCCAAGTTGAGGATGTTCAGAAGGAAAGAGGTCTCTACCCCCACTTCTCCTAACCTTCCGTCACCTCTTCCTCTTCCTCAACCTTCACTCTTTTACCTCACTCTTGTCCCCTTCTTTTACTGTATGAGTTCCTGAACCAGCCATCTATAGGTCGATGGACCGCTACGTTTTGCCTGCCGAGGCATATGAGGCAGTTCTCCTACGCCGGGATCGACTGCAGACAGCATGGCGTTCAACACTGGAGCCTCTTCATCAGTGTCCGATGAGTCGAAAGTATCGCAAGGCCATGGCGAGCAAGGTCGATGAGGATGCTTGGGATCTGGACCGTGACGCCAAGTTCGCCATGTCTATTCTTCTGCCGAAAACTATCGACCTACTCACCGCTGAGGAGAAGCCGTGCTTCCAAGATCTTCTGAAACTCTCATGGGTCAAGACGAACCGCCCTGGAATATACAGCTGCATGGCTTGGTACGTCGACGCGTGGGGCAACTTACATGTAATCATCAAGGTGGGATGTGCATGGAGTGAAGACGGAGGACTGGAGCAGAGAAGAGGGCAGCAACTCAACGACGGTGTCTCGAAGGCAGAGTAGGTCGATCCGGAGATATCAAGAATGTTGTTTGAGTCTAACACACATCTTTCTAGGGCAGTCAGAGGATCCCCTTTCCATACCTTTATCCAGGACGCAATAGCCAAAGGTCGATCCATCAATTACCATTGGTCAACGTTGGCCATTGGTGACTCGTTCACGCGTCGATTCAACCACGATGAGTATCTCCCAGCCAGATTCTACCAGGTCGAAGCCATGCTGGCAGCCGCCTTTGGTTCGTCGATCTCGACCATGGACAACCCCAAGTACCTCGCCCTCAATGGGTGGCCCTATGTCGATCCCAACAGCAAGCTTCAATGGACTGGCGCGGATAGCCATTGTGCGCTTCAGGATATCTGGCCCAATCCACCCACCGGAGAGTCGATAAAGGACACACTGCACTGTCCTATCGACGGCTGCTACAAGAATAAACCTGGAGAGTTGATGTTCTATCAGAGATGCCATTACGACGATCATATGGCTGCACACAAGAACGGAACCGTCAAGAAAATGTCGTTCGCCAAGTGCTTCGACCCTCGTTGTCTCTACGAAGAATTCCCTTACGAGTTAAACAAGCATCAAAGACAGCACATCGACGGAAGATTCGCATGTAGCGCCTGCAACCTTCAGTTCACGTGGAGTCACGATTGTGAGAAGCATGTGCAAGTGTGCCTGGTTGAGGACGCCATCGACGTGCACAAGGCTGCTGTGGAGTCGATCAAGATCGCCAAGACGCTTGTTTGTGGAGACTCTCGCTGTGGTCAGGAGTACGAGGGTTTTCCGTCCAACGTCGATGTCATGAAGAAGCACCGTGAGTCGCATACCACTGGAAAGCACGTTTGCTCTGATTGCGGTCTGAGGATGATCAATGGCGCATCCAAAGTCCATGCCACCAGAGACTGCCCAGGTCGATCGACCTCCGCTCCGGTTCAGCCATCGACGGATCTCGTCTGCAGTGATGCGCGCTGCGGGATGCGTTACGACGGCACCAACAAGCAGCAAATCAACCACTACAACAAGCACGTGCAAAGCCATATCGACGGCGCGTTCACCTGCGACTGCGGTCTGATCTTGAAAAATGTGAGGCTTAGAGCCGAACACAAGCGCGGTGCTTGTCCTGGAAAGCGTTTGGCCCCGATGAAGAAGGACCACAGAAGAGTGTAGGCAATACAAGATCGACCCAGGGTATGAATTATGATGGTATGATTTGGAGGTGTAACTATGGCTTTTGCGTCGATGATATGGTTGATTGTGGACCGTTTGTGTGTCGATAAGGGGGGTTGCTTGCATGTTTACAGGTCGATAACAGGGTCGATTTGCTTTTGAGCTCGGAAGGAAACAGTCAGACAGAATTACCAGACTCGTCGATGGGAGTAATATAACACATTTTGCATTTTCACACACCCACATTTGCGTGAGCAGCAAGAGAAAGAAAGAAGCAGTGGGTCATGCTGACCAACGAAATTCTTTGCAAAGATGTCCAACAGTCCAAGGAAACTTCGGAAGAGACACTCAACGAGTTCTCGTCTCACTCTGCAAAAGCCATGAGACGCGTATTCGGCGCTTCGATCACCACAGACGATATGGCTGAGCTGCAGAGTGCCATCGAGCCACACATATCTATTGTCCAAGACTTGCATCTTCAAGAGGCCCAATACTCTTTGGAGATGCTCCCGGCGCTCGAAGACGACTTGCTGGTAGCATTCGATGCTAGAGAGATGGACGACATGAACAACGAGAACAAAGGTGTGCTTCAGGCATCTGTTTTCCCGGTGGTCTTGAAACGAGTCCTGGCCGATAACAGCGAAGTAAGTCGATCTCTAGTGCTGGTACAGACAACACTAATGTCGTGAAGATGAGATGGATCGTAATCTCCAAAGCAAAGACCGCGACTGCGCCTTGATTGCGAAATAGAGAAGGAAACAAGCATCGCTCCCCCAAGCAATCATCAGAAGTCGAAACACCAAAGCTTGGCACCCAAGCCCCTCTTTCCACCCAGAACAGAAACAGAAAGCGACAATTAAATAGCAATCCCAGACACATGAACAAGACAATTGAAAAACACTGTGCATTTCCACAGATGACTTTACTACATATAAGTGCCTCTGAGATGTGACATCTCGACCCAATTCTCAAGCTACAAAGTCGGAAAATATGGAGAGGGAAAGAGTTGACATGTCGCTATCTTTTGACTTCCTCCGTGTCTCAACGATTAAGAACAACGAATTCACTACTGAATTTCTTTTCTGACTTACTCCATGCTTGTGATCGAGAGAAACGAATACACTGCTGCATTTCCACAGATATAGTTCTGACCACACCTGTGATGAGAGATAGCGAACACATTTCTGATACGCTATATCGTTGTCTCTATGGCAAGCAGCATCATCTGTATCAACACTGTGCATTACATCAGCTCGAACGTTGCGAGCGCACTACCAGTGAGAGACCAACGATAGTCTGATCAAGATGTAAAATTGATGTTCTAATTCGATGATAGTAGAAAAAGGTAGAGGGGGTATTTCAATGCTGTATTCAGTTCCAAACAACAGCAGACCAAGAATGATAGATGAAGAAGACAAGATCATACTACAGCTCATCGTGTCCCGCACCGGCAGTAGCTACAGGTCTGCCGGCATCTTTTTGCAGGTCGACACCGCTCTTCTTCCTCCACTTGTCCCATGTGTTCCAGAAGTCTTTCTCCATGGCCTTGTCCATTTGATCCGGTAATACGACAACGTATTCGACGTGGAGGTTTCCGAATTCAGGGCCATCCTCGTGTCGCCAGACTGGCATGCCTTCGTCTTTGAGGACTTCGACCGAGTTTGGTTGGACGACTTGACCGCGTTTGCGTGAGAGTTGGACAATATGGCCATCCAGATGTGTGAGGTTGCGAGTCCAGTCGCCCAACCATGCCTCCCGCAGACTCAACACTTCGCGCCAGAAAAGATCATTGCCCTTGCGACGGAAGAATGTGCCATCTGTGCGATCGTGTTTCTCTTCTCCCTTGCCCAATTCGGGGTCCTTCTCGATGACCTGCACGATAAGGTCTCCAGCAATGTAATCCGGGCTTTCGTCTCCTTCGTTTTCGTAGTTGATTCTTGCTCCCTTGGGCATACCCTTCTCGATGGACACAGTAAAGGTCTCGACTTCACGGACGTGACGAGAACCTCCGCAGGTCTTGCATTTGTGTTGGATGGTTGTTCCCTTTCCGCCGCATTGGTCGCATTGCATTTGCATTTGTTGGAAAATTCCAGGAGCGAGTTGTGCTTTTTGAATGATCATGCCATGGCCCTTGCACTTGCCGCAGGTGTCTGTCTTGCCATCTTCTGATCCCGAGCCTTCACATGCTGAACAAATAGCCTGTTTCTCCAGAGCGATTTCGTGTTCTGCGCCGTTGTAGAAGTCGCGAAGGGGTACTGCAACGCGGACTTCCATGTTAGGGCCTCTGCGTTGACCAGGAGCATGACCGAAGTGGCCACCACCACCGAAGAAGCGAGAGAAGAGGTCGAATGGGTTTCCTCCTTGACGGTTTCCACCTTCTTTGTGTTGTTTGAGGCCTTCGTGGCCGTATTGATCGTAGATTTTGCGGGTCTCGGGTTCGATAAGGGCTTCGTATGCTTCGGCGATTTCGACGAATTTCTTTTGTGACGTTTCGTCGCCGCTGTGTACATGTGTCAGTATTGTTTCCTGAGGCCAGGTTTGGGAGGAGGGTGGATGCGACGGACGGGTTCTTATCGGGGTGGTATTTCTTGCTAAGTGTTCGGTATGCCTTCTTGAGCTCGCGGTCTGATGCACTCTTCTCGATGCCGAGGAGCTGTTCATAATAATTAGCATTGCTCTGCATCGTATACCCCTCTCCTCGTATTTACCTTGTAATAGTCCTCTGCGCAGAGTGCCACGAGAGGCAACACGCACAGCAAGAGCCATGCAAGTTTGAACAACATTTCGCTGTTCCGTCTCGACTGTCGGAGAACAATTGAGTATGCGGCTCAGAAGACAGATGTTTGAAGGAAGCAGCGCTGCACTTTCCAACAATCTAGAATGAGACAGCTGTTCCAATCCACAAACTCCGATAACGCCTTTTCGGGGAATCAACATGCGAGGTCCGCAATCATCAACTCCTTACCACCGGATTTCGTAGTCAGCGAGATAGGCTAGTCTAAGATATACCTGAAAGAGATAATAATGGTGTAAACAATAGTATAAATTTCATCAATGCATATTCCAACAAGATAGTTATCCCAAATTTTGGGGCGAACTTGTTGCCGCGATCAAGTTCTTGCAGACAAGTGTCGTCAGAAAAAAATCAACCTAGATCGACGACAACCTAGATCGAGGCAATCACGTCAAGACTCCCGCTATAGCGTTGGAAAATATCAAACTGTACACATGCAAGATGTTGAAATGCTCTTCTGCACAGATGTCGAGATAATCATGTTTTGAGTAGAGGTCAGGGTGTCACACGTGACAAACTTGACATGGGAAATCTGCTCCCATTTCGTCACCAACAGCCTAACCATATAACAACTCCCCTCGCTTTAACGCTTTCACATTCCAAACAATTATTTGATCATCATTCAGTGATCAGCCCCAGTATGGTGTTCTCAAACCTGCGAAGGTAGATGCCACAGTGTTGCTGATATCAACTCCTCCTTCATCTTTTTTACGTTGGCCGGAGAGCTGTATGATAAATTAGTCTCAAAACCTCAAGTTTCACTTGCTTTTGGGACGTACCTCCATCTGGATCTGTCTGTGCACATGTACCAGCCAGTCGACGTAGCTCTGTGCCTCTCCATTGCGGTCCTCATACAGCAAGCGGGCAAATTCGTACTCTGCGCCGTCAAGTCCCTGTCTTGCCAGCTGGATAGTCATAGCCTTGGAGCCTCTCGTGATCTCCATGTACTGCATGATGTTGCGTACTTGGGCGTTGAGGTGTGTCTCGAGCACCGGTAAGCTAGAACTGAACGGATCCAAATGCTTGAGCTCGTTGTAGCCTTCGCCGAACAAGTCTTCAAGCAGATTGGGTGACACTTGAGAGTGCAGCCAGAGCAGACAGATCTGTCCATTGTCGACAATGTAAGCACCACCCTCCTCAATCTGGCCGAACGATGCCCTGATAGTAGAAGGCATCATAAGACGCCCGTTCTCATCCGCGAAACCATCGGTTTGTTCCATGTTGTGGATCGCGATGATGCGCGGGTACAGATACAATGACAACTCCATAGGTCCCATGGATCTTATCAGGCGCATGTCATGGATTCTGCGATCGCTGGGCTCACGACCTCCCTTGAACGCTCGTGACTTGATCAGTCCAAGCATATACATACCCAACTCTTTGAGGTTTTCCGGCAACACAAGCTGACCAGGTGGATGTGATCCCGAGAAGTTCTTGCGGTAGCCAGCCAAGATATCGATCGTCTTTTCGCTCAAGGAGTTGCGGATGTCTGTTAATGTCTTTTCTGACACTCTCGATGCTGCTTCTTTCGAGATAACACTGACTACAGCATCTTGATCGACAAACTTCATGGCCTCAAGAGCGCTCTCACTCACGCTTGCAACAGTGTTGGTACAGCGGACTCTACGTTCACCCGTTGCGGTCGTGTAGAGAAGAGCGCTTTGGAAGTGTGCGTCCAGTTTTGGATCCAGTTTGCCATCATAACTGAACATGACCGTGATCGCTTTGTCTGCATCGATGGAGCCAAATTCGAGGTCGGCGCCAAAGGTGTGTTGTGTGAAGTTGCCATGGTAAGCAGAGAGCTGTAAACCATTCGAGCAACGGACCTTCATAAGGGCCTGGAAACCAGTTTCGCGAGTAACCGTGTGCTTGAGCTCCTTTGCTAGGCGCAAGTCATCCCGTGGGCTGTGGAAGTTAGGGTAATAGTAAGTTTCACCTCCAGACACCGCGCAGCAGTGGCCAATGGTTGCAATGTCGAGATAACCTCCACTAGGCGCGGCCATGAAGAAGTCTATGCCAACACCGGCTTCAACCATCTTTGCAGCCGTGCCTCTCCAGCCAGGATGCTCAGTAGTGTAAAGCTTCTTCTCAGCATCGGTGTCACGGCCCTCATTCTTGTCGCGAGGGAAGAGACGACCAGGACCGAAAGTAGGAAGACTTGAAACAGAGCAGATGATTTTGCCTCCAGTAGCAGTGAGAGCTGCCAGAGCTGCATTGATAGCAGGCAGCAATGCAGGTTCCGGGCTCTTGACCGAGGAGAACATGTCAGGTATCCGACTGAGCAGAGAAGTGATGGCAGTCTTGGACTGCTGAGGATCTACGAACAAGCCTTGACTCAATGGTACAAATGGGTCCTCAATGTCCGGCATGACGATCATCTGAGCTTGCTCAAGACCTGCAGTCAGGTTGTAGAAGTGAACTTCTCTGTCAAACGTCACAATACCAACCTTGACGCCTGCAGGAACGTTGCTTGATCCGTCCTCGGCGTAGATTGCATGTAAAATGCCCTTACACATGGCCTCGAGGAAGCCTCTGCTAGAAGCTTCCAAGCTGACATCGATCACGAAGAGCCATTGAAGAGGTACAGGGTCCCTGGTCCAGTACTCCTTGGGCACTAGGAAGTCGACAGTGCCCAACATCAGCTCGGGTCTTTGTGAACGATCGACTCTGATACCTGTTGGATCAGTAGGAGCGAAGTACTCAGACGGTACATCATTGGGATGAGTACACAAATTGCAGATAAACTTGTTTCCACCAGAACGGAAAGTCATGAAGGGATTGATGTAAGTCCTGCAACGCCTGCATCGTGGCGGACCGACATCTCCAAAGTCGAGGACGGGTACAGGTTGTTCGCCATCCTGCAAAGGAGCCAGTGGTTGCAGGACAAGACCCAATGGAAGACCAGTAGTTCGAAGAGCCTCATTCGAGGTGGGAATGTTGTTCAAGGTGAGGCGAGCAAACTTCGGAGAGCTGTTTCCCTGATCGAAAGCAACAAAGGGCACAGCAGCAGGAGGGGGGAGATGCTGTTCCATAGTAGGATAGATGCGCTCCTGGTAATGACGAGCAGGAATGTCGCGTGACCTCGGTACACTAGGGATCTGATCCGGATCAACGCGGCCTGACTGAGAGGAAGCAGGTGCCGACAACAGCTGGTCGCCTTGACGAGCAGCATGCTCCATCGAGGTGACAGGGTTGGCTGGCGCAAAGGCAGAAGTTGCGGCAGGGAATTGCGACATGGCAGGTGTGATTTGCTGAGACATGTATGGAGCTGCGGTTCCAGGCATGGGAGCATTCTGAGCATTGTAAAACTGCGACGAAGTGGTTCCTGGTACAGCACCAGGCAGAGGTTGAGCAGCTGCTGGTGTCTCAAGCTGGTGGTATGCATGTCTGTCCTTCTTCTTGTGTGGTCGCGCACTCGGTGCAGCAGCCGGGGGAGCTTGTGCACCAAGGCCCATGGTACCCATCTGATTTGATAGACCGTCCATAGTTTGGGGTTGTTGTTGTGGCGGTTGCGCTTGTTGCTGGGGCTGGACGGGGAAGTAACTCGCTTCTGAGCCGGCTTGCTGGTATTCCGAGTAGGGACTCGGTGCGACTGCTGGTCGGAATCTCTGCTCTTTCTGTCTAGATCCACCTGGCGTTGCCAGTGGCGTCGTTGCCGGCGATCCAGTCAAGGAGAACTCCATGATAAACGAAAGTGGTTGCGACCTTGTGTTACGGCGAAGCTGTACTAGGTAGACGAAGCTACGTGGTCCAATTCATCTAACAATCACTCGCTCGCCAGTAGTACCAAACGTCGTGTCGCGTTTCGGTGGTCGATATGATTTATTATAATTTCCTCCTCTTGCTCCTTGCTATGCGTCTTCCAGAGTCCGATCGACGTACGGGTAGTGTTTGTTCTAGGAATAGAATGCGGACTGCCACCATTGCCATTCGGGAGTCTGTCCATTGCCAAGCCCGAAGCCCCTGAGACTATCAAGACCATCAAGACCATCTCCTGTCAAGTCATCAAGGAACCACACCAAGACGGAGAAGATTCAAGCCAAAGACTTTAATTTAACTATGTCAAGCCATTAAATATGCATGTCGTAATTTACAGCATAAACGCTTTTGATGCAGAGCCAGTCCAGCTTCATCGCCTAGCTACAATCCACGCCGCCTTCAGCAACTTGCTCCTTGTACACCTTGCTACCCATGACTCCTCTTCCCAAGAAACGCCTTGACCTCTCTAAGCATTGTTCGCTGCTAGTCAACCAAGACTTGACAATCCGCCCTGCTGTGCGAACTTGAGCTGATACTCACGGAGGTCTGCCCAATGCCGCAACTCTGCTTCCTCGGGGTTGCCATTGTGAGGGTCATCGTGTCCTGCATCAACACGCTCTAGCTTGACCAAGATCTCAAGGAACGCTGCAAGATATTGCTCGGCTTGTTGCGCCACCTGTCCCTTGCGCGACTTGGGTACCTCGAGCAACGTGCTCGCCACCACGCGGATCTTCGTTGTCTGCATTCATGATTAGCCGTTTTCTTGTTGTTCGTTTTGCATTCCATGTACTCACAAGACTGTCTGCGTTTGGCTCCATGTTCACCCTGTCGATACTACTCAGGACAGAAAGCAAATCTCTCACGATGCCTTCACGCTCTTCTGACATCTCGCGATCTAGTGCATCGGCACTGGACGCGTTTCCTGAGAGCAACCCATCAAGCTCTGCAGCAACCTCGGTCGACAGGCCGGATTCGGCATTCTCGGCCTGGATCTTGCTTCTGGCCTGTGCCTCGATCAGAGTGAAGTACTTTTCCACAATGTAGGATCGCGTGCAAAGGCCGCTTCCATGGATATTGGCTTTTTGAATTTCGTACTGTCGTCTTCTACGATCTTCGGGCGTGGCATCGACTGTATTGGGGTTCAAGGTTGCTGGATCGCGTGCAAACGATGTATTCGAGAAATCAAGGCCCAGCTCATTTCCGTTGTGGTTCGCGAAGGGGTTGTTGTCAGTTGGCCAGATGACGAGTACAGGCGGCAGCTCTCTAATTGCCGACTTGCATCTCTCTAGCGAATCACGGAGAACCTTCTTCTGACGATCAATGTCAACCAATGCATCTATACCCCAAGCCAGCTCCATGGTTGAAAGAGGACTGTACGACATGAAGATGCGAACATTGGCATTGAAACCAGCAATCATAGGAACAAGACCTGGTGGTTGCGGCTCGATGTGTCCAGGGAAGATACAGAAGTCGTCGACCTCGACAGGCAAAGGAGGGTAGGGCATGGACGGAGTCTCTGGCGGAATGACGAGTTCGCTGAAGGCAGACCCACACTGGTGAATTGTCTTTGAGCTCACAAACATGGTCCAGAAGATCCTCCTGCCCATCTCTAGAGTGATGTTGTCAAGAACATCGTCACGGTTACCTTCGACGTTCGGACCATTCGATCCAACAGCGGCTGGCAACATTCCCAATCGCGTGAAGTTTTGTTCAGTCGGCTTGTGCAATCCAAGAGCCCTGATGATGGTCAGGCACTCACTCCAGTATAAGCGGCATTGACGCCATCTGAATGTGTAACAGGCAGCGAGACCAAGGAAGTAGCTGGTTGCGGCATCATGAACACTCAGATTTTCGCTATCGAGATAGCCAGGCCCTCTAGCATCAGCGCAGACTTTCTGACATTTCAAGACGAGCGTCATGTGGTTGGGGAATTCTAGATCTCTTCGCTGGGCCTTGAGATGTAATCTGGGCTTTCGTGGGAACGAGGCCACAAGAGCAGCGACCATTGACGACAGCAAGGCTAGGAAAGCACGGTTGTTATAATCTTCCCTTCTCTTCCAGGCTTCGCGGAAACTGGGCTCGTGTGGGAATGGGCATAGCGGGTGGACGTAGGTGAAGAAGTCGTTAACAAGCAGGTCCAACGTTTGGATGTCGCAGATGGATTCGGCCGAGATGGGAGGATGAGACGGATGAGAGGAAAGAGCAGCTAGGGCTTGAGCGGCGTGGGTAGGAGATGAGGGCGTGGACTGGCCACTGATGTGAGGCGACTCCTCGAGGCGGCGACGCTTGATTGCTTCTGCGTGACGGTTCGGCGGACCACGGCGGCGACTAGGACGCTCGAAGGTGCAGGGTATATCAAGGGCAGCGCACGCTCTGCATGGCGGGCCGGATTCATCACACTGAGAGTTGAGATTAATTGCAAGACTCGGCGGGAAGTAGCACGAGTCTGACGTACCTTTACTTTGCGAATACTACAAGAGTCGCATGCTTTGCGCAAACGATTGGCCTTCTGAGGAGTCTCCCCTTGGACTTGGGGACCTTGTGGTTGGGCAGTCGGTGGAGGTGGAGGTGGTGCGAGTGGCGCCTGTTGGTGTTGATGCTGATCATGATGTTGTTCGTGGTGTTGGAGCGGGTGCTGGTGCTGGTGCTGGGGCTGGGAATGCGGTGGTTGTTGCTGCAGCTGCTCGATGCGCTGTTCGATGTGATTTGGCGCATTCGGATCAATCTCACCTTCGGCCTTAGGGTAGATGGCTTGTCCAAGCTGGCCGAGTTGGCTGAATTGCAATTGTTCCTGTTGCGCAGGGTCCAACAATTGCTGCTGGCCTGGAGCCGGGTACAGCGTGTAATGTTGTTGGCTGTCCGGCTCAGGATAGCTGGACATCTGGTCGTCCATGCAGGCGGATTTGACCTGTCGCTGGCGGCAGAACTGTGGGCTGTCAGTCTATACCGTACGGCATATGTCCGGGTTGCGACGCGTGCAATTGCTTCTTGAATGCGCCGGGAAAAAGTCTCACATTCTTGTAGATTCAATGAAGTCGACAATTGGTCGATGACGCGACACGAGCGACTCGGTAGATTGCTACGCAACGGAAAACTCAAGAAGACTCGAGCCTCGACATGTAGAGCGCGTCGACGGAGACCGATGGGAACGTCAGACCAAGTACAAGTTCGAATCAGCTCGGAGGCTGGACGCTTTGACCATCATGTCAAGACCCTAGCCAATCTTTACCATCCTTGCACCATCTCACTAACAGGACTCTTCCCTAAGGAGCATGACTGAACACAAGCAACATTGGTGCTATTCAAGAACTCGGACCGACTCCTTGCATTGAGCACGTGTCTACCACCAGTACACACTGCTAAGGTCCAGGGTCAATCTCCAAGCAACCTCGCACAGCTTTCTTATCACGACGGCACGAGATCTGTACAGGGTCGGTCTGAGCCGAAAGGTTCACAGATCTGCTGTCTCGTAATCCACCATTCAAGACCCTCTTTTCCAGCTGCAAATAAAGCACATAGCATTGTCATCAAGGTAGCAAGAAACCTAGCTATGCAGGAGTTCATCCAGAGTCTTGCAAGTTTCGAACAGCTCATCCATTTCTCTTGCGGTACCTGGTGGTTGTATTTTCATAAGATTGGCATCTTAAAAGAGCTGGTCATCAACAGTTTGGAGCTGATATGCAGACGTGCATGACATCCAATATTGGGTGCCACGACAAGGCGTTCTGTAAGATGGTAAGCACTCTATATGAGCTTTTTTTGCTATGACTTGTGAGAGCAAGATCCTGTGAATACAGAACCTCCTCATACACACGAGATATACCTACGCGTGCCATGGTATCCCCATGATGGAGACAAGGGAGACAAGGGAGAGCAGCGTTTCAGCGTTCTTGCGCTACGGGCCGTCCGAGCGGAGTCCATGCATTCGGGCGCGTGGGATGCGCATTCTCGGCCTCATCGACATTTGTTGTGTACACACCTCTTGCCATTTTCTCTACGCGATACTTACCCCTTCCATGTCAATGATTACACCATACCAATCGGTCTACTCATCAGAAGAAACAGACTCATTTCCGTGTACACATTTCTCCAGACGATGCTTTGCTGAAGGTCCATGGCGGCTTCAGCATGGCACAACGCTGTAAACACAGCAAACACGACCTCGTCCTACGCGTCTCTACCCAATGGATCTTGCAATTTTCGCCCACTCAGCACCGGCTCTCAAGCCCCGACCTGCGGTTGTCGTAGATTTTGGCTCGATAAGCCGCTAGATAGTCAAAATGGATCCTCCGTACTCTGCGCATGCGGCCACCACGCGTGCTTTCACGACGTTACAGTCGATTCCGTTCCACCTCCTAGCTTGATGCGACACAGTAGTGCTCCTTCTGTACCTTCAAATCCCGATCGCAATACTAGTCTACTAGTCGGCCCCCCGATCGAACAATTCGGTATTCCTCCACAAGACAAGAGCAGACACGATCGGACAGGACAATTAGAGGTTGCGCCGTTGTCGAACGATGTTTGGGGACGGTTGAACAACTTCGCGCGATGGCAACAAGATCCAGCCTGGATTCCATCTACTGCACCGGCCAGTGTTCTGTCTTATGAGCCACAGACTGAGCGCCCGAGTGCGCCGAGCGAGCCATCGCCAGTCAAAAGTACGACATCGAATGAACGGCGATATGCGTCTCTATTCCCGAACATGGATGGCTTGATGGCCAGTCCGACTGTCCAAGGAACACCGACCGCAACCGATTACATACCCGATTCACTACAAGTGGATGTGCCGTTGAACACTCACCACGACGAAAGAGCAAACCATTCAACACAAAGCCAACCGGCGAAACCAGTGGAACCAGATGCATCACAACGAGAGACAAAAGACGCCAAACCATGTCTAGAGGTCACTAAATTCGTAGACAGCAAACCGCAAGAAACACCGAGTACGCCGACCAAGACCATCACTCCAGATGTACACAACATATTGCAAAGCTGTGTACGGCGATTGGAATCACTGGAGACCTACTCTTTCTCGCACGTCCCTCTCGATGAAGTTCAAGAAAAGTTTGAGCTGTTTGACGGCCGACTATTGGAGCTGGAATACTGGAAGAAGGACATTGACGCTCGACTTGAGAAATCTCACCTAGCTCTCGAGGACAAAGACTCGCAAGCTTCGACATCTTTTCAAGATCTTCAAACCTATGCCGGCAGCAAAGCATTATTCTCACGTGTCTCTGAAGTGGAGGACCGTCTGGCAGACTTGGAAAGCGCACAACCTTCGTACGCTAATCCTTGGGAGATTGAAGTTGTTCTTCTGCCTTTTGGCCGTACGTTGCAAGGTCTCTGGCATACTTCAAGTGCTACCGAGTCAAATCAGCTACCCAGCACACCTGCTGCTCAGTGCGACGAAGACAGAACGTCTGGTGGTCTACTTGCTTCGACAGGAACCAAAGGACCTGCATGGACAGCAGATACCATCGAGGCTTGGGCGAGCACCATCAACCCATGGCTGTGGCCGAAAGCGCCTGGACCGAACAGCAACATGTTTAAACGTCTCCAGAGTCGTGGGCTCGTTCGTAATGTTAGTATCGTGGATACTGGTGCACATGGCATCTGGGAATCGGTCAAAGACGCATTTGCAGACTTTGTTGAGACACAGCCATATCACTGCTCAAACAACCAGCAGCAACCTTATGAGGCGCTAAAAGAGGCATTTGTACCCCTACGAAAGATCAAGAAGTCTTCGTGGCTTCGATACCTGGAAACACACGAATTGATCACTCCGGCTACATGGGACATCTCATTTCTGGACTCGGGAGTCTTCATGAACGGTAGAGGTGGTCGCAAACGACTGTATATGACCACTGCAGATGGCTATATTCAACCAGGAAAGACTGGCTGGACATGGCAGCAAATCCGCGACCTACCCAGATATGAGAACTTGATAGCGAGATCTGGGACACTATTCAGCAGAGAAGCACCCTCGGAGCCTTTCTGGAAACACGTGCCTGCTCTTGACGATGCGCCTAGCTTCTCATCATTCGTCTCACAGCACAGTAATATTTCTCTCGGCAAACGTCGAAGCTCTAACGTCACATTTGAAGATCATGAGATGGAGAGTCCATCCGCCAAGTCATATACTTCGAGTTCATCCGGAGATACCATCACTCCTCGATACTCAGAGTCTTTCCCTATCATCGCGAAGAGAACCTCCGATTCCAAACGACGGACAAGCCCATCCTGTACACCAGTCGCCTACCAAAAACGTCGCCGAATCTCTGGCTCTCCCAGCAGATACCGAGGAGGGTTGGAAGAGTTGACACCAAGATGGTCACACGAGCCGCCAACACCTTTGGTGGACAATATCTGGGAGACACGCAGTCAGTGCAGACCAGGATCAAGCAGAAAGAGGCTCAGCACACCCACAGCATATGCCACACCACACAGTCATAACGTTGCTAACGTCGTCGACCTTGCCATGGCGGATGGCGGAGACACAGAAGTAGAGTCTGTGGGCTCTGGCGCAGCCGATAGTGAAAAAGAATGGGGAGGCCTGGATGAGGACGAGGACAACAACGAGCAGCCGCATCAAGCTTCACAGTCCAGTTTTACCGACAGTGAGTGGATGGCAGAAAACGATGATTCATTCTACCAAGAAGAAGAAGATGCGGATGACGGCGACAGCCTTTACGAGCCATGAGGAAGGAGTATTTGGAGTCTTTGTATATTTCGAGATTATTCTACATAGCAAAGAGCGGATTTGGAGTTCTTGGAAAGGGGATATATAGCATATCAAATCACATCTCGGAGGCGTACACATAAGAATCGTACATGTGGAAATGCAGAAGCTTATCCAACATCGCACCGAAGAAAGTTCTCACATTGTAGCATTCACCTTGTTCTTGTGTGAAGTTCAGGGGTCATCTCGTCGAAAGTGGACTCAACTCAGGGAGTTGACTTAGTGCAGAGTGTCAACACCCAACAATGATACTTGCCATGGAGATGAGCTCTCTTACACATCACACACTCTCGCTCAACGCTCGTCTAAGGCGGCAGACACTGTGCACTCCCACACGTACATTGCAAAAAGGCGTTAAAGCATGTATTGCACATCTCTCTGCAAAAAAAAAAAAAACCGTATTACATACACTCTGTTCATCTACCCTTATACCTCTAAGCAAGGTCTAGATAGATCCAAAGGACATGAGAGAAATAGAAAAACCAATGATCGATAAAACTCCATACATTGTCTTCCTTCCGACTTATAGCTTCGCCTCCTCCTTAAGTTCACCAACCTTCAACCTCTTCTGATACTTCTTCAACACATCCTCATTATGATATTTCCAGAATTGTTTACTCGCATCTAAACCCCCACCCCTTCTCATCAGCACTGTAAAATCCTATCTGATAGGAAAGGAAAGCGAGAAATTTACCTTTTCCACCCACTCGTTTCAGGATTTTGGCGCCGCCGGGGTGTTCGTCTGCGAATTCGGCCATCGAGTAGACTGCATTGTCGATGATGATGTAGAGGCCATTGTCTGGGGATGCGTGGTCTTTGACTTCTTTTGCTGTTATGGAGGCGGACATGTTTCCGTGATTTTCTGCTCGGTATTCTGGATTTCCCTGGAGACTGAGATATGGATTTGTTGGTGTGTAGTTGCAAGATGCTTGGGTATACGAGTAGAGATGGATAAGTTGTAATTCAGAGAGCGGTGGTTGGTTCGAAGGGGAGTCAAGTTGTATATCTCCGCAATCTTGGAGATGCCGAGGTTTGAGTGGGTGGAGGTTCAGTCGCCGAAAGTTGCTTGATTGGGTAGGAGAGATATCGGCTATTCCTTCTTACTTTAAGTCGATACACAACAAGAAGGACAGAAAGATGAATATGTATAACAAAGAATATATTGATACTGACACAGCTAGATTATCGTAATTTCATTACCCTCATACAACGACGATCCCCTTGGAAAAATGGAAACGCAAAAACGTACGATCAACATCGACAATGCTTACTCGAAACAAGCTGCCCTCAATGCATCCATCCAAGAGACCGCGATCAAGTCTCGTTTCTTCCAACCGACGTTCTCTCTACTTCTTAGGTCTACTGGCAGGATCAACTCTGACCTTGTTCATCGAAGGAGGTTTCGGCACATTAGCAGGGGGCAATGAAGTCGCCGAAACCTTGGGCAATCCACCCACTCCCCCCACCACAGGCGCCTTTTTAATCCCACTAACACCAGGAGGTTTGGGCAATCCGTCCACGGGAGCTCTGGGAAGTCCTCCGCTGGTCTTCGGCTTGCTTGCTGCGCTGACTTTGGCTTTTCCGGGTACGCTGCTGGCACTGCTGAGAGGTTTGGATACCACAGGAGGGAGAGATGAAGTTGACGGTTTAGGTGTGGAGGGTTTGGTCAAGCCATTTGCGGAGGGGATGGGACTGCCGTTGACCACGGCTTTCGGCTTGGATGCAGCAGAGACTGCGTGTTTCTTTGCGGCTCCTGCGTAAGATGGCGTGTTTGCACCCAATGTCTTTGGCTTTGATGCAGGAGCGGGAAGGGCTTTTTGTGCTGTTGACGGGAGAGCCTTTTGTTTTGCAACAGCACCTGCTCCTTTTGCTGGTGCTGGTGCTGGGAGGGCTTTTTGCTTTTTCACCGCGGTTGCTGTGCCAGGGTTTGGTGCTGTTGCTGCGACTGCGCGGTCGCCGTAGCTGTTGATGTAGTCGCCCCAATTTTTGATACTGCCTTCGATGCCTGTTGATGGGTTTGGTTAGCTTGAATGGACTCAGAGAGAAAGAGCAGGAGAGGTTCGTACCATTGCCGACTGCTTGTCCGCTGCTTTGGATCATGGTGCCTACGCCGCCGACGGCATTGCCAGCTACATTTCCTGCTGCTGTGATGCCGCTGGACAGCATGCCCATGGCAGTATTTTGGATATAATTCGTGATGAAGCCCGTCATATTTGCGATGTTCGTATTTATCAAGTGCTCGGACAAAATTCAAAGAGATATCACAGTCGAGGGTATTCGAGAAGCGAAGAGAGATGTGGAAATTGGAGAGGCTGAAGGGGAGATCGCAAAAGCACAAACCCTCAAGAGAACAAGGATGATGGAAGAGGAAGAGAAAGATTCCAGACCTCGCCCTGCGCCATCAAGCAGCATCACTGTGCATGAACATCCCTTGCAACTCTTCCCGCAAACCTGGCATGATATTGAAGATCTGGGGCAGGGTACGGGAACTCGAGGCGTGAGAGTGACGTAAAGTGTGGCGTAACCCCAAAGGCACGAGATGTCACACGGCAGAGTGAGACAATCGACCGTTGCCGGCCAGCGGTTGGACAGCCGTCTAGGTTACGTAGCGGCCCAGCATGAACACACGCGACCGGACGACGGCTGGGAAAGTTTGAACAAAGAGAGTTGCAGAGGGGCCGGTGAACTCTTCTCCTTGAAGCCCTATTCTTGTGATCGGTTTCATAGGAAGCAAGCGAGATGTGTGATTGTCAAAACAGAAAACGCCCGGTACGGTGTTGGTATTGATACATGGTAAAAAAGACATCCGCCGTCAAAAAGATTGACCAAAAAATCATGCCCTTTCCTCCTCATAGCCCTTCGTGAATTAGATTAAAGAAAAGATAGAAAACATCTCGATGCCGTGCTGTGGCTCTCCGCGCTCCGAGACCAGAGAGAAAGTCTAAGCTCCTTGACGTGCCTTCTCCGCACAGATGAGAGCGATGATACGACTCAGCTCTGCGCTCTGTGCAGCCGCTTCTCTGACAATCTTCTCATCGACATTCTCGTTTTTTGATAGGTCTGCTGTGCTCTTGAGCATGCGGTTCTGCAGAGCAAGCATCTTCTGTAGTGTGTTGTCGAGGAAGGCAGCGCTGAAGCTGAGATCGTTGCTTGGGTCCAAGCGCATTTCGAGCTTGCGAGGACGCTTCTTCTCGGCTGGCTCTTCGTTGAAAATTTGTCCGTTTTGTTGCGGCTTGGGTCTGAAGCTTTGTTAGCGACGATTGGATCGTGATGGTAGTCATGTCGTGGGAACATACCTCTCGACGAATGTGATGCTCTCTGCCATCTCGGCGACACGGTTTGCGATTCGGTTGGCCATAATGGCGTATGCTGAACCAACTCCGTTCACGGGTGCGTCACCTTGGGAGGAAACACTGTTTGCTCTGGCTGCCGGACGAGATGCGCCTGCTCTAGAAGCTGCTGTTCCGTTTGCTCGAGGGGCTCCGTTTGCACGAGGAGCACCGTTCGTTCGGGCTACACCGTTGGTACGCGATTGGTTGTTCTGACGAGCTGCCGAAGGAGCGTTGGCCATATCGAGTCTTTGCTGGGTCTTGTGCGACGAAACTGATGTTCCGAATTGGTTGTGTGTGGATGTTGTAGCAAACAATGGGTCGAAGCCGAAGTATATAACGGGGTTCGAGTTCGAGGAAGATGGATGTCAAGTAGAAAAGGCTTGCTTGTCGTGTAAAGATTATGGGGAATTAAAAGAAGAAGGGTGCGATCTCGAGACCTAAAGGTAACTTAGGCAAGGCAAGCATGCGTGGCTGGACTCGAATCGAAAGGCGGCTCACAAAATCACACGTCATTTTACTTTCCCTTGCGGGGCGTGAATCAGGTTGGTCGTGGCTGAACCTGCAGCTCGGAACTCGATCGGGCACAAGCACAGTGCCACATTGCCTCATCGCACGTCGCTTGCTGACGCGAACCCATCGAAGAACTGGCGAAAAAAGCAGGGATGTTGCACTGCCAATTGACAGGGTCTCGAAGTCTCGAAGTCGCTTGTTCGTGTTCGATCAAATGAATAGCTGATCTGTGGCTGTTCAGTATTCCTTTCGCTACCTTGTAATTTCCTCAAAAGCCAAAATGTCGAGACCGCAAGTCGAGGCAGCGTCGAAAGCGTTCGGCGATACGCTGTTAGGAGCCGGATTCGACATTCTGAAGTCGAAAGCAGGAGACCAACACCCAGCAGGACCACCTCAACATGGCACTATGGGACAGGCTGAACGAGCCTTCTCTGCTGCATCGACGTTTCTATCAGGAGTATTGGCGTAAGTAGGAATTGAAAGTGTGTTGAAAGACCTGTGTCTGATAAAATACTGCATTTCAGTATAAGCGCTTCTCAATTCATTGGTGCTCCCCTAAAGCTCATTGATCCCAAATTCTATGATGGATATATGGCTTGGACAAAGGAGTCTTTCGCTGTACTTACTGCGACCATGACCCAATGGTGGGCACCTACTGCTGTTCGAGTTACTGGAGATGAGAGCATGAAAGACCAATTGTATCAAATGGAAGATGGAAGTCTTCGATGCAACTTCCCCCATCGAATTGTCATGATGGCCAATCACCAGGTGTGTTGCTAGAAAGGGCTTATGAAATCATGAGTACTAACAAACGCAGCTTTACACTGACTGGCTATACCTCTGGTGGATCGCCTACACCAACAAGATGCATGGTCGCATCTATATCATCCTGAAGGAATCTCTGAAAAATGTTCCCATCTTTGGCTGGGGTGCACAGTTCTACAACTTCATCTTCTTGTCGAGAAAGTGGGAAACTGACAAAAGTCGCTTCCAAAGGCATTTGAGTCAGCTCAGCGACCCGAAGGATCCCATGTGGCTGTTGATCTTCCCAGAAGGCACGAACTTGAGTGAGACTACTCGGGCAAAGAGTAAGGCATGGGCAGATAAACAAGGCATCAGCGACATGAAGCACCAGCTCCTACCTCGCACCACTGGGCTGCAGTTTTGTCTGCAACGATTGAAGGAATCGACAAACTGGTTATATGACTGCACGATCGCCTACGAGGGTGTTCCAGAAGGACAATTTGGACAAGACATCTTCACTCTCCGCTCCTCGTTCTTCGAAGGTCGTCCACCAAAGTCTGTCAACATGTACTGGAGACGATACAAGATCAGTGAGATCCCGATTGACAATGACGAAGCTTTTGGTAGATGGCTTAAGAATCGCTGGACCGAGAAGGATTACCTACTGGAGCACTTCTACCGCCATGGATCTTTCCCCGCAGGTTGTCCGATCAAGGCCATGCAAGCAGAAGCTGCATTGCAAAAGCTTGCAAATGGCAACAGCAACGGAGAGAAGAAGAAAGTTATCAAGCCCGTCAACAAGACTGCCAAGTTCATCACGACTGAAGTCAAGGCTGGCGGATGGGAAGAGTTCCTCGCCATCTTTGCTCCCATTACCGCGGCGGCAACGGCACTCTCAAGCGGAGATATAGCGCCTGGAAACATCGACTTTGACGCTTTACTCAACAAAGTGGCTCAACAGCAGCAATTAAATCTGCTCACAGCAGGTAAAGCACCGAAAACGACACAATCAACCGAAGACATGCGACAGGCTCTGACATACGCTGCAAAATCAGGGGGTGGACAGCAGATCAAGGGATCGACGATAGAGAAGATTACCAGAGATGCTGCTCGGACTCAGAGAGAAATACAAGAATCCATGGGAAAGCATCCCATGCCGGAAGGATCCAAAAGGCCAACAGCCGGACGAAACCTAGATCCTACGATGAAGAACACGATCGAAAACGTACACGATGAGACGAGGCGACGACTAATGAAAGCCTCGCAATCAGCATCTCCAAAGCCTGCGCCAAATGTTCGAAAGTCGTTACCAATGACCCCTGTGGAGACCGCCATCACGCGACCCATCTCCACGCTGGCAATGCAAAAGGCCAAACAGGGTGTTCAGAAGATTGCAGAGAATTCACAGAAGCAACGGGCAGCGCCTGTCGCGAAGAAGGCAGGAACTTCAGGTCCATCGACTGCAACAAAGCAGCCAGCCCAGGCGTCGTCTGCTACCAAGAAGACTGTTACACCCAATGGTACCAGCGCAAGTAGCAAGACCGCCAGCGCAAAAGTCCCTCAGAAAGCAGCAGCCAAACCGGCACCGGCACCGGCGAAGGCGAAGAAGCCAGCGACATCTTGAGAGAGCATGAGCCTCGAATTGTGATGTTGAATATCGGTATCATGCGGACAGCATTTTACATGTCATACGGATACGTTTCTCAGACATCGGATGATTGCGATCGATCCTGTGCGCCTGATATCGATTCTCTAATTATTGGAGAGACTCACGATTCTCAGCGAGAACATCGATCGGGAAGGTCGTCTTTCAGAAGGGTTCTGAACCAAGACGGCATATGAAATACTTGATTTTAGCATCTGACGTAGTTCAGGTCAGGGCGGTGGTTCACGCGTTCCGAACAGCAATTGCCTATTAGAGACTGATAGAACAGTTATCGGATAGGTTATCGAGCTCGCTTGTTGGCATAATTAGGCGGGATCGACGTTACTAGCGGCATCGTATATACGAAATTTATGAACAAAATTGCATGTAAACATATACACTTGCAGCCAGCAGGTGTTGATATAGAAATCTGTTGGTGGTATTGTCGACTTTGGTGAATGGTGAATAGAGTTGAGTTCAGGAGCTTCCAAACGGTTTCTGGGTCGACGGGAAAAAGACGTGTTGTTGACATGTTGTAGCGTGGGGGAAAGTCTCGAACGGCTTCCGCACCTGCAGCTTCACGTCAAATCAGGAGGCACGCGCTACGCCATTGCATCCGCATCTGCACACGGCAGGCCAGGAGGGTGTCAAGTTTCTTCTCCTCTTCTTCGACACGTCGCCAACGCTGCAGGGCATATCGACTTTCGACAGTATACATTTTTAATCCCCCTGAGCCGAGCCCATCATGAGCGTCAGGGTCGTTGCGCGCATTCGGCCTTTGCTCAAGCAGGAGCTGGAGAAGGACACCATCGTCGAGGCCGCCCCATCTGCCACCGAGCCACTCGCGACTCCCTCGATTGTGCGCATCCCGAATCCGAAGAACGAGGCCGAGGCCTTCAGTTTCCAGTTCAACAGCGTCTACGATCAACAAGCCACACAACAACAAGTCTTCGACGATGAGATTGCTCCCACCGTCAAACACCTGTTCAAAGGGTTCGATGTCACCATCTTCGCATATGGAGTCACCGGAACTGGAAAGACGCACACAATGCGCGGAGGGAAGCTACTGGCAGAAAGAGGTGTCATTCCGCGACTGCTCAGCAGCATTTATCGCAGGAGTCGCAAGATTGAAAAGGATACCGAAGGCAACACCAACATCGACGTCTCGATGAGTTATTACGAAATCTACAATGATCGCGTCTTTGACCTTTTCGAGGGTCCCGAGAAGCGCACTCCTGCTGGTCTACCCATCCGTGACAACAATGGAAAGACGGTTGTTGTTGGCTTGACCGAGAGACCTTGTACCTCATTGAAGGACTTTGAGACGCTCTACGACCAGGCCAACGTCAACCGCTCCACATCTGCTACAAAGGTGCGTAATATCTTGGCAGCGTCGATGCCACATCTTACTAACCGTCTATCTAGTTGAACGCACACTCGTCACGCTCTCATGCAGTCCTTTGCGTCAAGGTAACTCAAGTAACCGGTAACGAAGTTCGAGTAAGCACAGCAAGTGCCATTGATTTGGCTGGCTCTGAAGACAACCGCCGTACCGACAATGGCAAGGAGAGAATGGTTGAGTCAGCCAGCATCAACAAATCTCTTTTCGTTCTCGCTCAATGTGTTGAGGCTATCAGCAAGAAGCAAAACCGCATCCCTTACCGCGAATCAAAGATGACCCGTATTCTATCTCTTGGTCAAAACAATGGCCTGACAGTCATGATTCTCAACTTGGCTCCTGTCAGAAGCTACCACCTCGACACTCTGAGTTCATTGAACTTTGCGAACCGCACAAAGAAGATCGAGGTCAACGAAGTCGAGAACAGGCCCTTCTTCCGTACTGCACCCAAGGCCGAGTCCAAGTCTGGCACCACTCAGATTCCTCTAGCAAATCGTCAACCTCTGCGGCCTAAGGCGCTGTCGCATAATGTCGTCCCTAGCAAGGAACAGCCTGACAAGGTGGAGAAGCCTGTGAAAGCCTTCTCTGTTTATTCCGATAAGCCCAAGCCGACCATCGCGCGACCAGGCCATCTTTCTGGACAAGGCCACCCACGTATGGCCGAAGCACAAAAGCGTACCAGCAGTGAGGCTGTCCCAACCATCAACCGACCAGCCAAAGTCTTGAAGCCATCAATCGCCAAATCCGAAGCAGCCATGTCTCAAAAGTCAATTGAAGAGCTCATCGAAAAGAAGGTGGCTGAGAAACTCGCCGAACAAGCCCTCAGCATGAAACTACCACCAGGAACCACCGAGCAAACGATTTCCCCAGACGTACAGGCTAGGTTAATCGCCCTCGAGCGCAGAGTTGTCGATCAAGAATCCGCACGCGCAGAGGGCCTTCGCTACCTCCTCATGGCCAAACAACATACCGTCCGCGGCGAAGACGTCAGCGCTTTGTGCATGTACCGCCTTGCTCTCCCCCATTTCCCAGACAATGCTAAGCTCGCACAAAAAATGCTCAAGCTGCAAGAGAAGATCGCTCGCAAAGAAGAAGAACGCCGACCCAAATCCAGCGGCGGTGTCCCCATTTCCGAAGGAGCAGCAGAGGATCTGAGGACTAGAAAGTACAGAAGTCAAGAAGATGATGAGGAGTATCAAGATGAAGGCCACGAAGAAGAAGAAAACGACGAAGATGTATTCGATCAACGCACCGCAAAACCCAGACGCCCAGTTATCCGCCGCAACCTATCTGTTTTCCGCGACGATGCAGCCCCTGCTGCACAACACCACGCCGAATCAGACTCGGAAGACGAACTAGCACATTCCCTCATGCACACCGGACCCGACCAAACCCCCCGCTCCAAACACATCTTGCGTATAATAAACAGCAAAGATGTAGCACAGATCCGTCTGCTCAAAGGAGTGGGAGCAAAAAAAGCAGAAATGATCGTCAATGCGCTTTGTGAAATGGATGATGAAGTCAGACATGTAGGCGAATTGGGCAGGTTGAAAGGTGTAGGTGTCAAAGGTGTTGAGAGGATGAGAGAAGGCTTGGTCGGTGTGGTTGCTTGAGGAAAATCCATGAGTTTTCAGGAGCCAACAAAGTATTTTTGCATCTTTTGATCTTGCGTTGGACAAGCATGTGCATTTTTTCTTTGACACGGAGTTTTTTTTTGGGGGGGGGGGTTTGGTTTGATCATCACTTCAAAGCATACATTTTTTTTGGCATTATTGGGCGTTTTTTTGGGATGCAAGAAAAAAGGCATTTGGATTGGGCAGGGGGGATTTTTGCATTTGTTGTAGGGAAAGCAAATGACTTTTTATTAGATAGGATTGTAGAGAATGAGAGAGAATCCAAAAAGCCAAAGATGAGCGGTGTGGTGTCATACCTAGACTGTACTGTAGCCAATGTCAAAGATTATTGCCTCGTGCGAACCTGCTCCTCATGCGGAAGGTAGCGTAGATTGGATCGTGAGTGAGATAGTCGTTGCACTTGACAGTCAACACAAGTCACAAGTCACAAGTCATAACATGGAGCGAGGCAAAGTATGGTTTCGCATGCAGAAACAGTGATATGATATTAACACCAAAGTTGGAGAGTGTGAGTGAAGGAACGCTAAACTACTGATAAGGTAACCCAAAAACAGAGAGCAGAAGCAAACAGATTCGTTGGGTCGTTGGAGCGAGAGGTAAAAACAAAACAGACGCAAAAGACAACAACAGCAAAAGTCCATGAGGGGGGTATCAGGGTATCGAAGGTGAATAACTTGACAGAGACCGCTCCAAGGAAAGATCGAAAAAAGGAAGAAAGAACATCAAATGGCAGAACAGGATGTGCTTGCGAAATTGAATCAAAAAGGGGGAAGGGGTATTTGGGGAAGTGGGAAGAACACGCTCGAATTGAAAAAGGACAAGAAATATCAAGGCTCAAAACAGAAATCGTAATAATTCGTTCGTGGTCGTGGTCGTTTCTCGGGAGGTTTCATCAAATTATGAAACATTAGTTGTAGGTGTAGGGTAGGGGTGTTGGGGTAAGGATCGGATTTGGTGTTTTGGTGGTGATCGAAATCATCGGCGGTGTTCAACGGCGCGGTTCTCACTAGTGGCGACGGCGACGAGTGCCTCGAGTCTGCCCATATCAGGGTTGGCTCTCTGGTTGACAGGTGCAGGACGCCATTCAGGAGACTGCTGCATCTGCATGTTGTGACCAGCTTGCATCATGTATACATTAGGTGCTTGACCAGGCATGTGCACGTAGCTGTGGAATCCAGAGTCTGCTCTGATAGGCTCTGGTTTGCCTTGGAACTGAGCTTGAAGGGCCCTTTGCTCATCAGTCAGCACAGCATCGGGAGGCTGAAGTTCGACCATGCCATTTGCATGCATGATGGCTGGGTGCAGTTCTCTACCTTGAGAGGTCGAGGGTGTCGGGATGCCTTCACTGCTGCTGGACTCGGGTGAAGTGCGGTGTGCGATCATGATCGGCTGACTTCCCTGAGGCGGGCCCATTGGACCACCGTACCAGCCTTGGCGCTTGTTTGCACGCTCATCCGCAGCGGGACGGATATCGACGGGTGGCTGCAGTTGCGGCAATGCGTAGCCAGGAGCAGGCTGCTGGTGCAGTCCAGAGTGAGGTGCCGTGGTTGGACGCTGGCTTGGGAGTATGCGAGACGGGTCCACGGGAGGGTGGGTGGATGCTTGGGCGATCTCCAATCTGTTCAGGTTGTGGTGGAGATTGTGCTCCCAACCTGTACTTCTTCGGTCTCCAGGAACTGAAGCGGAAACCTCAACTGGACCCGACACAACGGAAGGGCGGCGGCCGGAATCGACTTGCATTGGGCTGGTGACATTGCGTGCTGGAGCAGCAGAAGGAGGAACATGATCAAAGCTCTCGATACCAGGAAGTCTGGTAATCTGGCTTGCTGCTGGCTGAGAGCTTGCAGCAGGCGCAGCGTCATCAGGAGTCTGGTTGTAAGCCAAACCACTTGTCGCAGGACGACTGGCGTAGCTGGCATGGGTGCCAGGATGCCATGTTCTTCTTCTCCATTCGAGCTCGGCATCAGACTCGCGACGTTGGTGTGAGAAGGTGGAAGCGGTGGGGCTAGCGACCATGCTGTTTGTGTTCGAGTATTGGGGCGTTGGGCCCGAGGGCAGAGGAGCGAAGTAGACGGGCTGGTAGGTTGCTGTCTGTGGTGAGTAAGGGCTGATGCCCGAAGGTACAGACAGACGACGAGAGGGTGTTCTGCTGCCGTTGTAGAACGACGACCTAGCGATAGGCAGAGATGGCGACTGCATGGTGGCCTGGAACCTTGGGCTACCCTCGCCAGTAGAGAAGGTTGACGAAGTCGGAGAGCTGTACCCACTGGGCGCTTGCTGGTAGTAGCCAAACTGGGGACCATTATTGGGTATGGCTGGATTGAAAGTATCCAGACTCAGCCTTGCTCTTGCTACGGGGTCCTGGTTGAGCATCAAGGGAGAGGGGCGTGGGCGACTCTCTCCAATATCCGACATGGCAAGGCTGGATGTTGTCGAGAGGACGCTCGAGGCTGACAGGTTCCTACTATGCCCTCTGCTGTACGCACCGTGCCCATGTCCACCACTGCTGGCTGTTGATGCTCTGGGCCTCACATTCGGCGGGCGGACGCGGTCTGTGCGAATCTGTCTCTGGAACCTGGTACCAGTCGCTGCAAGAGAGTCGCCGGGGATCTCTTCGTTGACGTGAACGGTCTGGGCATGCTGGCGCAGGTTGTCGAGCCGAGAAAATCGTCGGGAACAGTGGCACTCGAAGGGGCGTTCACCCGTGTGTTTTCTGGCACATGTCAGAATGTTGATCTACACCAGACTTGAAGTCTATGCTTACCGGATATGCCGAGCCAGATGTTCGCTGCGAGTAAAGCTGAGGTTGCATGGTGGGAAGTCGGTGCAGTAGAATCTCTGGCCCTTCTTCTTCTTTCTTGAAGGCTTCTCGTCGTCGTCGCTCTCGTTGTCCGACCCTGCTTGATCGTGTCCGTCATCGTCGTCATCGCCCATATCGATATCCTGCGAATCGCTGGACTGATGCGAATGTACTGAGCGCCGTGAGTTTTCGCGTGTCACACCAGTGTTGTCGCCATGTTGTTCGGAGCCAATCGAGTTGTCGGCGGGAAACTTGAAAGTTCCTCTGGTCGGAGTATTTGAAGTCGACTCTTCGGCGAGGATTTCTTCAGCGGGATGATCGGAGAAGCGCGCGTTAAGTCGCGGTGTCGTGGGTTGGTAATCGTCGGTCGTACTACCACTTCGTTTTCTGCTGCCCGGAGCAAGCATCGGTCTCGTGCTATTTCGAGAGTTCGACATGCCTGACAGGGGCGGCGACGGAGAGGATGGTGTGTCAGGAGGCCAAATGTGTTGAGATGGGATGAAATTCTAGCCGGCTTTGTTCAGATCAGTCGATTCGTCAAATCGAGGACTAGCAAATAATTCGGTCGCAGAGGTGCACAAGATCGGCCCCAATATTGCCGACTTATATGCATATAAAAGGCGTACCGGTGAGGTTAGAGCATGTCATGAAGCTGAGAAGGTTGAGGGAACATGGAGTCGTGGGGGAAAACTAGAGAATCGTGAATCGTAACGACATGAAGATTTGGATGTCGTGGTAGAGGAGACGTAAGAGACGACGAGGACGACTCCGACGAGCGGCAAAAGGGTCAGAGACGTGATAAGCAAGCAGCAGATGCAGATGCAGCGACAGTAATGGATACAGCCCCGCCACACACGCAACGTTGGATGATGATCCTGCGAAAGGCAGCGACTGGGTAGCGTACTCGGCAATCCAACGGCCAGAAACTGGCGCCCTTTTTGCTGTTCCCGGGGCTCGATCAAAACTATAGTTACGATAGACAAGACAAGGCGCAGGAACAAGCGTCCGAGAAGGGCCGCGACGGAGTCAAAAAGTGCAGGAGCGCCCACTGCGGGACGAGAGAAAGATCATGGCGCTATCCACAAGGCAAGTACGGATAGACGATGATGACTTCCCCTCGCATATCCAGAGCACAGATCCCACCACTAACTTTCTCTACCGCGCCGGATCGGCAAGAACATGTCGAGTGGCTTATGCAGAAATCTGGAGCAAAAGACGTTTCAACTGACGACAACCAACCATCTTGTCCTCTCCTAACTTTCTCGCGATTCACGGCATGTGCGTACCCGCCGACGCCCTGGCTACCAGCAGACTACCCACCCTGCTGCTCGCAGCTCTTGTCTGGGGCTTGCGTAGGATAGAGTAGAGAGCAGCGTGAAATGGTAAAAAGGTACCCTCGACACTAAACAAGAGGTGGGGTGTGCGCAGCATGCAATGTACAAGAGGGTACATGGTGGTGCATGTTCAGGTGCAAACCAACCAGTCCACGGCAAACGCACGACAATGCGTGTACCTACCCCTCCACTTTGTCCTTGTCTGCAAGTCAGTACCGCGCCTGAACACGCGCGCCCGCTGTCCAGCCCTTGTTGCTCGGACCCATTATTCACAAGAGAGTCTTGGGTCACGCACACCCATACCACCACACACACCCACATCATACATGCCTCGAGGGAATCCGGACGAGGCGGTTTTACCCTTTTCCACTCGATATACGGTGTGCTAACAAGGGTGACCACTGACCAGCGAGCAAAACCGGCCAAGGACCGCTACCCGGCCACCGCCAAGCCACAAAGACGGTGAAGGTCGTTGGAGGAGTAGAGCAAAACGAGGAACAGGAAGAGAGAACGGGATGGAACGGCTCGTTAGCATGACAATGTGATCAAGAAGTGCTGTTCGATACCACCATCGGATGGGGAGTTGCTTTTCCTCGAGCATGTTTCATCTGTGCCTTGCTCTCACCATATCACCATCATTCATGCCCCTTCTTGTCAGATAGGTGTCAGAATGTGTCTCGCCCCATCTCCAAAGATCTACTGGGGTTTCAGGTCCCAAGAGATCCCGTACGGTACCGAGTAAAACCAGTCAAAGGCTCGAGGAAAAGGAGGGGATACGAAAGGTACAAGGAGCGTGTGCCAGAGAGCCAAGCTTCTTATGGATGATGATGACAATGGGTGTCTGGCAGTTGCGATTCGTCAGGTCGCGATTTGGAGCTACTCTAGTCAGTCCCCTTCAGCACCGCTGACCTGCATGAGAAAGCAGCGTCCTCAGCGCCTCCATGTGATCCTGATAAATTGATTGCCGCATTTTTAATATCTCCCAGTCACTCTATTCGAAGTGCTAAAACATCCACCATGCCTTGCAGGTACACGCGAGAGAGATCAGGTACCACGAAAGCAGTTTAACTTTGCCATGTGAAAATCAATCCACCCCTCCACTTGTTTGCCGCCAGTTCCTCTTCGGTCATTTCATGCCGGAGAGTTTCGTGGCAGAAATGCAAGGGCGAGACAATCGTGAAGGCTAGATCCAAGCCTTCTTTCTGAACATCACCCCGTGCCTCTCTCTCTCTTCTGTTTGAATCGATTGTTGTGTCTCTATTGTCGCTGCTCATTCGTCATGCTATAGGTGCCTGGAGATGTATATTAAAAATGGCGATCGCGCAGACAGGCTTGCATCGCGTCCTTTCTCCCCCCACCACACTTACAACCCCACGGGTAAAGGACAAGTCCGGCTCTAAGCGGTGTCTTTCTGCTAATGGGAACTCTGTGTACCTGATAGATACTCTATCGAAAGTACCTACCTATTGTACCTGTTCTTTGCTACGGCTTTTCGCCCCGCTGTGCAACCGCTTCCAGCATCTATCGTAAACAAATAGGCAAGTAGAGAAGCGTCTTGGGCTGTTCCAGATCTCCTCTTTACGCCGTTTGATGCGTGGTGCAAGGAACCCGAGAGTTGACTTGTTTTGGGCTTTTCCTGGCGCTCCGTAAAAGCAAAAAGCCACTCTTCCAAGATAAGGCGCCAGGAGTAGAAGGAATGTCCCGGATAGGTCGTTGCTGGTGGGAAGAAGGGGGGAGGCGTAAAGGTTTCTGCCACTCGTACCTTGCTGCTATTTTCCGATCACTACTCCACAATCGCGTTGAAAGCCTATTTTCTCGCATCTGGCGCTGTTTGCCCTGTTGTTCATCATGTACACTTGTTATGTCACTCAGCTCCGTTATATCAGCTTCTCATCCCGACCCACACTCGGATCTTCCTATTCAGCTCGTTCCTGCAAAAGCTGCTGCTCCCTAAACTTGTAGATTCGCCTGGATTCGTCGAAAAGAGAGCAGTACCTGCATCAGGGCAATGGAACAGAATGGAAAAATATGAATAATTTTTTGGGGAAGCGCTTTTTTGTCCTTTCCTTTCGTCTAAAAAGTCAACACGCGACATTGGTGGTTTGTTTGGTTCTTTCAACTATCTTGCTTTCAATCCTCCCTGAAGTGCGGACACCTCTACTGTTTGTCAAGGGCCCGGACAGCTGCTCATTCCTTCCTGGTTGACTCAACTGCCTGATGGTATCAATTATTTATTGCATGACCTGTGATGTAAGTCAGTAATGTGAAGTCAGAGGAAGCCGATTCTGGAAACGTACCTTTTCTCTCAGCATGCCAATGAATTGAGCAGAGCTGACGGCCAAGTCTGCACGGTCTTCGATGAGAAGACTTTGAGCCCACAGTCTAAGACTTGGGTCGCCGTCCTCACGCACAAGATATAGTGATGGTACTACGATGCTACCGCAGCCCTTGGCACGGTGGTCTCGGCTCTTCTCAACCACAGCACGTACACGCTCGTTCATCTCGCTCTCGACAAGAGGCAATGAAGTCTTGCCCTGCTTCAGTGCATTCTTGTCGTCAGTGCCGAAGACATCCATGACCAATGCGGGAACAGCATCGCGCCCAAGCCACAAGAATTGTGTTTGGCCATCATCGATCAGGTACAGACCGAAAGGAACAATGTTGCCTGAGGTCAAGTTGAGTGGAGGGGGCAAGGCAATGGCGCCAGTCGTTGGGTCGGGGAGACCTGCAGTCTCGGGCATGTCGTGCAATGAGTAGAGGCGAGGGTAGATGTACTGAATCATGAGAGGCAGAGGAAGTGTCGAGAGTAGACACAGGGCTGCAGATCGGAGATCGCTGGGAATCTGGGCTGATTTGCGAAGACCAAGCTGTGATTAGGTCAGTATAATGCATCTCAATCTACAACATCCAATACTTACGTTCTTGATAAGACCCAAGAATAGAGTTGGCAAACCTCTGAGGTTGACGGGGAATTGGAGACCACCGCCGCCCATGTTACCGCCAGCAAGCTCCTTCTTGTAGGTTTGAAGAAGCTCGATGATTTTGGCCTGGAGAGCATCTCTGGCGGCGTCGAGACCACTGGAAAGAGCTCGCTCGACTGCCTTGTGACTGAAGTAGACAGCAATAGCTTGTTGGTCGGCGCTTGAGTAAACGTCGGCCAGGTTTTGTGTAGTAGGGATAGAAAGGGTCATGACACGAATACGACGCTCGCCATTGCATGTTGTGTGCAACACACCGGCCTGCAAGCAGACGAACTGCTTTGTGACTGACTCATCAATGGCAATCTCGACAACGTAAGCCTGATCGCGAGGGAAGGCAGGGAATGCGCAAAGATCGGAGCTGCGGTTGAAGAAATTGCCGTAGAAAGTGCTTGGGCGCAATCCAGTGGTAGCTCTCACACGCAACACAGCCTCGAGACCGATCTCTGAAGACAGATAATCGCTGAACTCTGTTGCAAACTTGATGGCATCCTCTGTACGAGCTGCACTCCAAGCAGGGTAGAAGTATGTCTGACCTCCGGTGTACCTGGGCAGGTTGCTGAGAGAGGCAACATCTTGGTATTGTGACGAGAACAGGAACATGTCGATCGAGACTTGTGTTTTTGAGCACTCGACGGCGAAACTCTTGTAGAAGGCGTTGGCAGTCTGCAGAAGAGAGCTCTCCTTGCTTGTTCCGAGGAGCTTCTTGTCCTCTCTCATGTCAAGCTTACCGTAGCCGTGGTTGGGCAAAGAGGCAGTCAGGACAACCATCTTTCCGCCAACATGAGAGATCATCTTGTGACCAGCGCGCATAGCCGATCCCATGGCGGAGAGACCGTTCTGAGTGTTCTGGAACATAGACTGAAGCTTGCCGAGGAAGGTCTCAATGTTTTGGCGCGAATCGGCCAAGCTGACCAGGAGACCATCGGGTGTGGGTAGGAAAGGCTCGTCAAGATCGCTCACAACCAGCATGTTAGAATCGGATGTGCCGCTGTCGTCGCGAGGAATGGTGAAGTAGTGCAAGCTCGAATCAACAGCCATGAAAGCCAGGCGGGTTCTGCGGTCGGCGTTGGGAATGCGATCGAGAGATTCAGCAACACAGCGAGCAGCAGTTGCCAGAAGACCACTCTGAACCGAGGCGACACTAACGTCGAACAAGAAGAGGTATACCAAAGGTTGAGGGGCTCTAACCATGTACTCTTGAGGGGCGACAAATTCCATGACCGAGTAGTTGAGCTCGGGACGCTGCCAGCGGTCGATAGCCTGCTGCTTCATGTTGTCCCAATCAAAGGCCTGAGGTACATCGTTGGTCAGGTTGCACATGTTGCAGCGCCAGCGGTGGCTGTGGTCGAGGAAAGTAGCGAAGGGGTTGATGTAGGTACGGCATCTGCGACATCTTGCAATAACCTGATCGGGCTGAACAGGTACATCGTCTTCGGCATCATGGAGGGTAGCGTAAGGTTGGATGACGAGGGCGAACGGAAGCTTGGACTTCTTGAGGAGCGAGTTCGTCGAGGGAATTGCGTTCAATGTCGAGCGAACGTATTTGGGAGGGCAGTTCGCGTTGGGTGAGGGGGTAACGCTAGACTATTGTGCTTGTTAGTAAAGGCTTCAGAGCCACAGCGCGACTGACGTACGTTGGGAGGAAGAATGATCGGAGGAGGAGGTAGATCCAGATCCGAGACATGGAAGGGAGCACCCTGAACGCTGATGTCGACGGGCTGCAGAGGGTTCAGACGTTGGGCGACAGGGGCGGCTTGCTGGGGAGCTTGTGCGGGTTGCTGTTGTTGCGGTGCCATGCCCATCTGTGAGAACTGCTGTGTCATTCCGGGAACACCTCCGGGGGCAGCACCGTAGGCATCTGGGGGTTGGTAGCCAGCGGCGGGAGCGCCGTAACCAGGAGCGGCCTGTTGTTGCTGGGGATCAGGGTAGCCTGCGGGCTGCTGGACCGGGGCGCCGTAGCCGTAACCGGCAGCAGGTTGGGGAGCACCATAGGCGGCGGCGGGAGGAGGTGTCTGGGTCGCGGGCATGCCACCAGCATTGGCGCCGGTGCCGAACTCGAATGCCTGGCCGGCATAGGCTCTCTTCTTCTTTGCTGGCAGCTGCGAGGTGGGTACGGGGGTGCCGGACTGCGATTGGTCGTACTCTTCCTGCGAATAACCCTGGGCAGGGTATCCTTGGGGGTTGGCCATGATGGAGATGTGTGTTGCCGACTGCGAAAAGCTGCGGCGAAATAAGATGCGATCAAGCTCCGGGTTATATGACTGGTGTGGGTTATTGCAACCTAGCCAGATCGTCTGGCCAGCGTGGTTCCAAACAGCTCAACAGCCCTTGGCGTGCCCTCCCCACGTCATGCGGAGTGGGAAAAGGAGAACCATCAACTACGACTCCAGACCCTTCAGACCATCTGTTCATTGTAGGCAGCGACTTTGTGTATTGTCCTCCTTACAGTGAGGCAATGTAGATGTGATTGCCAAGTTGGTTTGTTCCACGAGCAATCTCAAATCAAGTCACAGGATGAATGCTGCAAAGTACTACTCCAACTCATGTAATCGATTGCAGAGTGATTGTATCTCTTCAGGTCCCTTCTCGCATATGAAATTTGAAGGCGCATATTATTAGTGAGACGAATGTCGCATTCGCTGGAGCAACTTGCAAGTTGAACCCTCGATGTACACCTATTTGAACCCGAAGAGCATCATGATTTGTTGTAGTGGCACGATGGTCAACGGCCAAAGCGAGCAAATAGAGGTGAGGCACGATACTAGGACGACGAATGCATTTTCTCGATTCCGGTATGGTCTCTGCTTATTCCGTATATCCACAGCTTCATCCAATGTATCCTCGTGCACGGTGCGACAAAGGACAGGCCGTGAGAAGATGGTGTATTGTGAGGACAGGGTGAAGCCCTTGACGTAAAGTCTTGGTCATGAAGCCCGAGTAGCATTCCGTCTCTTCGGAGTACGTGACTACGAATAGCGACTCGACAAGTATGTACCCTTCACTTCCCAGTCCTCAGACCAGAAAAGCAATGGGTAAGTCCGCGAGATAAATGGTAAAACAGACAATAAGGCGCGCGATAAAATACCAAAGCAAATAAGACAGCAGTATCTACAGCGTTAGTCTAAGCGAAACGACATATATGGTGAAAGCAAATCGATGGCAGTATCTACAGAGTTAGTCGTAGGTGATCGGGATAAATGGTAGGAATATAGCATTGACAAACACAGGTGTCAAGATAAATGGCAAAGTACCTATAGCTTAGCAGGCTCATGGCTCCCGAAGGTTCCATCTTGACTTTGCTTCCGCACACCCTGAGTAACGGGCCGGTGACATTAGATGTGACACGAGAATGTCCCTCCTCGCTCTCACAACGGGTAGGTACTAGTCCGTCACACTACGAAGAAGTGGAGCCCATTGTGACGGTACGACAGAGAATTAGGATTGTAGGATGCGGAAGAGATGAGAGAGAAGAGAGGAAGGATGGAGGGAGAGGCACCTTTTATACCTAGGAAGTAGACAGCCTGCTTACTGAGCAGATAAGCGAGAACGGTTCGACTTTGAGCTGTCGCTGTGAGTCAACAGTCGCTGTGAGTCAAGTGAGCAGTCGCTGTGAGTCAAGGCTATCTGGCCTATCCGCTGTCTTGAAGATGAGCTCCAGTGAGCAAGTTTATCAGGTTTGACCCCGCGACGGGACAAGTCGGAAAAGCTTCGAACCCGAGCCACAGACAGGTGTCAGGGTAGTGAGTCGACGTGACATATTCCTAGTAGTGGTACATGCAGATATCATTGTGAGAAGAGATTCGAGGATCGTGTAGAGAATTTGATTGTCGATTTCGAATTTTTGACTTGATATGTCCGGGAAAATGGACGCAGATTGGGTATATAACAGGCGCTAAGAAAGCAAGTGGTCGTAAGAGGATGGATAAACGGAGAACGACTTGTGTAGTCCTAGGTGGCTTGTTCATCGACATCCATAGGATCGCCGTACATGGCCGCAGTTGATGCTTGTGTAGTGGAGTCGTCGCAACTCACTTTCGAGAGCGTGATAAGCGTGGATGTACTGTCCGGTTCTTGAGTACGTCGCCGTGCCCTTGGTGGCTCGGAGCGGGCATAAGAGCTGTCAATACTATCGGTGTCGGTATCGGTGTCTTCTAGGACCTCTGATCGTAATCGCTTGCGGGGGTTGGGTCGGACGGGCGATGAACGAGCAAAGGAGTAAGGTCGAGAGGCGGGCTTCCAACGCATGCGACGCAGCCGGCGAGCAAAGGCAGCTGAATCTGGGTCTTGTTCATCATCTTCGTAGTCTTCTTCCATGTCGTTCGAGCAATCGACACGGGTAGCGTTTGTGACAGGACTGTCAACCTCTTCCAGCTCGTACGGACGCAGAATTTGTGCGTTGTCAGGGTACACCATGTCATTATCTGACAGCTCTTCAATGTCGAAATCGTAGTAATTCTGCGGAGCCGAGGTATACGTAGGCGGAGAAGACTGCCAGACGGCGATGGAGTCCGGCGCATACAGTGGCGCATGTTGATGTCCATGATAGGACGATTCAAGGGGAGACGACGGAAGACGCGAATCGGTCGCGGCATGGTTTGACATAACCTTGGGTAGGTCCCCGAGATTTATCAAGGGTAGAAGACAGCCGAGTCGAGATTAAGAAAAGGTCGAGATAGATGGAAGCCGTGAGTGAGAGGGAGGAGGCGGCATCATGCAGTGCAGGAGAAGAAATAACGGAGTCGCAGATGATGGATTCGTGTGAAAGGACACAGGCTCAAAACTTCATGGAGCGAGAAGTGCATTGGTACCTAGTTTTGTTGACTATGGCGCCTCTGCTGTAAGGGAAAGAGGCATGACGATGACGGAGCGCGGACGAATGATGGGGAAGCTCAGAGACTCTGATCGAACGCACGGTGTGGAGCTGAGTCTAGCACACGCAGAAGGGAATACTAGTACATGTTTGGTGATGGTGAAAGACCAACAATCAGACGAATGATACGGAAGAATGATTGAAGCAAACATTGGAGCAGTTGTTGTTCAGCAGGAAGGAGCCTCGGAGGGGGTCAAGTAGCAAGGTGTCCAAGCATGTTGCAGGCTTGGCGTGCGTGGAGACAAGGGGTCGCGGCTCCTGGATTCAGAGCGAAATAGACGTGGCAGTAAGGATAGCTGTAACTGTCCATTCCATCTTCAAACAACTCTCCCAATTCCACACCTTCAACCGCCCTGTCGTCGCCAGCTGCTGCAGCGCATCCGACCCTCTACTCTTCGGCAATTGCGCACAGCCCATACCTCGATGTGTGAAGCTGCGGCTTCGGCTCTATAAATACCTCCATCAACATGTCTTCCAACACATATCCCACCATGCTCACAAAGGTCCGCTTTGCTCCATACCGCTGAAGTGAGACCACATTCTGACTTGCACAGTTCGAGTCCAAGTCGTCGAGAGCAAAGGGCATTGCCTTCCATCCCAAGCGGTGCGCTTCCCAACCTAAACAATCTAGACCAACAGCATGCTGATCATACACAAGTCCATGGATCCTCGTCTCGCTACACTCGTCCACCATCCAACTATGGGATTACCGTATGGGCACCCTGATTGATCGCTTTGAAGAGCACGATGGTCCTGTGCGAGGTGTCGACTTCCACAAGACGCAACCGCTGTTCGTATCCGGAGGTGACGACTACAAGATCAAGGTCTGGTCGCTCCAGACCCGTCGCTGCCTGTTTACTTTGAACGGCCATCTCGACTATGTGCGCACTGTATTCTTCCACCACGAGCTTCCCTGGATCATTTCGGCCTCAGATGATCAGACCATCCGCATCTGGAACTGGCAGAACCGCTCGCTGAGTACGACAAAAGTCACCTCTCCATGCTGTAATGCTGTCAACTGACCACATATCATAGTCTGCACCATGACTGGCCACAACCACTACGCCATGTGTGCTCAGTTTCACCCCAAGGAGGATCTCGTCGTTTCTGCTTCCCTCGATCAATCTGTCCGCGTCTGGGACATCTCCGGCTTGCGCAAGAAGCACTCGGCTCCCACCTCGATGACTTTCGAAGATCAAATGGCCCGCGCCAACGCGAATCAAGCCGACATGTTTGGCAACACAGATGCCGTTGTCAAGTTTGTGCTCGAGGGCCACGACCGTGGCGTCAACTGGGTCTCGTTCCACCCTACACTGCCCTTGATCGTCTCGGCCGGTGATGATCGCTTGATCAAGCTCTGGAGAATGAGCGAAACAAAAGCTTGGGAGGTGGATACATGCAGAGGTCACTTCCAGAACGCCTCAGCCGCCCTGTTCCACCCTCACCAGGACCTCATTCTGTCGGTCGGCGAGGATAAGACTTTGCGAGTCTGGGACCTGAACAAGCGATCTTCGGTTCAGTCTTTCAAGCGCGAGAACGACCGCTTCTGGACAATTGCCGCTCACCCTGAAATCAACTTGTTCGCCGCTGGTCACGACAATGGTGTCATGGTCTTCAAGCTTGAGCGCGAACGTCCTGCTTCGGCCGTCTACCAAAACAACCTCTTCTACATCACAAAGGACAAGCAGGTCCGCTCCTACGACTTCACCAAGAACATTGAGAGCCCCTCGATGCTTTCCCTCAAGAAGCTTGGAAGCCCTTGGGTACCCCCGCGTGCTATTTCATACAACCCTGCAGAGCGCGCCGTTCTGGTCACATCGCCCGCCGACGGCGGTTGCTACGAACTGATCAACCTGCCTAGAGATGCTTCGGGTGCTGTGGAGCCCACTAATTCCCTGCGCGGCACCGCCACTTCGGCTGTCTTCGTCGCTCGCAACCGTTTCGCCGTCTTCAACCAGCCTAACCAGCAGATTGACATCAAAGATCTCCAGAACTCGACTACCAAGACGATTAAGCCTCCGCCAGGCACTGTCGACGTCTACTTCGGTGGCACTGGCTGCTTGCTGCTCATCACCCCTACTACAGTTGTTCTCTACGACATTCAGCAAAAGAAGCAGCTCGCCGAGCTTGCCGTGAACGGTGTCAAATATGTTGTCTGGTCTTCTGACGGTCTGTACGCCGCGTTGCTTAGCAAGCACAACGTCACAATTGTCAACAAGTCTCTGGAGCAAGTCAGCACTCTGCACGAGACTATTCGCATCAAGAGTGCCGTCTGGGATGACACTGGTGTCCTTCTCTACTCCACTCTCAACCACATCAAGTACACTCTCATGAACGGTGACAACGGTATCGTTCGCACTCTTGATCAGACCGTCTACCTTGTTCGCGTCAAGGGCAGAAGTGTTTATTGCCTCGACAGAGCTGCAAAGCCCAAGGTCATGACTATCGATCCAACTGAATACCGCTTCAAAATGGCTCTTGTCAAGAGACACTATGATGAGATGCTGAACATCATCAAGAACTCCAGTCTTGTTGGTCAAAGTATCATTTCTTACCTACAGAAGAAGGGTTACCCTGAGATCGCTCTCCAATTCGTCCAGGATCCTCAGACTAGATTCGAGTTGGCTATCGAATGCGGAAACCTCGAGGTTGCTGTTGAGATGGCCAAGGAGCTGGACCGCCCCAAGCTTTGGCAACGTTTGAGCACTGAGGCTCTCGCTCACGGAAACCACCAGGTTGTCGAGATGACTTATCAAAAATTGCGCAACTTCGACAAGCTCTCTTTCCTGTACTTGTCGACTGGTGACGAGTCGAAGTTGCAAAGAATGGCCAAGATCGCCGAGCACCGTGGCGACATGACCTCTCGCTTCCAGAACTCGCTCTACCTGGGCGATGTCCAGACTAGAATTGACATGTTGAAGGAGATTGATCAATACCCTCTTGCCTACCTGACGGCCAAAGCTAATGGCATGGAGGAAGAATGCCAAAACATCCTTGAAGCTGCTGGTCTTACCGAGGACCAGGTTACCATGCCTGATACCGGCAAGCCTTTGTCGACACCTCCCGTAATTGTTCCTACTTTCCAGTCAAACTGGCCCGTCAAGTCATCAGGTGCTTCTTCGTTCGAGAAGGCCTTGCTTGCTGATGGTGGTGCAGAGGAAGTCGTACCTGCCAGCAACGGATACGACGCTGACTTCCTCGAGGCTGAGACTGCAGTACCTGAGGAGGAGGCTAATATTGAGCAAGAGGACGACGAAGACGCTGCTGGTTGGGACATGGGTGATGATAGCTTCGCCGAAGCCGAAGAAGAATTCGTCAATGTTGAGACAGTGGAAGCAGGCGCTGGAAGCAGCGAGGCAGATGTATGGGCACGCAACTCACCAGTCGCTGCTGACCACGTTGCTGCTGGATCTTATGAGTCTGCCATGAATCTTCTCAACAGACAAGTTGGTGCAGTGAACTTCAAGCCTCTAGAGGCTAGATTCGAGGAGATCTACACCGCTTCGCGTACATTCTTGCCGGCCAACCCCGAGTTGCCGCCTATTGTCAACTACGTCCGTCGCACACTCAAGGATACCGACTCACGAAAGATCTTGCCTTTCATTCCCGGCGATCTTGAGACGATCACCACAACTGACCTGCAAGCGGGCAAGCAATCAATGCAGAAGAACAAGCTCGAGGATGGTGTTCAAATATTCCGCAAGATCTTGCAGACCCTGATTCTCAACGCTGTGTCATCGCAAGCACAAGTCAACGAGGTAAGCATGATGACCCCCTTGAGAACTTCAGACCACTAACTTTCTTCAGGCCAAGGAACTCATTCAGACCGCCGCACAATACATACTCGCCATGTCGATCGAGTTGACTCGTAGAGAGCTTGTTGGTGGCACTACAGACTTGAGCTCTTTCTCAGAAGAGGACAAGAAGCGGGCTCTTGAGCTCTCAGCATACTTCACTATTCCTGCCATCGAGCCCCAACATCAGACTCTGGCTTTGTTCACCGCCATGAACTTTGCACACAAGAACAAGCAATTGAGCAGTGCTCTGAACTTTGCTAACGCGTTGATTGAGAGAGGCACAAATGCTCGTTTCAAGGAGAACGTAAGTTCATACTGGTCGTCCATACATGCAAACACAAGCTAATATATCACAACAGGCAAAGAAGGTCAAAGCAGTCTGCGAACGTCAACCTGGTGATGCTGTCGAAATCGAATACGACTCGTTCGCCGAGTTCGACGTCTGCGGTGCATCATACACACCGATTTACAGCGGCGAGCAGAGTGCAAGCTGCCCCTACGATGGTGTCAAGTACCAAGTACAGTTCAAGGGAACAGTCTGTAAGGTGTGCGAGATTTGTGCCATCGGAGCACCGGCTAGCGGTTTGAGGTTGACTGTTTGATTTGCTATCGAATAACCAGGGGAGGCTTGGTAAGGTGTTGAATGGGTGAAAAGAAGCTGTGCTGTTTTTTTGTGTAGGCTATCGCAACCAGTATTCTTGCATAACGATTAGAACGGAATCCACGTCATGCGCGTTGCAGTGATTGCGCAGTCTCTGCCTCGTCGTAATTTTATCTAACGTTTTGATATGGTTGTTCGCCGTTTTTGTGGCGTGTGTTTCAACGGTCACCAGCCCTATTTTTCTCCCTACTTTCCACTGCCACGTGGGAAGTGCGACAAGCCGGATCTCGAATCTTCTCAACTCTTGATGGGTTGAATCCTCTCGGCATTTTGTCGTCTGCTCTTGCGAGCTTCACAAACCTCGAAGGACAAAATGGTGCTATTTCATCAAGCCGTCGCCAGCGAGCAAGTGCCTAGAGAACCTGGTATACGACGAGCCTCCTCTCGGCACCTGTATTATCATACGCGCCACCCAGCCAACCTCTCCAACGGGTTGAGGCCGTTAGATAGAGGGATAAGTGGTTTTCCTCCTATACTGCCGCGGTCGAGGCCCTTATAAGTATGTATATCTCGTGGCCAGAACCAGCTTATTTTCTCATCCACATCAATCACAACCCGAATATCTGTTCTTGTACAAGTCAACAAGGACCCGATCACCAACATCCGACACGCACACTTTGACAAGACAGCTGTGCTTCTTCGATCAGATCTACCACATCATGCGTTTCTCGACGGCACTTTCGTGTGCCTTTACGGCTCTTCTGGCCGGTCATACCATGGCTATGCCATTCGCCATCACACCTGGAGATGCAAACCACGTCGTTCTTACCGACAGCAACACAGTCAACACAACTCAAACGATACAAGCAGACGCAGTCTCAGCTGATGCATCCAAACCTAAAGTCAACATGTTCGCTGCTGCGGACTCGGATTTCATCGAGCTCTCATTCATCAACAAATTGTCTAGCTCGAATGTCAAAGCCTACGTTACAGGTAGAGATAGTAACAATGCTCTTGTCATGCTGCACCCTGACGGCACATGGTACTACCCTCCTGCAACAACGGCTACTACACCTCAGCCCGTAACAGAGAATGTAGCCATCCCTCTTGGCGCTCAAGGTTCAACCGTCAAGATTTCCCTTCCTGGCTACATTAGCGCTGGTCGCATCTGGTTTGCCGATGGTAACTTGCAGTTCTACACTGTCAACGCTGGCGGCAATGTCGCTCTGGTCGAGCCTTCAGCTGTCAACCCCTCTGATCCTTCCTCAGCTGTGAATTGGGGTTTCATCGAGTTGACCTATCTTGACACTGCCATCTATACCAACCTCAGCTACGTCGACTTCGTCGGCCTTCCCCTTGGACAGAAGTTGACTGCCTGTGACGGTACTGTCTTACAAGCACAAGGTGTTCACACTCAAGCTGTTGACGACATTTGCGCCGATCTTGAAGAGCAGACTTGCATCGATGGCTACCCATGGGCCGATCTCTGCGCCTACGATGCCAGCAACAATGCCCTCCGCGTCCTGGCACCTTTCGACTACATCTCACTCTACCCAAACGCCTTCTCAGACTACTGGACCTCCTACGTCAACGATGTCTGGAACCACTACACCACCACCCCTCTCACCATCGACACTCAAGTCTCCGCCGGTCTCGTAAACTGCACAGTCAGCGGCGACTACCTCAACTGCGCCGGTGACAACCGCGCCTATGCCAAACCATCCGCCGCCGACATCTTCGGCTGCAACGGCGGCCCCTTCGCCATCATCGGCAGCGACAACGATGTCCACCGTGCCGTTGTCCCTCGCTTGTGTGCCGCTTTCCACCGCTCCACCCTCCTCATCTCCGGCGGCAACATTCAGCCCATGTCTGATGTATCAGGCTACTACACCAAGAGCGGCAGAGCTGCAAACTGGTACAGCAAATTCGTTCACGACTACGAGGTCGATGGCAAGGGCTACGCGTTCGCCTACGATGACGTTACTCCCACCGGTGGAGTCGACATGGCTGGCTTGTTGAGTGTCGCCCAACCTCAGATCCTTGAGGTTACCGTCGGTGGTGTTTAATCACCTCTTCTTCTACCATCATCGTTCCGGCAACGCTTGATGTATTTATTATAATGTTCTGGAGGAGGACACTCCACTACACTTTTCTTGGAATATCTGGAGACTGGTTTCTTCATTTGATATAAAAATTTGGAGGAGAGATCTTTAAGGCAGCATAGAATTATTATTATCATATATATACCCCCTTTTTATGTAGATACAAGACGGGCATTTTTGACTTCAGAAAGAAGCAAGCCCGCGAGGAATTAAACATAATGAACAACTTTTTGACACAACAAATCCTTCTCCGCTATCATCTTTCCTTGTTCCCTTTATTTCGATCGTGCAAATTCCTCACGCCTTCCTCTTCCGCTTGCGATTTTCGTCTGGAGTAGAAAGTAGCAACATACCCGCAAAAGCGGAAGAAAAAAATCATCAGACCCAATACAAACGAGGAAACAACAATCCAACTTCCAAACAAGAACATGTGCCGAATAGAGCCACCCGAGCGGGGCAACAGCATATATTCCTTCGATCTGTTGGAAGAGGAAAGTCATGACAGGAATAGTCGGCAGATATAAGATAATTGAGAAAGTAAAATAGGGGTGAATTCATCCGACTGGTGGAAGAAGGAAGCAGGGACGACCATCAGCAAAAAGAACATGACTAATAGATCTTCCTGAGGGTCTCTTGAGGCGATGAGGTTGATTTGCTTGTTATGCATGAGGGGAAGAAGACATCTTGGTTACAGAACGAGAGAGTGCGGTGGTCATGTTAGACGGGAGGTGCGACTCTCACGGTGCTTGAAGAAAGAAAGAACGACCTGCCAAATAGCCTACCAGGCAGGGAAGCTACAACAACCTAGCGGTCCGAAAAAGCCGTGATGGGCTTATAAAATCTAGTCTATCGTGATACTGACAGTCCACATTAGCAGAACCTCGCATGGGATAAAACATCATTAGCAGAGTGTAAAAGTGTTTCTTTTTTGGCAATTATTTGACGAGAAGTGAAGTTAAAACGGGTAGGAGAGTTAGCATGGGTTGTCGATCAGACAACGAATATCGAACCAGCAATATTCATATGTCTGTCCATCAATCTCAATCCTCCCATGTTTTGGATTTTGTTCTTGTAAAAGGGCGTAAAAGTCGTTATTTTCTCGGTGACAAGTCTTTGTCTTTTTGACCGCTTTTCCCTCAAGACCATAGCAGCGGCGGTGAAGCCATCATGTACACAATCGCGTGCGTAGAGAGCATGCTCAAAACTTTTGTGTATGCCTGAACTCAAGCAACATACGTGAATCCTCCATGCTGCGCTACAAGGACAAAATATGACTACCAGGCGTTGCGCTCATCGGGCCTGAACTTGAAGTAATCGGGAGTGTGACAGGGCCGATGGACAGGGAGATGCTCATTACGCATCTCGGCAGCCTCGACCATGCGCAGCTTCTCAATCTCAAAGAGGTCATTGATAACAATGAAAAGCTGCTGAGCGTTCGCTTCAATGCGAGGCTTGACTTTGGGGTTGCAAGCGCCGAAGCGATCGGTGTGCCAGCGCTGACGTTCGACCTTCAGCAGTGCGAAGTAGGCCTTGCTGAACTTGTATGTGCCAGGCTTTTCTTCGATACCGGTACGAAGGACTTTGTCAAGGCTGTGGCCACAGGCGATAGGGACAGGCTGACCACCAAGAATCGAGGCGCTTGCACACTCTGAGCAAGTCGAGATGGGGAGAGCAGGCACACGAGTCATGGTAGACTTGTCTTTCAATTGCTCATCGCACTCCTGGCGCCAAAGTGCGAAAGCAGTGACGGGAGTTTGTTCGGCTTGCTGGGGAGTGTGCTGAGGCGGCGGAACGAAGGCGGAGTAGTCATCCTGCTCATAGAGAACGGAGCTGAGCAGCGACTTGTGGCGCGGACGCGAATGGGTACGCTGCTTCTGGGAGGCGTAGTACTGGGCCTTGTGCTCATAGATCTTCCTCTTGAACGTCTCAGGACTGTCGGGACGGGGTATTTCCGGGGTGCTCATGAAGCCTTCAGGGAGTTTAGGTCTGGAGAATGAGCTACGGCGATTGTGTCTAGAACCCGACGGGAGCTGCTTCTTAGGCATAGGTACGTGGGTGGACGATCGCTTAGTGCCATTGGACGAAGCGGTCGAAGAGTAGGAGGGCGGAAGGGAATCATTGCCAAAGTGCATGTTGTTGTGGGAGAGATCGTCTTGGTCGTCGTAGGCAGGTTGGTGACTATCCTTTCTGGCACAACGGCGCTGCTCTCTGGCACGGTCTTCATACTCGCGCATGAAATCGCCCAAGGTGGGAATGCCGACAACCGTGTTTCTTCGTCTGACGGGTGCTGCTTGGGTGCCTCCTCCGAACTTTCCCTGTTGATTGAGAATGTACTGCTCCCATTCAGCAGGCATCTTGGGAATGCCTCCAGCGTAGTAGTCGCCAGCGTTGGTCGAATTTATATCCATGATGTTGATGATTGAGTTGGGCCAGCTTTTCAGCCCATGCTTTCGCAGCTTTTGGCAGGTGAGAAGAATTTTCTCGTCGAAACAGGCACGAAAGGGGGGTCGAGAGACACGGGTGAGCGGTTTCGGATGCTGTGCTACTCGCACCACGGCTTTGGTTGTCGGTTCGACTGGGAAGAGGTGAAGGATGGTTTCCAGCAAACAGGGAAGCCACGTGATAGGGTGTCTATGCTGTGCAACACAATCTTTGCAGCCTCCGTTCGTCGCTGCGGTGTCGGCTCGCAAATGCCCGCAACAGCCTTGCGGTTCGTTATGAGACGCCTTGTGGTCAGCAAGAAGCCTCGTCGGGTCAGCTTCGTTGTTTCATTGGCCGCATCTGCGTCGCACTTTCCTGCGAGATGCCTTTGCCCGACTGCTTCGGGACCAGTGTCGACTACTGCTGTTTTCTGTTGCTAGTACTTCCATATCAAACACAAAAACGTAAGTTTGTCGTTGTCTGGCCTACGTCTTCTGGTACTTGAACCTTGTCTTCAGGCATAAGCAGGAACACACATGGATGGGTAGCCTGTAACCTGGCGCATCTTGCAATGCTTGCAGCGACACTGCATAGAAAGGGAACATATACAGCATGATGTTATGTTTCATGTCCATGGTCAAAGGTCAGTATATGCCGGAACACAAGCGATCTCAGCAATGAAGATACGCGGCTCTGCCCTTGTGCGGTTTACATCGACGATGCAAGCAGGGAGCAAGAACTCAGGTCGACAATTCGTGGAGCTACTGTCATGATCGCGTCGATCGATGCTTGAAAGGTTGGTCTGTCCAACTTTGACATCACAAAAGGACGCGCCTTTGGGAAGTCGCGACGAATGAAGTTGTCGGTGCTCCCAATACGCTCATGGGATTAGCCGACACTATGACCATCCGAGACTAGCGTGATCGATCTACGAATCGGAGAGAGCTCCCGAGCTCGGAGCTGGAGACCGAACATGTCAATTTACGAGTGACTTTCCTGGAGGGCATGTACCATCAGCGTCCAGCAAAGTGAGATGAAAGGCTTGACGAGCTTGATTGGAAGAGGAAGAAAATATTCCATGGTATCTAAGGCCTGAAAGCTAAGCACGATCCTCCTTTCCTCCCAAAGTCCCGTCTCCGCGAGAAAAGAAAAGATTAGTCGTTTCGTCGTGATCTACAAACACACTCAGTAAGGACTGTTTACGATATCGTTTCTGCTGAGATAGCTACCACGGCCAGTCTTTCTAGGAGTGGCCATGATACTCTCACGAGTTGGTCTCTGTAGAGCTCTTCTTGCTACCATGTTGACTTCGTTTGGCAGAGCAACAACAATGTTCTTGTCGCTACCGAAGCGGAAGTTGTCTGCTTTGACGTCTTCGGCATAGCGCTTGATGCTGTAAGGATCCTTGCGTCCGGCAAGAACCTTCTTGAGACTCCAAGTAATGATGAAGGGGCCGGTTGCAGTAATGATGGTTGTTTCATCGGCGTCAGGTCCGGTGTTGAATCTTGCGGGTGTGAAGGACAACGCAACCTTGGTCTCATGCTGGAACTGAGCGACGTGACTTGGTGTCAAGGCCAGACGACGTGGCTGAGGCTTTGAGTCCTTGGCGAACGACTTTTCGAAACCAAGCTTGCCCTCGTTCTTGCCATCGCTTTGTAGAGCATCGATGAGCAGTAGATAAGTGCGAGTCGTAGCAAGAACCCAACGACCGTTCGCAGACACATCAAGACCGATGATCGGGTCACCAAGGGCAGGAATGTGGGTCTTTGCGTTGATTCCAAGACGATCAAACATACGAATATCACCCTTGCTTGAGGCAACGGCGATGTATCCTTTGTCGGTAGTGGCTGCAGCAGTGAAGCCGTTCTTGGTAGCGTATTGCTTCAGCTCTGAATCAACAAGCTTGTCACCCTGCAGACGAGGATCGATACGGTACAGAGCGTTGTTGGACAGACCCAAGAAGGTCTGCTCGCCCGTCATCTGACTGAATTTCTATACATCAATTAGTCAGTCGTCTCGTACGAAGAATGTGATATTTTGGCATACCTTTTCAGGGGCGAAAGTGTTGACAGGGATGTCATCGTGCACCTTCCACTCATCGACAATCTTGCCGTACTCGAGATCCATACGGAAGAGAGAGTTAGGGTTATCGCCATCCTGCATGATCATGTTGCGGTCTTCAGCATGCAGCATGATCTTCTTGGGGTTGAACACCTTGCCGTTTGGTGTTTCGACCTTGGAGATGCTGGTAGAGAACTCGAGATGATTGTCGGGAGTGTGCTTGAAGACACCAATCTTGGAGCCTCTGACGACGAATGAGCGGTCGTGTTTGTAGCCGACGGCGAGCTGAGAGTTGACATTGCCGTCCTCATCTCTAGTGATGACATCGTCTTCTGACTCATCGCTGTCATAGTGCTCGCTTCTTTGTCCGTCGTCCTCCTCTTCTTCTTGGTCATAGTACTCCTCTTCCTCTTGTTCATCCTCTTCACGAGCATCGGCCTCTCTTTCGTCGTCCTTGTCTTCCAGGACGAGGTCGTTGAAGGCATCGAGGACGTAATCCCTCTCGGTATCCTTTGCCTTGAGCCACTTTGTTTGATTCGAGTGCTCCCAGAGAGCCTGCATCAGACCCTGTTGAAACTCTTCCAGAGATTCTCTCTCCTTGAAGCGCAAGAGCCATGAGAAGGCATTTCCATCGTCGCTGTAGTGATTGAAAATGAAGGAGAGGTATTCGAAGTTGAAGACGGGGTTGATATCAGGAACGACTTCTTGACCGAGCCAGTCTCTGTCGTTGCTGTTGAGTTGGAGCCAGTATTTCCAGTTGCCAATTTCCGTGACAGTAGCGTTGACACTCTCATCTTGTAATACGAAAGTACCGGACTGGAAGTCGAAGAGGTGCAGCTCGACGTCTTGGTCGGCCAAGGTCTCGCGAGCCTCAGGAGCCTTCGAAGCTGAAGGAGCGACAGTTGGAGCCTCCTCGTAGGCGCGAAGAGGAGCCTTTCCAGCTCTTATAGATAATCTCGGCATAGCGTCGCTGCGCTTGACTCCGGAGTTGGACTGGTTGAGAGATGGCATGTATGGAGTGGACGGGGGAGGCGAGATGGTGGGAGAGCGCGAGGGGCTTTGTATCGGACTGGCCTGTGGAATGGGGTCTTCGTGGTCGAAGCTGAACTCGCGCAGATCGTCGTCGGTAGCGAGGTCGCGGGGCTTGCGGTATTTGCGCTCGAACTGGCACTGGGCGGCTACGAGAGCGAAAGATGTGGCAGTTTCTGGCGACGCTGAAGAGTCGCAGACAAATTCAAACAAGTCACCGTCGTCGCCGCTGAGGTCAAGCCAGCCAAGAACAACTTCGCCGTCGTCTTTGATGTCAACACGGAAGTGCAGATGCTCGTCGAGAAGGAAAGTCTTTTCGTCCTTGTCGGAGAGCACGCCGTCAAGTCGGTCGTCTTGTGTTCCGTCTTCTCCTACAAGCTCTGCTTCACCCTCTTCGTAGACACGTTGGACAACGAGCTGGTATTGGTATTCCTGGCCGGTCCGTCGGATCGAGGCAGCAGCGTCTTTGAAGATGAGTTCGGAGTAGCCTTTGAGCGATCGGGGGCGGACGAGATAGAGTTGACCTTGTGGCAGTTCGATGATGGATTCTTTGTTGGCGTTGCCAAAGAGGTATTTGCTCACTTTCAGGCAAGATTGTCAGCTGTTTGCAAACAAAGTGGGAGTTCGCGGGGGTCTGATCTCACGCGATTTTAAAGCGAACATTTTGGCTTCCGGACACGTCTAGCAAAGATCGCTGTCGATACTACGGCCGTGAATGAATAAGAGGTGAAGCTGCGATCGGGCGCATCAAATGAATCTTGTAGGAAAGACGGCGACCTTGTCTGAGATGAACCAGAGCAAACGAGCGCCTCCAGTTCTAGAAATCTTGACCAACTTTGAGCAAGCAATTTCACCCCGCTCTGTCAAGCTGTCCTTGTCTCGGAACTTTGATTGCTGCTGCTTCATGAACCTGAACACACTCTCACATGCGCGCTCTGCTGTCGCAGTATTTGCTTAATATCACCGGGCCATACGCAAAGGACTCTTAGATTTTCTCGCCAGTATACAAGTCTTTACAATTTCACACCGAAAACCCATTTACGCGTCGGACTGTTCATGTGCTGCAGCACGCGTCTCATGCAGCCACTCCAAGTCCTTCCAAGACCACCCTCGTCATCGCCACAGCCTTTTCTTCCTCCAGCCTACTAGCAATGAGTTGCAGACTCACTGGCATCCCATGAACCGCTCCCGCATTGTCTAAACCAGCGTTAGCCTTTTCACTTCCTGCTTGCGAAAGTACTCACATTCTGCCTGGATCTGTGCGTCCATCTGCGACAGTGTCTTGATGCCTGTTTCCGCCTTATCCAGCTCACTGTCTGCGTAGATTCCGCTGGGGAACGAGACTGCCGAATAGTCTAGGATGTTGAATACGCCCTGGCTTCGTATCAGTCATGGCCAGTATGTATCGACTTCAATGAGCTTACCGTATAGCCTACGTGCTTGAACTTGCCGTGCTCTACAGATGCAAACGGTGTTGTTGGACCTATCAACACTTTCTGTCAGTCCTGCCCTGTGCTCTCACGCAGTTGCACTTACACAAAATCCCGTCGAGACCTGCTTGGCTCCAGCGATCCAAATAGTCCTTACACAACTTGGATCTCTTCGCTTGGAGTTGCCACATTTCATGCACTCCTATCTCCTTTGCTTGAGCATAGGGCAGCATTTCTTCTCTGAAGGGTTCATCTACTGGAGCTAGGATATCTCTGACCGATTTAGCTCCGTCCGCGACGAAGAATTGTGCCTGTCGTCTCAGTCAGTCAAAATCAGCTCCTCGATGGTACACCAGAAGGTCTTTTAAAGCGAGATCTAGACTCTGATAGAACATCTTTGCATATACATGCACCTTTGAAACACTTACAAGTAGATCCATCGCTTCTTGATGCAGTTCTGGCTCCCAATCAACAATCTCATGGCCGGCTTCTTGCAGCTTCTCAACAGCATGCTTAAGCGCTCGTCGGACCGGCGGAGTAGGGCTAGACGTCGAAGATCAGCTTTCAGACCTACACATCAAGAGAATGCTGTCTTACACGACAATCCCGTCATTCCAGATGACTCCGAGGCGCAACTTCCGGCCAACGTCAACCGGGCGCCATGAGATCGGCAGACACTTTGGATCCAGCTTCCAAGGCTCAGAATTCACAACGTTCTTTGCAAAGAACTCGATGTCGTCCAGCGTTCGTGCCATTGGTCCGTTGACAGAGTTGACAGCCTCTTGTCCCGCCAGTCCAGACTTGGCATTGGCCGTAGGAAACCGACCGAATGAAGGTCGCAAAGTAAATATGCCGGTGCAAGCTGCCGGTATGCGTAAGGAGCCACCTATAGACTAAGTCAGTCGTCTGATCCTCATCAATTGTTCGTCTTTGCCCTCAACTTACCAATATCTGTGCCGACGCCAAGCACACTACCTCCAAATGCGATCAAAGCACTCTCGCCTCCAGATGAACCGCCAGATGTAAGTTTTCTGTTCAGAGGATTCACAGTTCGCCCAAATGTATTGTTCACGGACTCGGCAATCATCATTGCGGTGGGGACATTCGTCTTGACGTAAAGTACAGCCCCTGCTTTCAACAATACATCCACCAAGACCGTGTTGTACGTTGCAGGCACTCCGACCCAAGATACGAACCCCAGGGTAGAGTCTTTGCCGATGATGTTGAAGTTGTCTTTCAGCGACACTGGAAGTCCATGCAACGGTCCAATGGGCTCTCCAGTCTTCTGCAGATGGTCATCTAAGAACTTTGCTCTTTCCAATGCTTCCGGAAACAGAGTCTCAGACAAGCAGTTCGTCAACTGATGACATACAGCTGCACGCTTGGAGAAAGCTTGGGCAACGTCTACTGCCTTCCATGCTTTACTGTGGATCTGCTGCAGGATTTCTGGGATTTTGGCTGTAGTGTATTTGAGCTCATCCTTGGTGAAGAAACCACTGTCTCGGGGAAAACCTGTTACGTCCAGTTGAGAGTCCGGAGGCATGATATCGGTCGGTACACGCCATTCTGGAGGGATCGAGTCTAAGAGTGCAGTCTGTTTAGCCTTCGCAATGTCCTGCCAAGTGCGTGTCATGTTGAAAAGTTGATGTGTTGTCGACTTCTGTACCAGAGTTTGTCATGCCTTCCGTCGAGGAGAGATGGTCGACCTATATTCACCCCGCACGTGATGATGAGTGCCCGAGGCCTATCTATGGTGATCGCCGCGGCGGCTACGGGCAACCCTGACACAGCGATCTGCCCTATCTCAAGCCCCGCAAAGCTTGGCAAACCACCTTGATCTTGCCGAGGGTTTTTTCCGCTGCACTTGGAAGCTCCTCCCCGATTGTCGACCATCGATAAAGAAGCAGTCCTTATCATTGTCGAGCTGCGCCGCTGTACATCTCATGGCCTATCTTGATACGCGCGCTTCCACGTCGTGTTGATCATATAAGATGAAGTAAAGGCCATCACTCAGCATTGTACATTAATTTATACATCGACCAGTGATTTCTGGAGAACAACTCGAAATGGCAGTCGTAACCAAGTTCAGAGAATATCTGAGCCCTGGTGGCAGCTCGCAGGGTGAGCGGAAGTTGGTCCAAAAGCTTGACTTTTTCATTCTCACCTTCTGTTGTTTGATGTACTTCTTGAATTATGCAAGTTTGCCTCTCAGATCTATAAGTTCTCGGCTAATATCGATATAGCTTGATAGAAGTAACCTCACCAACGCATATGTCTCTGGCATGAAGGAGGACCTCAACTTCAAGGGCAACGAACTCACACAAATCAATACTGTGTTCACTGTCGGTGAGTCTTTACCAATGACTAGTGACAAAGGTGAAGTGTCTAAAAGTTAAAAGGTTATGTCATCGGACAGATACCATCCAACATCGCTTTGTACTATATCAAGCCTCGCATCTTCTTTCCATCTATGTTGATACTATGGGGCTCACTTACTATGGTCACTGCCGCCACTCACAACCCTCAATCTATCATGGCCATTCGCTTCTTCCAAGCTTTGGCAGAATCCAGCACATTTGTCGGGACACACTACATCCTCGGAGCGTGGTACACTGAGAGAGAGCTTGGTAAACGCAGCGGTATTTTCACCGCATCTGGTCTCGCAGGTACTATGATTGGAGGATTCATCCAGACGGGCATTCACTCCTCGATGGATGGACTACAAGGACTAGCAGGGTGGAGATGGCTCTTCATCATAGACGGCCTCATCTGTATACCCGTTGCCATCTACGGCTTCCTTCTCTTCCCAGACACGCCTTCAACCACCAAGGTACCCTATCTTTCCGAAGCCGAACGCGAGCTCGCTCGTTCTCGTGTCCCTCGACACGTCAAGCGCGCACCTTTCAACTGGTCCTTTGTCAAACGAGTCTTTGGCTCCTGGTACTTCTACGGCTTCGTCATGCTCTGGATCATCGCCGGCGAAACCGAATCATTCTCATCAAATTCGCTTCTCGCCCTCTACATGAAAGCGCACCCAGAACGCAAATACGCAGTCTCACAACTCAACAACTATCCCACTGGTGTCCCAGCCGTCGGCATCATCTCCACAATCTTCTGGGCCACACTCACAGATTTTCTCGGCGGTAAAAGATATCTGGTTGGCTATTGGATTGGTCTTACTGGTATCATTACATCAGCCATGATCCTCGCGCCTTCTGCGACCACGGCATCCACATTCGCAGCATACTACTGGGCCGGCTCCGTCTATGCCTGTAAGTACTCTCCCTCTCAATCACCTCTGTCACACCACTAACACATCGCCCCACAGGCCAAGCGACCTTTTTCGCTTGGGCAAACGACGCCCTCCGCTACGAAGAAGACTCCCTCCGCGCCGTCGTCATTGCCTCCATGAACGCAGGTTCCGGCGCCGTAAACGCATGGTGGTCTATAATTTTCTACTCTGCAAATTACGCACCCAAATTTACGAGGGGGATGTGGGCGATGATTGGATGTTCTATTGCGTTGGTCATTTGGACGGCGGGGGTTACGTGGATGTGTGTGCGGACGGAGAAGAAGCGGTGGAGTCATGGTGTTGAGGCTGATGTTGGAGATGGGGAGGAGGCTGTTAGTGTTGATGAAGGTGTTGGAGAAAAGGCTTGAGTGGTTTTGTAGTGCTATACGCTTGACTCGGATGAGTTTTCTTCCACTGCTGAAGGCTAGGTATTTTGTAAGGATGCTTTTAATATCGCTATGATTGTCTGAAGAGAGCATAAATCTCCAACTTAGCTCCATCTCTCTCTCCTTTCTGTACGCTCACTTTCATACTCATCAAAAGGCAAGATGTTTTTCGTACTCACGTAACTGTCCAAAGAGATGCTGAGAAGGGGCTACTCTCGCTGGACATCTTCCGAATTCTGAAAAATATCTTGCATGTTGATAAGTGGGTTCGAAGGTGCGGTTGGTAAGCTGGAGCTTATAAGGGGTATTCACAACTATCATGTAAGCATCTCCTATCCCCTCGAGGGTCACTTTTGTATATGTCAAAATGCAAGAGTTTCCAGACAAGGTACTGGCGTGGTTTATAAGCTTCGGAGTACAAAGCCTCTTTTCTTTTCTCATGATCGTCCGACGTAACGAGTCTTCCATACTCGGCCATTCCATCACCCGTTGGGATGATATTTGCCTTGTAACAAGGTCTCTCGACAGCTGCATCGTAGGCGATGTTTGTTCTCCTTCAGGCTCGAATAATCGAGACCTTGGTTATCTCCTGTGGTGGATGCGGTTGTCTAAGGAGAAATTAAGACGAAAGACATTTGGTGACTTCGGGCCCAACTCTCCTATACCCCTTGAAGGATGCTTATGTAACTTTCGAGATGCAAGATGATTTTCGGGCTGGGACATTTGTCTGTAGAGAGGCTCAAATAAGGGGGTTAATCTCTCATTCGACTCTCCTATTCCCTCCGTGTAAGGTCAATCTTGGATATATCAAGATGCAAGATGATTTTGAGATTGACGCGATTGTCTGAAGAAAGCTCACACAAGCATGTGATATCATAGGTTCTCACTGGACATCCTGAAAATAGCAAAAACCACTCTGCATTTTAACAAGGAACTTGAAGATGAGTTGAAAAGCTAAGAGCCCATAGGAAGAAGGCATTCACAGCCTTTCTAAGTTCGACTCCCCGATCGTCCATGGGATCACTATTATACACATTAAAAGGCAGATAGTTGTTCATAATTGCGTAGATCTCTAATGAGAGCACGGAAGAAAAATCAAGCTTCTAGGGGAGGCTTACCTAGATCAGAGAAACTTCATGTATTTGGATATCTGTTTAAAAGGCAGGTGCTGGACGCAGAAGAGCAGCAAAAACATGAAAGGCCGTAAGAAAATAGTTGTTGCATCCCAGCTATGCAGCGTTAATTAAAAGTACTATATCAAAATGTAGGAAGTTATTCGGAAATGAACAAAGGTCCAGTGAGAGTGTACACAATTAGGAAAGTTGACAGGATCTCACTGGACATTTACCAGATCTCGAAAACTATCTTGTCTTTTTATAGATACCTCAAGAGCGCTATGGGAAGCTGGGAGCTCTTGAGATTTCCAGAAGCAATGGAAGTATTGAGCATATAAAAGGTCGTGAAAAAAATGATTGCTGTATCTCAGCTGCGCAGCGAAGATCAAATGGACCACGTCAAAATGCAAGATGACATTCGAAACAAGCAAAGGCCCAATGAGAGCATGAGAAAATTGAGCTCTCACTGGACATCTACTCAATATCAAAAATCATCTTGGCTTTTGACAGATATTCCCACGATGCATTGGGAGATAGGATTCCCTGAAGTTGCTAGGAATCGGGAGAGTAGCGAGAGTATAGAATGCCGTATCCCAGTCACCCAGCATTGGTTAAAAAGAGTATGTCAGAATACAAGAATATATTCACAAATGAACAAAGGTCCAATTAGAGTTTGATTTTTTCATGCTCTCATTGGACATTTACTCGGTATTGAAAATCATCTTGTATATTCACAGATATTTCATGGATGCGACGGGAGGCTGAGAGTTCCCGAAGCTATTAAGTGAAGGCACGAATGTGAAACAAAATGATTTTTCTAAAATGCTTGTTTTGGGTATTTTTTTGATGCCAAAAAGGCCTATCCTATCTTACAATCTTCTGCGCATACCTGTGATTTTCTTCTATTCCTGCTCTTCACGAATATCACTCCTCACTAAAGAGGTTCCCAATTATTCATATGCAACAGTTGTCTTTCCCAAAACTCTATCGCCAATGCAAAACTGAAAGCTCAGCTCGGAATCCAAACTCATCTCGATAGTGTGATGAAGCGCCGAATGTTTCTTTTCGCCTTTGCGTCGATATGTCTTCCAATCTTCTCTCTCCACATTCTCCAGGGAAGACTCGATGGTACAAAGGATTCGGGTGAGGTCGGTACTCTCGAACTCCTTGGGTGCTTCTACCTCATCGCTCACGATGATGGTTGCGCTTTCGGACACGAGCAGATTCTTAGATTCGGACACAAGGTATTGATTGATCTTGATAGGCGATCCGGCAGTTATGGTCTGTCCAGTGTGAATGTGCCACTCGATCTGGTTATCGACCCACTTCTTGCCGTCGAATTCGTCAGTGACAACATATTTTTCGGTGTGGATTTTCTTGTTGTAGGGTTGGCGGACAAGGACACCATAGTGGTGTCTGGCGATGCGGCTTTGGACAAGGGTGTCGTTCGTAAGTGCGTGAATTACTGCACCTTGGGAGACAGCAGACCAGCCTCCAAGCGGCCGAGTGACTTCGCAAGGATGCTCGGAGTCTGCAGATTCAAACTTGTTCTCCAGGATCTCCTTGAGATAATCGTTCTGTCCGAACCCGCCGACGAGGATGACGCCTCTGGGATACTTTCCCATCTGTCTGATTGCATCGTACTGGTCTTGGACGAGGTCGACAGTGGGGTTGATGACACGTTCGAAGATCCTCTGCAGGTCTTCGGGAGTCAGAAGAATGTAGTTTGGCTCCATACCGGCGATGTCGATACCAGGAAATAGGATGCTGACTGCTCCGTTGTCTGGATGGAAGTATTTCTTGGTGCTGTTCTCGAATTCCTTCATGCAAATGGGCCAAGCATAGGGAACTCTCTTGGTGAAGTCTTTGAAGTTTTCCTTGCCTCCCATACAACGCTCGACATGTTCTTGAAAGCCAGCGTTCAGCAATGCACTTCCACAGAGACCTCCTGTGCCTCCAACACATTCCTTGAGCCGAAGAGGCTCGAGAGACGTAATCTCAAACGTGATTAGATCTATGGTACCTCCCCCAATGTCGCAGACGATGGCGATGTCTCCAACGTTGATGTTCCTCATCTCCATTAGATTGTATGCAAAGTGAGCGGCGGCCTCTGGTTCGGTGATCATGGTGATAGTGTCGTTTGATCGATCAACGGTTTTGCCGATGCCAGCCGACTCAGCAGCCATGAGAGTAGCATACCTGGCATCATCCGACCAGATGGCTGGGACTGTGAGAATCCACTCGATCTCTGTGGTCGCCATGAACTCCGGGCCAAACTCGTCGAGAACCACCTTGTAGATATGCTCACGGAGCTTGATGAGATAGTCAACGACGGCGTCACGAGGAGTCTTGCCAAACTTTTCGAGCAAGGTGGTGATATCGTCCCACAAGATTCCCTCAGGAATCTCAGCTGGAGGGCCAAACAAGTACTTGACATACTGGACCATGTCTGGACCGTCTCCTGCTTCATAGCCCCAAGCAGCGCGGTATGTGTCTTGAACATGTTGGTCGTGAACATGCTCTCCGGAAGCCAATCGCTTAATACCTCTCGGGCGGGCAGGTTCGGTACTGGCGTTTATGTATCTGATCTTCGTAGGCACCTTTTCGCCTCTGTCTCCATGGACCCAACTAATAAAATTTGTCAACAAAGTGTCGATCAACTAATGAAGGAAGCTCACTTACTTTCTGATGACTTGGATGTTGGAGAAGGGATTCCGGTCGCCTCGAAATGCGTAGGCGGCACTAATCTCGTTAGATATCAAATTGATGTTTGTTCAAGTGATGAGCACAAACCCGCTGTGAGTGGTACCCAGGTCCACGGAAAGAATGATAGATCTTTTAGCCGACATTGCACAAAGACTTAGCGCAGCTAAGAAGTTTGTGTTTGTGTGCTTGGAAAGAAGACGTAAGAGATTCAGCGGAGCGAGAGAGAAGTCGGATCGGGTTGTTGAGAGGAAGAGAGTTGTGCGAGCGTGGATGGCGGATGGAAATCCAATGAGTGTTGTGAACAATAGTGAAGAAGACTGGTCGGGGTCGCGTCAAGGGCGCCAATCCATCGGCAGTGAGTGTGCGGCGGCTTTCTGGCGACCAAAGTGAAGCAAGTTGGTTCTTCGTTATTGGAAAGTCGCGTAATCACTTGGAAAAAGAATCCATTGATTCCACACGACTTTACTTCATTTTTTCACCCTTCATCCACAACTGTCAAAAATCTTCAGCAACCATCACCACTCTTGTAATCACAACTTACATAACGTCAACATGGACAGTCCTTTTTCGCTCGCAAAGGGCAGAGGCAGAAGATTCCCTGAAGTACTGAAGCAGGTTTTCAAAAAGCCCTCGATGTGAGCGCTGAAAATTGCAGATTTAGGTGTCCTGTATTGACAGAAAACAGCAGAAAGACAGTGCCAAAGGCTCCGAAGACCATAGAGCCTGTTGAGCATGAACTATCAGAAAGTGAACAGGAATCCGAATCCGAAGAGTCAGACACAGATGAATTCCCAGAAGACCCCGTTGTAAGGGCAAAACCACTCAAGAAAGACCTCGAACTCAAGATCAAAGAGTTTGGAAAGAGGATGAATGTTGGCCGCAGACTCTACGCAAAATTGCGAGGCCGACTTGAAGAAAAGACCGAGCAGGCCAACAGATACAAGACAGAGCTTGACGAAGTGAATCTTGCCTGGGAATGGGACAAGACGCGCATCCAGAATCTCGAGGAGCAGACGGAGAAATACCAAACCGCACAAGTCGCAAAAGACGAAGAAATCATCATGCTGGAACAACAACTGGAAGATACCAAGGCTCACTTTCAGCAAAAAGTTGACGCAAAGGACGAGGAGATCTCCGACATGAAACAGAATATGGACGAGCAGCGAGAAGCCGATAATCAGAAGTTCTTGGAGTTGCAAGAGAGCGTTTCCGACCCCATGAAAGATCTTCCGTTCGCCAACAGACTCAGCCAACAGTATGGAGACGAGATGTTCCGACCGGCCATTGGAGCCATGTATGCAGGTATCAAGAATACCTTCATGAACATCACAAACAAGGAAGAATTTGGTAAGCCATACGAAACTCTCTTCGCGATAGCATCCACGTATCTAATCGCTGTCAATAGTCATCAAGTCCACAAAGCCTAAAGACCTCGAAGAATACCTCGCCAAGTACGTTCCCGGAAGCATGGACAACACCAAAGACGACAAGCGCCATGTCTGCATCGCTGTGGTCTCTCGAGTCTTGGTTGAATTTGTCGAAAAAGAGAATGTATTCGGCTGGCCTGTCGATGAAACAACGCAAGCAGCAACGGAGCTATGGCGTCGTTTCTCAAGTAAGCTTTTTTCACAACTGAGAAGTAACACACTGACATTGGCCCCACAGAATCGAGAGACCGACTGCCAGGAGGATTGGTGAAACGATGGCTGACTACCACTAAAGACATTCTCCTTCAAGGGGACTACATCAGCAAACAGAAGGCCAAAGATGAATCTCTCGACTGGATCATGGGCAGAATCAAGAAGGATTTGGCCGACACGACGACCTTGAACTTCGGCGAAGACCTGTACAGGTGGCTGAGAGGAGCTATCTTGCCTTGCCTGGAGACCATCAACTTCATGTACTTGCAAGAATGGCAGTACAACTTGAGCATGGTGCCAGTTTTCCATGAAGGCGAGCCGACAGCCTTGAATCCAGCCACGATGAATGATTGGATTCGCCAGCCGAGCGGATTCATCAAAGCATCCATCTTTCCACTGGTGGGAAGAACAGACGAAGGAAATGGTCCGGCAAGAGTATGCGCATGGATGTCAATCAGCTTGTGCAGAAATGCTGACTACTTTCCAGACTGAAGGATACGGCGTTGTTTTCCCTGCGCAGGTAGTTGTTGCGTCACGATCGGAGTGTCTAGAAAAGAAGATGACGGACGACAAGTCGAAGAAGACCCAAGTGCAAGAGGATGAGACGCAGGCCAACAAAACACAGGCCAACAGGATGAAGGACAGATCGAATGACAGCGACAAGTCGACCATCCCGGAGGTCGCCACAGCAAAAGATACTGAAGAACTCTTTAGAAAAACTACGAGAACCAACGGATACATGGAAGATATCAAGCAGAGACCCGCAAAGAGATCTAAGGAAGACATGGAAGACTTTGAGTCGAGACCCACGAAGAGGTTCAGAGAAGAGCAGGAGGACAATGAGCAGAGACCAGCAAAGAAGTCCAGGGAAGAGCAGAAAGGCGTCGAGCATGGACCCGCAAAGAGATCCAGAGAAGAGCAGGAAAGCGTTGAGCAGAGACCTGCGAAGAGACTTAAGCAGCGAGAGGAAGAGACAGTAGTCATCCTGGATTCGGATGACGAGGATGAGCTTGCATGAGATATCATAGGAGATTCTGGTGGAGGGAGAAGATTGAGCGACTGCGAGGAAGGCCAAACGGGACAAAAGTCGTGGCACTCCATGTTTCCAGCACACACATGGTAAAACATTATCGCAGGCATATCAGTCTATCAGATGTTCTAGCTACAAGTCTTCTTTTATATGATCGACTTGAAATCTTGAGCAGAATTACGAAAGTGAAGGTCCGAGATCGATGCTCTCAGTGGTCAAGCTCGAGACCTGGAACAATTGCTGCATTGCTACGATCCTAAGGCTTCGAGGAGGGAGGCTGGGGGCGCCTGAGCGAATACGATCCGACTTACCATAGGCTGAGTCTTTTCGACTGAAAGTTGTTGGACCCCAAGGCAGAGCATGAGGTTTAACGCCACATAATTTGGCCGGGTGAGCCGCGTCATGAAGCCACATGATGGGTGCGAGTTTGGCAAGTATCAAGAACGAACTCCAGAGCATACACAACCCTGCCACCTCGCTCTACAAAGGTTGAATCGATTCCAAAGTTTCAAGGCGTCATCTTCTTCGATCAATCATCAAGTCGTCGCATACCGGTCGAAAACACATACCTCCCATCTATACCCCGCTTCCATCGGATAGCTGCATCGCATCAAGGCAACATGTGCATTGTCACAAGCAAAGAAGACCGAGTCGGTCGCAATTGGGATGAGCCAGCGAGACACGTGTCCAACTACCATGCCGGGCCAGCAAGAAGAACATCGCCAGTCCCAGGGCATCGTCGAAGATACAGCAACCCCAGCAACGACTACCGTTCCAGCGATGCATCAGTGCGCTACGTCTACCGCTCGAGCCAGCCTTCGGTCAGCTATCCTCGCCGCGACATCAGAGTGATTGAGAGATGATGGCCATCTTTGGCTACGATTATGGATATATGTGAATGCGATACGAATACTGTACGAGACGAAGAGAAGAGTCCACTGTTCCTGAGTGGTTGGTGGTAATGCTCTATACGAGAGGACTACGCAGAGCGAGGCACAAGAGGGACTCGAATGATAATGTTTCTACAACCCCGAATCGATCGCGATTTTGTGCTATTAAGCCTCCAGCATCAATTGGCCTCATCATGTCATATACTCGGTGACAAACATTCATTCAACTAAACATGTTCAAGAGGACAGCATCCAAGATATGCCGGATGTACCGGTATGGATACGGAAGGCAGCCTTTCCGCAAGTGGCTGGACCCCTCAAATTGGACGCAACGGCGGGCGAGCATGTGAGACGCATGACGTCGGTGCCTCCAAGGAAAGCGCCTGCATCTTGCGTCTTTGTTTCCTCAGCACATTCCTGCCTTCCGACTTCTTTTTTAACCAGACATAGAGACGTAAAACGCAGTCGCGACTCTACTCAACCAATCACTCGAAATATACCTAACCTCGAAAGCTCGACTTTCCTATTCTCATCATGTTCGTGACATTGACCTTCCACCATGCCCCCACCACCTCTCTGGTTCATTTCTAATGCGCTGGACAGGAATCGCTCTCTTTCCATCCGATCGAAGAATCAGCATGGCGGCGAGAAGTCTGGTGGCAAGCACCGCTTCACCATGGCCAGTCTCCGCGGTATTCAGCAACCCGATCTCTCCAAGAAGCTCTATCGCTTGATCAAGACGGAGAACCACGCCATTGGCGCATACGAGGCCGCAGCCAAGGAGCAAGCCGCCATTGCCTCTCAGCTCAGCGACTGGGGTGAGGAGACCGGTGATGACGCTATCAGCGAGATCTCAGACAAGCTCGGAGTTTTGCTTGCTGAGATTGCCGAGCAGGAGGATGTCCTCGCTCAAGGTCTGGAAGACAGCAGAGGTGTCCTCAAGCAGATCCGCAACACCGAGTCTTCTGTTCAGCCCTCGCGCGACCACAAGGCCAAGGTATGTTTCACTCACCTTGCACGACGAACAAACATACTGACTCCCACTGCTAGATCTCGGACGAAATCCAGAAGCTGAAGTACAAGGAGCCCAGCTCTGTCAAGATTGTCACTCTCGAGCAGGAGCTTGTCCGCGCAGAGGCCCAATCGCTTGTCGCTGAAGCCCAGCTCACCAACATCACCCGTCAAAAGTTCAAGGAGGCCTATGACCTTCACACCGCTGCCATCATTGAGCGTGCCGAGAAGCAGATCCTATTGGCCAAGAACGCAAGAAAGTTGCTCAACCTTGTTGATGACACTCCCATCGTTCCCGGAGACATGCACCCTACCTTCTCTCACGCCGAGACCGCAAGAGATGTGCTCAACGTAGCCGAGGACGAACTCAGAGCCTGGACTCCTGACATTGAGCCTATCCACACCAACGCTGGTGGCCTTGGTGTCAACGCCATGCCCTCTGCCTCTGTACCCGGAACCTCTATGCAGGGTCACACCAGCGATGTCTCCAGCTCTATCGATGCAGGACACAGCGCCATCCCTGCTCAGCAATCCGAGTACGCTCAGCAGTCCGAATACCCTAGCCAACACTCCGAATACCAAGAGTCATACGCCACTCCCTCTGAGCCTTCTGCCATCGCCCAAGAGCCTGTTTCATCTCAATACCAGACCCAGCCTCAGACTCACACCACCGCCACTACTGCCACCGAGACACCATACCCCACTGACGAACATGACCACGAGCATGCACGTAACGTGGCTGCTCGCGTTCTCGGCTAGACTCGGAGCAGGCCTTGTAAAGTGGGAGATTGCGGGTTTCGTCCTCGAAAGCTCCGCCATGGAGGAGTAATCATGATATCCGATTTGCGATCAGTGCCTTTGTTATGAGTTTAACGAGTTATGCGTCTCTTCTTAGTAGTTGAATAGCAGGCTTCCTAATCTTTATTATACCGATTCGTTTTGACATTCCTCTCTGACCACCCATGCGCTTGTGACTCCAAACGTACTAAATATCCAACCAACTGTTCAAGGCAGAGTGAATCTCCACAAGCATAACAGTTTATCGTAAAAGCTCGTCGAGATGATAGTCTGCTCACCACCATTTTCAGACCCAGGCTGCACATCACTACCATAATTCATACTCTTGTGCTCTTCAAACTTGGCCAACACCTCAATCGTCCACTCTCCCCCTTCATCCTTCTTGACCTCCACAATCCTAGCACCCGCATGCATACAACTAGCCAAAACAGTATATCTGTCTTTTCGTCAGTAACCCACATCCACAAAAATACCGGAGAAAGGAACAATAGAAACATACCTCGACTTCTCACCCTCAGCCCTCAACATCTTCAACCTCCAAACCCCACCTTCCAAATTCTCTTCCGCGAGTACTTGTTTTCTTCCCTGTAAAGGAGCGTATAGGACTCTGATGTTATCGTCGTAACTTCCTGTGATGAGGATATCTTGTTCGGAGGGGAGAGGGAGGATGGCTGTCACGCCTGCGTTGTGGGCGCGGCGGTCTTGCCATGTGAGGACGTATTGTTGATCTTCTTGTTCCTCTTGTTCATCGTCTTCGTTCGATGTAGTGGTGTTGGTGGAGTTGAGAGACGCAGGAAGGCCGGAAAAGCGTAATGTGGCATCGTCGCCTCCCGAATAGATTGAAGTGCCTGAGGAAGAGAAGGAAAGTGTCCAGGCTTCTAGATCATGCGCTAGGATTTCCTTCGCTGTGCCCTCAACCTCTGCTGCTGGAAGTGAAGTATCTACCAGATAAACCTGTCCTGGTGATGTGGTGACGCCTAGGATAGAATGCATGGTGGGATGCCAAGCTAGTGAAAGAACTAGAGTGGAGGGACCGAAGTATTGATAAGTGCTGAGGGGGGAGAGAGAAGCTGAGGAAGCGGTGCTTTGGAGATTAAAGAGTTGGACGCAACCTGTGCTGCCTGCTACGGCTAGAAGGGTTGGGTCGTGTGGTGAGAAATGGATGTCGAGGATTGCGTAGGGGGTTTGTGTTGTTGAGACTTGGATGCTGTGGGATTATTAGTGAGCCTTTCTTACATTTGGGTGATTGTGCTTCTGGTTTTCTTGTTCTCTTTCTTGGGGTCGCTGGGGCGATTTCATGTAGTTTCAGAGATGCATGTGAAACTAAGAGTAAGAGAGTTGAGAAATGAGAAAAGCACACTTACGCTTTATCATCTTCAACCTTGAATAGAATCAATGATCCTGTTCTTGTTTGAGGCTTCTTCTCCACTTCCTCGCTCTCTTCGTCATTATTGTTTTCTGTGGTGTCTTCCGCAGTTGCTTCTTGCTCCTTCTTCTCGAGGAAGTATGTACCGACCACAAAGTAGTCACGAGCTACAGGGCAAAACTCGATGCAGCTTGGAGGTAAGTCCAGGATCAGAGATTGTATTGAATTTATTGAAGTCATATTTGTGGTTGAAGTTCGCAAAGCGAGGTGACCCTACCGACCATTTCAACTTTTTTGATATACTGTGCACGGGCCGCATGTTCAGATGGAGCGACTTTACTCCAGGGAGCAGATTAACATAAAGTGCTTGAGATATCACAACTCTACTACAAACATCAAGTGCGAGAGACAACATTTGTTTCAATATGTGTGGTCTATAAGGACGCAACAATTTTCGCTAAAAGCACAATGGAAACTAATTAAACAACATTCGGATCTGCAGCTCTAGAACAAGCCGAGGATATCTTCATTGGCTTTCTTTCCGCCTCCATCCAGCTGTGTCTGAGGTGGCGGCGGCTGTGAAGCCTCCATGTTCATGCTTGCGAATCCGTTCATCAAGTCATCAGAGCCAGAGTTGCCTGTAGCTGATGCGGCAGGGGCGCCACCGGACGAGCCGAAGATGCCCATGAGATCTTCCATGCCGCCGCCAATTGGCGCATCGTTGGTTGTCGGGCTAGCAACACGCATGGGTGTACCTGCAAGGCCTTCGAGACCTGATGATCCACCCATAGGCGCCTTTTGTAGACTTGCAGGTGCCGCGCCGTCGAAGTCGATGTCGAGCAGGTTTTCGGCGTGGCTTTGAACGGTGCTGCCTTGTCCTGAGACGGCGGCAGCTGCAGCTGCAGCGGCCAATGGGTTCTCGCGTGCATTTTGAGCAGCCTCTTCGATAGCGGCTTGCTGCAAAGCATTCGCTGAGGAGCGACCTTGGCCGAGGAAGGTCTGTGGCGGCTTGTGATAGACTGAGGCGAGGGTTGAAAGGTCGGGCATGAGCGAGTCGAGCAGCGGTATCGGGAGAGTGGAGATTGTCGATGTGATGGCCGGCCTTTGTGCGAGGACAATGTTCTTTGCGATTTGAGGGTCACTCGACAAGAGTCGCCAGTAGACATATGCTCTGTCGCGGATATCAGGGTTGTCACACTCTGCTGTTGCGGTCTGGAGGACCTTCTGCACCAGTCCTTGAGCTTGATCTGGTTTCTTCAAGAAGAGCTTAACCACAGCAGTCAAGATTTGTAGTTGTGTCTGAAGTTCTGTTAGCAATCATTGTGTGTACACATAACTAAGCAAAACTCACCTGAGTAAACTCTTCTGCGAAACCATCAACAAAGCCGGAAAGAATGTCGCCAGCATTGCTGATCTTCTCGGCGTACTCGCCGACGATCCAGATGAGAGCACCTCTTGCAGTAGGCTCATCCAGATCATCGATGCATTGACACAAGGTAGGGATGATGCCCTCATACCCAGGGTACTTTCTGAAGATGTCCTTGATAACAACAACAACCTCTTGTACGACGTATGCTTGCTTGGTGTTGATAAGTTCAAGCAGAACATTGACGGCCTTCTCGCAAGCGTTCTCAATTTTGATAGCGACTTGACCAATAGCCTTGATGGCTCTTCGGACAAAGTCCATGTCGACTTCCATAGCATACTCTTTCAATTCGGCCAGTAGTTGCTCCACGTTTGAGTCGTTGGCGATGCGGACCATGATCTGGAGCTTTTGGAACTTGAGGTACGGCGGATCGTTGTATTTGCAGAAGAAGACGCGCATCTCCTTGGACAAGAGGGATGGCTGTTTTTGGAGCAGGAGGTCGATGTTACGGAGAGCGACGTATTGAACTTCGGGCTGGGAAGAGACGAGTGTGACTGGAGATTTTAGGTCAGCAAATGCATTGACAAGATCTTATTCTCAGGACATACCAAGGGGAGGAGCCATCTTCTTAGCGTAGGTCCTGCCGAGCTCGGGGTTGATGTTTTGCATGTGCAGGAAGACAGCCTTGACAGCAGCCAGAACAACACTAGGGTTGGCATGCTGGAACTGAGGTACGACACGCTCGCAAATGTGCTCGGCCTCCTTCTGCTCGGTGGGCTTGTAGTCGGCCAAGGTGGACAGAATGGTGATGCGACCCCACTCGGTACATTCGTTCAGAGCGAGTAGCAGCTTCTTGAGTGTCTGGGGTGTCACAATCAAAGCGTTGGTCTCTGGGGCAGCCTCTCCAATCTCAGCCAGAGCGGTGACACAGTTGGCGACAACCATAGGGTTGGAATCACTAATCATCTCCTGCAATGTCTCCAAGAAACCGTTCTCCAGGCACATAGACGGGTTGAGGTCGAACAACTTGGCCACACACAAAGCAGCAGTCTTGCGCACATATGGACTTTCATCTCTCAGTGTCTTCCGTAACGGCTCCTCCATGTAATCGACCATCTTATCAACTCGAATACATCCCATAGTGCGGATAGCCAGTGCTCTGACTAGAGGGTTCGGATCTTCTGAGTCCTGGACGAAAGTGTTGACGGCCAGGATACAGAGGTCGGGATGACTTTTGGCGTAGTTCATAAGGTATAGGTAGACGAGCTTCTTCTGGTCCAGATCGCCCGTCGCAATGTTCTTGAGCACATCGGGGAACAGTGCTGACACATCCTTTCCTAGTGTCATGGCCATGATGGTCTTCTGGATAGACTCCTTGCGCTCATAGGCATATTGCGACACCAGACCGGCGCGAAGCTCATAGGTCTCGCCCTTGCGAGGCACCGCCAACGCACTGCGGAGTCGGTTTACCGCCATCTTGTCGTTGTATTATATTTCCCAGCTCTTGTAGGTGTGTTTGTATGTATCCAGAGGTGGCGGCAGGATGTCGTGGCTGGGATCGGTTGTATGGGTTTTGTGAGATGGAAAGGGACAAAGAAATGAAGGTTGTTGATGCTCCCCTGCTCCAGCCTAGATGCCCGCCAAAGATGTGACGTGGAGAAAGCTTTGCATAATTTTATGCATCGTCGACTCATCCATCTTCTACCGGACGTCGAGTCCTCGGTCTATCTCCTTACAGCCAACACGACTTTCACAAACATCATGGTCAGTCCTTCTGTCACTCAACTGCATGTGTATACTGAGTATGACAGCCTTCCAATCTTCCAAATCTACGCCGCCTGTTCGTCGAGGCTCGTACTGAAGCAGAGGAAAGCGCATATTCAAGAAATGCTGTAAGTAATCGATATGCCCCTGAGGACTCTTTTTGTCACTGTCGCAACGCAGATGACTTTCATGAAGATAAAACTCCCCATTGAGAGCTTGTGAAGTATTATGATGTTTTGATAGAATACATGCTTATAAGTATGCATCTAGTTCTACAACTTGGTTTTGTTCATCTCTTCGGTCGCTGCTTTCAGCATAGTCGCTCAACGATCAACTGCTCAGCGATGAGCTATTGAGAGGGTCAGGGATTTAGTACTCATTACTCGTCATCATCATCCTCGTCGCTGAAATCGACGAATCTGGCTGCCGCTGCTGCTCTGCGTTGAGGCTTTGGGGCAGTTTCAACTTCCTCGGACTCGCCATCCTCACCGCTGTCTTCCTCATTACCCCACTGCTTGTTTCCCTGCTGTACAGCTTCCAGGTCGGCTTCGAGTTCACGGCGTTCCTTTATAGCATTGGCCTTCTGCTCAGAATAGCGTCCATCCATGCCTGCATCTTTCAGCATCTCTTTCAGGTGCTTGATCTTGGCTTTGGGGGCGTCGTACTGAGCCAATATACGGGACCACTGCTTTCTGATGCCACACTTGAGCAGCCAACCTTGAAGACGCTTAATCTCGGCTTCGTCTGGAGTCTCATCCTTTGTGGCCTTTGCAGCAGCTTTGGTGGTCTTTGGCTTAGCCTTTGGCTTCGCCTTGGCCTTGCTGTCGGTGCTGGTGCTCTTCTTGCGCTGTTTCTTCGGTGGCGCTTCGTCCAGGACTACCGACATCTCGCTCTCGGATTCATCCGCAGCTTTGGTTTCATCTTTCACCTCCTCCTCTTGTGCCTCGGTCATTGATTCATCATCCGGGTGTTCTGGTCCATTGTTTCCGACTTCTTCCTCGTTCTCCGATTCAACTGTCTGCTTACTTACACGTTTTGAGACAGCTGTAGGCTTCTTTTGAGTTGACTTCGGCTTGGGTTTCTCTTCCTCGGACTCGAACTCGGAATGGTCGGACTCGGACGATGAACGTTTCTGGCGCTTAGGGGCTGTCTTTGCCTTGGTCGTGGAGGCTCGCTTTGTTGTCTTGGGCTTGGAAGCAGTTGGTTTCTTTTGTGGGGTGGGCTCGGGTGAGGGAGATTTCTGAGAGGGCTCGTTCTTGAGAAATCAGTAAATATCAAAGTGATATTCAGGCGTTGAGGCCTACGAATGCATCCTCTATAATTTCCTTGCTTTGCTCGTTCCAAACGTCATGATTCTTGAAGAAGCCGGCATCTAGGCCCAGACGTTCTTCAGCAGCGGTGCGCACTCTCTTGACAGTAATAGGATCGACTTCGGCCTTGCGTACGATATCGCGCAAGGTCTTTTCCAAGATAGCATCAGAGGGAACTGCAACGTCGGACAGTTCGGAGTCGGACGGCATAGTTGTGCGATTGTCTCAATGAGAGTCTTTGTGTGAATTGGATTGACTTCCACCAGGAATAGCGAAGCACCGTGGAAGGACGCGTCGCAAGGTATCTCACGCGTGTTGCCCCACACTGCAAGTCGAGGAAAGCACTCCGAAACCAAACGTCAAACGAGCGAACATCAGGCCCCAGGGACCCTCGGCTGCACCACTTTTCTGCTTCACTTGCCGAATACGACCGTCTTTGAATGCCTTTCGTTCTGACACCTTTCTCGCTCACAACCTGATAATGTCTCCAGTCTCCAACACTCGACTCAGGCATGAATCAACAAGCTCTTCCAAGGATTTTCTTATACAGTGTGACGTCAATTTGGTGTAACTCGCACGGCCTTTCTATCACGTTCGATTTTCCTTTGTTGGCAAGGTCGTGGAGCTTCCTCAACATTTCCAACAATTTCTATCCGACTTGTAAACAAGAATCTGAAGCCTTCTATAAGATCAATATCATATGCCTTCTGCCTATCCGTGAAGTGACACTCAGCTCCAACTACAATAAATTGCCAGCCAACAAGCTTCCAGTGTTTTGACAGGCATTTTCAGCCGCATCTCCAGTGCTCCACACAAGTTCCGAGCGGCCAAAGCAAGCTTGTAGTTCAGCCCTGCTCTTTACTCACGAATACATCACAGCTTTCCTACAAGTTCGCTCAACAATAAAAGGTACTCGTACCCTCACCTACACTACTATCGAGCCTGACTTTCCCTAATCCTGCCCAACGTCACGACCGTAAGTACCAATTGACATGTGATGCCCCTCTGATCGTCGTTGTTTGCCCGCAGCTTCCTCCAAGGTCGCTTCCACTCACCACTTTCTTCCCGAAGCCTTCCCGCATACTGACTTTCGCGACAGACAAGGCACTTCTCCACCACAACCACATAATCAATCATGGCCAGCGCTTCCGAACCTGCCAGCGATGGCAAGGGTCGCCTCCTTCTCGTCTCCAACCGTCTGCCTATTACCATCAAGCGCTCCGATGACGCTACTTACGACTTCTCCATGTCCTCCGGCGGTCTCGTCAGTGGCCTTTCAGGACTTGCAAAGACTACCAAGTTCCAATGGTACGGTTGGCCTGGTATCCAGGTCCCTCAAAACGAGATCGGTCTCGTCAAGGACAGACTGTGGAAAGAGTACGGCGCGGTACCAATCTTCATGGATGATGAGTTGGCCGACAGACATTACAACGGCTTCTCAAGTATGCGCTCTTGAACCTGTCATGCCGCATCCCCATACTGACTGCCTGACAGACTCTATCCTTTGGCCCCTCTTCCATTACCACCCCGGTGAGATCACCTTCGACGAGTCCGCATGGGACGCCTACCGCGAGGCCAACCGCCTGTTCGCAAAGGAGATCGCCAAGGACGTTCAAGATAACGATCTGATCTGGGTCCACGACTACCATCTCATGCTTCTGCCTGCCATGCTTCGCGAAGAGATTGGCGACTCGAAGCGCAACGTCAAGTTTGGCTTCTTCCTCCACACCCCCTTCCCCAGTAGCGAGATCTACAGAATCTTGCCCGTCCGTAACGAGATCCTGAACGGCGTCCTACACTGCGACTTGATCGGATTCCACACCTATGATTATGCTAGGCACTTCCTCAGCAGTTGTTCAAGAATCCTGTAAGCTCGCACACTCTCCATACAGGTCAAGATGTGTCGCTAACATTTTGTAGTCAACTTCCGACAACGCCCAACACAGTTGAGTTCCAGGGCAAGGTTGTCACTGTTGGTGCTTTCCCTATCGGTATCGATCCCGAGAAGTTCGAGGAGGGCCTCAAGAAGCCCAAGGTTGCGGAACGCATTCAGACGCTCGAGAAGAAGTTCCAAGGCGTCAAGCTGATCGTTGGTGTCGATCGTTTGGACTACATCAAGGGTGTTCCTCAGAAGCTGCATGCTCTTGAGGTCTTCCTGACAGAACACCCCGAGTGGATTGGCAAAGTCGTCCTGGTGCAAGTCGCTGTTCCTTCACGACAGGATGTCGAAGAGTACCAGAACCTCCGTGCTGTTGTGAACGAGTTGGTCGGCAGAATCAACGGCAAATTTGGTAAGTTCTTCTGACAAAACATGCATTCCACCATCTAACGAGTCATAGGCACCATCGAATTCATGCCCATCCACTTCATGCACAAGTCTGTCTCTTTTGATGAGTTGATTGCACTCTACGCTGTCAGTGATGTCTGTCTCGTTTCGTCGACCCGCGATGGCATGAACCTTGTGTCCTACGAGTACATCGCAACGCAGCAGAAGCGTCATGGATCCATGATCTTGTCCGAATTCACTGGCGCAGCTCAGAGTCTCAACGGCAGCATCATCGTCAACCCCTGGAACACGGAAGAATTGGCCGATGCCATTCACGACGCTGTCACCATGGGAGACGAGCAGAGAAGCATCAACTACCAGAAGCTTGCCAAATACGTCAACAAGTACACCAGGTAAGCCCATCGATCGTGAGTGCATGATAGATAATATGTACTAACACAATCGACAGTGCTTGGTGGGGTGAATCATTCGTCAATGAACTTACCAGAATTTCGGAGCAGGCCGAGAAGAAGATCAAGGTCAAGCAGTCGCAGTTCGGAAAGGTTGTCGAAGAGACCACACACAACAACACCTCCGCTGAGGACGAAACCCCTGGCTCTGGTGTCAACTCGGGCGTCAACTCGGGTACTTCAACTCCGAAAAGACCTGACGCAAAGAGAGCTACGACAACAATCTAGAGGGCATGAAGGTTTTAGGATGAAGTTGTCTTGACTTGACAACTATGGCATGGCTGGCGTACAAGGCGTAATGAAAGACAGCGAGCGGCTGAAGGACAATGGGTCTGTAAATTTTGCTAGCTTTCCTACTCACAACACTCTAGAAGCATGAAGAACGTAGACTGCTCTTTTTCATTTCAATCTGTGTCTCCCTTGATCATGCAACCGATAATTCTGTCTTTCTGCTATAAACTTAGTTCATGATGCGCGGAGGTGATGCGGAAAACAGGATGGTCTGTGCGCCTATTCAGACATCTCGACGAATGTAGAATTCGAGATGCAAGGCCGAGGCAATACCACACACAACCATGGCTAGCAGGACACTCAGTCTCCCCTTGAGGGCTTTCGCAGGCACTCGCCCCTCAATTCAGGCCTGGCGCAGTACCAGATGCTTCGCCACTGAAGTTGCGCCCGCCTCAACAACAGCGCCCATCCCCTCAGATTTCACAACGCCCATTACTACGCCGGTAGTCCAGGACGGCCAACCTCAGACTCTCGCCTTGGAAGAGACCGATGGCAACACATCGGGCAAGTCGCGACCAGTCGGTGTCGTCGTCAGCGCTGGAAAGATGGAGAAGACAGTCAAAGTCAGACTACCCGGTCAGAAGTGGAATAAGTACTTGAGAAAGGTATGCGCCGTCGCTATCCATGTACGTCTCGCTGCGTAAACAGAGGCTAACCCACATTCTCTGCACAGCATTTCAAGGACCACTCAGACCATCTGGTACACGACCCTAACACATCCCTCAACATTGGCGACGTTGTCGCACTTCGTCCTTTCCGCGCAGCAAAGCACGTCCACCACGTCGTCTCAGAAATCCTCGTTCCGTTCGGCACACCCATCACTCAACGGCCGCCCGTACCCAGCGAAGTCGAGAGCCAAGCAGAATATAACGCAAAGCGCAGCGACAAACTAGAGCGCCGCACTCTTCGCCGCTCCGCTGCACAAGGATCTGAAAAGGCCATCGAAAAGCTAAGGGCTCTGGAGATTGAGGCTGGTCAAGGTGTTGCTCCTGGCAAGGGCGAGAAGAATGCGAGAAAGGCTGGTCTGCTCGGCAACAAGGGGCAGAAGTTGCCGAAGGGTGTTTTGCCTGGTGGAAAGCATGCTGTGGGCAAGATCGACGAGAGAGCGAAGCACAACAAGGCGCAGGCTATGAAGAGGAATGAGAAGGCTGAGCAAAACTTGCTCCAGGCCAAGCAGGTTGCTGAGGCCAGCAGCTAAGGAGCTGTTTCTTGGATGCTTCTGAACGCTGAATGGGGCTCAGGAACTATGAGCTGGTTCAGTCGGGCATACATTGTGTATAAACAATCTAACAAAATGTACTCTATTTCCAAACTTCCAGCACTGTTTCTTGGTTTCTCTGCTTGGTCGAGCTGCTGAAATTCAGCAGAAGACACCTCGAGGAATAGCGTTTAGTTCCCCTCGGTCGTCTGCCGCACGCAGGATGCTTTCTCAATCTACTGGGTCGATTTCATATTTGGTAGCCTGTATACAGGGTCACCCCTCTGACATGACTTTCTAGCATAAAAACAGTCATAACACGGCGACATCGACGATTCAGCAACTTTTAATACATCTGGTGATATATTTATATACGTTGCATCCTGTCGACCAATATTTGCGACAGCTCAATCAGTTTTGGTGGCCCTAGAGCCACAATCATGTTTCTGTCCCACTACTTACAGACTGATTGATTCTGACGCACGCGTCGGGAATCCTCGATAGAGTTGAAAGTGGAATATCTCATTGATTAAGTTTGAGATTGAATCTTACAGCATAACTTGGAAGAAGATATTATTCTCCTTGTGTTACGCCGCTAGTTCTGTACAGCGAGAACAATAAATATAATGTCGACCATTCACATGCTTGCCAAGACATTGAACGGCGGAGGTGCGAGCGAGCTTGCAGTGCAGGGCGTCTTGCGCGTCGAGATGGATCTCGGCGTTCACGATCATTCAACTCATCACAATCATCAATCATGGCGCCCGAAAAGAATGGAAGAGTTGTCTTCATCGGCAACATCCCTTACGGTACGTCTTCTCACTCTCCTCGCCAATCACTACACGCGACAAATGCTGATTCGCGCCATAGGTGTTAGCGAGGAACAGATCATCGACACATTTGGAAGAGTCGGCTCGGTGAACAACTTCAGACTAGTACACGACAAGGAGACTGGTAGACCAAAGGGCTTCGGTTTCTTGGAGTTCGCAGACCCAGATGCCGCAGCTTCGGCGGTGCGCAACCTGAACGACCACGAAATCATGGGCCGCAAGTTGCGCGTCGACTGGTCCAACGACAACAGCGGCGGTGGCGGTGGGAACAACAACTCAAACGACAACAGCAACAACAACAACAGTATGCAATCGCATGCCAACGACAGCGCAAACCAACAACCTCCCATGCTCCCTCCTCTTCCTCCGGGCACCGACTTGCCCGCTGGCTTGACATGCCCCGACGCCATCTCAAAGACACTGAGCGCGATCCCTGCCCCTCAACTGCTCGACATCATCTCCCAAATGAAGGGTCTCGTCATGTCGGACCCAAACCAAGCAACTGAGCTCTTGCGCCAAGCTCCCCAACTCGCATATGCCATCTTCCAGGCACTTCTCCTCTTGGGCCTTGTCGACACAAGCATGCTCAGCAGCATCGTTCAGGCCTCTGCTCCTCAGAACCCACAGTTCCCTGCCGGAGCACCTGTTCCTCCTCCACCAATGCCCCAGCCTCCTCAAGCCGCCTATGCACCCACTCCTCAACCCGGCTATCCTGGATACCCTCCCCAACACTACCAGCAGCCTACACCACCCGTGCAACAGCCTGCTTTTGCGCCACCTCCTCCGCCCCAGCAGGCCGCTGCAGCCAGTCAGCAGGACCTCATCGCCCAAGTCCTTTCTATGACCATCGATCAGATCAACCAACTCGACCCTGTATCACGCCAGCAGATTATCGCCCTGCGTGCTCAGCTCGGTGCGCCGGTCGCTTGAACAGCTCGATTGGCTCCGACTTCCGAACAATATTCCGCTGGTCATGAAATTAACCATTGACGAATGTCGTTGAATCATTCTCTCTAAGATACCCAGCTACAGTGCAACTGCTAGCCCATGACACCACTTCCAGAGTGTTATTTGGTTCGCTCGACAAAAGAGCGTGCGCGCTTTGTGCGACTGACATGCGTTGCAATTGGCTCAGTCGCGGCAACCACATAGAATTTGGCCACGAGATCGTAGAGCCATCTGAAAAGGCCGCGAGGAACATGAAAACATGCTCGCCGCACTAGTGGTGATTTGCCCACATTTGATAGATACCATCAAGAACAAGACCAAGAACCAAGAGAGCTAATTAGCTTCATATACAAAGACGTATTCCTCCAATTTGCGACACTGAACGAAACACCGTATGACTCGTAATAGCATGTCCATAGACACATGGTAATGGTTCGCGCGGGCCGTTTCCACCCCAAAGCTTGATCCAGAAAATGGGGTCCCGCACAACGTTCATACCTTTGACGTCGAGCTTGTGAAAACCTCTCTTGCATGCCTCTAGACGACTTGCCTCCAGTGAGCAGGGTACACAGATGGCACCACCCTGCAACAATTCTCAAGAACAAGCTTCCGGTTGCCCTGCTTACGGGTGGGCTTGCCAAAATGCGGGAGGCTGGGAAAGTAGTCGGGCACCAAACCCAAGCAGGGAAAGGTGAGCTGCAAGATGCATGGGGAAGGCGCAAATGCGACAACCCAGCGCCTGCCACATTAGATTGACCAAACACCTTCGTCTCTCGTCGCACTCGTGTGATTTCTGCATCGAGCCTCGACTTTGCCGCTTGCTCTTTGCATGCATCACTCACGACTCACGATATCATGACTCTAGAAACATCTCAGACACGACGATAATCGAAATAATCAAGCCTTTGATTGTTTACTCGCACTTCAAACTGCTGTTGCGGTGAAGCCTCCTACCGTTTGCGAAACCGCGTACCGCTGCCTGGTGCGCACATCTCGCCGACCATGTTCAGATCACTTAGCAGCAGGAACTCGGGCTCCTCATCCAAGCGAAAGAAGTCGGATCAATCGAGTCGCCGTACCGAATCAGTGGCTTCCTCGTCGGCCCATCGCAAGCACTCTCGCAACGACGAACGCTCCAGCAAGCATGCAAGCAAGAAGTCGACCTCGACTCAGCCTCCTGTGAATGATTCCCCGAATTACTGCACCACTTCCGAACCGCTCAATCAGCTCGAACCTCTGACCTTGACCGAAGAAGCAATCAGAACTCTTAGTATGCAAGAAGATGGATGGGGAGACACATATTCTCGTGCTGGCGACCTACCGTCAGCAGACGCTCGAGCAGACAGGAAGGATTACTTCGACAGTCCGTACAATGGTGACGCTGGTCAGAAATACGGCAGGACTCTACAACATCACTCTTCAGGCGATGAGCCCTCAACGAATGAGCGTGCACTGAACCTCGAGCGCTATCCGCAAAACTCCTTTGGTGCATCTTCCCATGTACAAGACCAATTTCCTGGTCAGAATCCTGCGACATATGCGCAGCCTTCATTTGGTCCGATGTCCACACAAGGCCAGGCTGGCGAATACTACGTTGGTGATCAATCTCGACCTCGGAGCTCCTTTGCTTCCACACCTGCCAATCAATTCCCTCAGTCGAATGCAGGCGCTGCTGCTGAATACTACTCACAGTCTCCAATGCAGCCTTCTGAGGCTGTAAATCAACAGCCCCCCTCGCAGTCGTTTAATCCATCTCAGAACCCGTCCACGGGACCCGACAGACCAGCGGAGCCGTCCGTCCCTAGCAGTTCTGCGTATTCTCAACCCGCTATACCTCATGTGGCCCCTGCAAGTAATGGATCATATCCGGTTCATGCTATGAACAACCTCACAGGCCAAGTTTCTCCTAGTCAGCAATATCGGCCTGCCGAAGCTACTGGAACTGGACGTTACGAATCTCATGATGTGTATAGTCAGTCCCCTCATGCTGTTCCGTCCATGTCTGTCTTGCTCAGTCACAACAATGGCACGCCTCTAGCAGCCCAGTATCCAGGAAAAGGTAAGCAGCAGGCAGTGAACCACACGCCGCAGTATGCAGCGACCGCAGCAGGTGTAGCTGCCGGTGTATATGGTCATCATCACCACAAAATGCATCAGCACAACCACTCAGCCCCAATCGGAACCATCGGCGGTGCCACAATGTACGGTAACTCTCCCCCGCGGCCATATACTTCTGGAGGCATGGCAATGCAACATAGACACAAGGGCCCTATCAGCAAATTTGTCGATTGGTGGAAGGACCACGAAGATGTCCGTAAGATGGAGGAGTACACTGAGTACATCGGTGTTTGCAAATATTGCTTTGATCCTCGCTCCAACGCTTCGGACGCCCCAAGAAAGCACAATCGTGGGAGTAGACGCTCATCGGATTCTTTACGAAGACGATCCGGTGATTCACTGCATCGCTCCTACACCAATGGATCCAGGAACAGCAGAGTTGACAAGGATGCAAGATATCATTCATCAGATAGCGAGCGTCGCAGCACAAAGAGTAGCTGGCTAGGTGCCGGTATTGCTGCTTACGGAATCTCAAAAGTCGGCAAATCGCTGTGGCAGAATTCGCGTGACTTTGACGATACATACAGTGTCAAGTCTGGAAGGATGGATGGAGCCTCCAGGACTGCTAGTCATAGAAATGGACAGGGAAACCGCGCTTCTAGCCACGAGAGACGTACAACCGACTACAGAAGCGTGAACGGCAGTGCTAGCGCTCGCTTCGAGACCGACCATCGAATCTCTGGAAGACGATCGGATCATTCTGGATCAGAGTCAAGATGTAGCAGAGACGATCGGTCAAAAGCTACGAAGTCTGGCCGCATGGCTGCAGAGGGTCCACCGTCTGAAGAACGGATCCATGTGCGTCACCCGAGTCCAGGTTCTCGCCATACATCTCAACCAAGATCTCCTCGAGGCTACAAGAGCAGATCAAGGAGCCAGAGCCCGTCCCTAGGTCAAGTTCTTGGATTGACGAGCTCCCAGAAACGTACATCAGCAAAAACCTCACGCTCATCTTCACCCCAGCAACAGGGTATGTTTACTGGCCTCTTTTCGAAACAGCCCGTCACAACACGGCCGAAAAAGAGCAAGAGGAAAGGGTTCTTCAACTTTGCCAACTCCTCCTCATCGTCCGCCAATTCGGAGTTGGCTTTCGGCAGTCGTACGATGAAGAACGGCCAACCGTCTAAGACAGCCGCAAGGAAGAGCTCTGATGAGCATCTGAAGGCCACTTTGCTAGGAATCGGTGCTACCGCAGCCGCATTGAGCGCCATGCAACGAAGTAGACCAGGGAGCAAAAGATCGGAGTTGAAAGATGTCAGAAACAGGAGCTCTCGTTACGACACGAAGCGAAGCAAACATGCTGCGAGTGAGGAAGAGGGCTGGGAATCTGCGACCGAAGACGAGAGCGACAGTGCTTCATCAGGCCTTGCGTTTGGAGACTACGACATCAAAGGCAAAGCACCCAGACGTCAACCTAGCTCGGAATCTATTACTCCGCAAAGTTCGGGCACTGATAAATGGAGCTGGCGCTGGCGTAGGAAATCAGAAAAGAAGGGTAGTACTGACGACATGCCGCACCTTCATCGCGATGACAGCTATGTGAGCAGAGACTCGAATGTCACTACGTCCCAGCCATTGCAATATGTACACCCGGCACCGATGTCTAGCCCAATGCATTCTGACGCACACGGTCCATCATCGATGCCCGGAGCTTTCCCCGAGCAAGCATACACGACTGAGGCCATGCCTATTCAGCAGCCGCAGCCGATCATGGCTCTTCGACCCAGCATTTTTGATACTCAGAATTCACCCTACCACGCTCACCCTGACCAATCAAGCCCTCGTACATCTGCGCGTCCGCCCATACCGACCGAATTGAGGCGCACTCAATCAAGTCCTATCTCGAACCATACCACACGCAATGCCGCGATAATAGGACTAGCGGGTGCGGTTACAGCTGGAATACTCTCGAACAACAAGAGTAGAGATAGAGATGATAGCCCTAGCAATGTGCGCTTCGAGCTTACCGAGAAGCAAGCTAAGAAGGAGGAACGCCAACAACGCAATGAAGATGCTAAGGATAGCAAAGAGCGAGCCAGGCAAGAAGCGCGGGAGAGCAAAGAGCGTGCTCGAGCCGATCGTGAAAGAGCAATGCAAGAGGAATCGAAACGACTCGCTGACGAGATAGCAAGACGTCAAGCTGAAGAATCCGAGCGTCATAAAATTCTTGCAGAGCAAGCCGAAAAGCAGCAAACCCAGATGCGAGAAGCGGCCGCTGCTGAAGCTCGGGAGCGGGAAGCCGATCGACAGCGAGAAGAAGAGATCAAGAGGTTCATGCAGAATGCACTTGCCGAACAAGCTCGTGAAGCCGAGAAGCAGAGAGTGCTCGAAGCTTGGCAAGCTCAGCAGACGGCAGGTGCGAGACAAGACTCAGCTCAGAAGCCATGGGGAGGACCTTCCACTGCTCCGAGACCATCTGTTGTCGACACACAACACGATCATGATGATCATCGTCCAGATACCAGAAGCAATCCTGCCGTCCCTTATGCGACTCGCTCCTATGAGCCCTCAAATGAGCACAGCGGCCAGCCTCTCATGGATGACGATCTCATCGATCCGGACTTCTTTACCCGTAGGCGCAGCCATAGCGACTTGGCTCGTCATGATGAACTGGCTCGAAAGGCCGCTGCTAAAGTCGTGGCTGATCTTGAGGATAGATACAGAGAGCCTACCCCATCTCAAGCCGAATTCTTTGCTCCCAAAGAGCTCTTCGAACCGTCCAAAGGCAAGACTAAAGTTCATGGACCCGTCGACGACACTGACTATCAAGTCTACCATATGCCAGAGGTCCAGCTTGCATCGATGCCGAATGAACCGCCGCCTCCTTATCAGGCACCATATCAGTACTCCAACCTACGCGATGAGAAACGCATGACACCATGGGACGTTCCCAAGCTCAACGTGATTGCACCAACCCCACCTACAAGCTATGCAGGATCAGCTAGAGATGACAAGTCACCCGTCAGTGCCTCGAGAAGAGCCGTCCGCGAAGACAGTCAAGAATCCGATGTCGAATTTGAACCGCAGAAGTCTAGCAAAGTCAGCTGGGGAGAAGACCAGACTCGCTTCTATGAGATTACGACTCCTGAGTCTTCCCAAGAATATGTTGTCTTGCCTGATGAAGTACCTCACGGAATCTCAGGCTTGCGCACCGAATATGTTCACACCGCGCCCTCTCAGGAAGAGCCTGATCGCAACTGGCGCGTAACAAGCGATCAGACTCTCGACCACGACCGACCAGATGAGTTAATTGAGGAGATACCACGCGAAG